TATGGCAAAAAGTCAAACGGATAAAAGTCAAATACAAAAAGTCAATTAACTGAAAGACACGGGTGTTAAATGACAACAGGAGCTAAGCCGCCCGCGCGGTGCATTTTCCAATGGTTTAATTGGCTTTCTAAACCGATACCGATTTCTAAGCTGATGGCAATGGGCTTTCTGAACCGATAGAGCTTAAAAGGTTAATTAGATTTTGTTCTGGACTCTACAAAGATATCGGTGACATCGGTGGCTCGGTGACTATCTATCTATCTATCTATATCTATATATATATATATATATATATATATATATATGCATATATATATATATATATATATACATATATATATACACACATATATATATATATATATATATATATATATATATATCGGTGACTAGGCGTAACATTCTGCACAGGCTGTGCGGCGTCAGCTCTGCGGTTCACACCAGGCGGAGGCCAACAGGCGGGCCGAGGTGATGACGTATGTGAAAAAGTATCTTTGAATGCTTTAAGACACACTCTCACGCTTCGAACGTAGGCATGACGTACATTCCAGAACTGTGGCTCTTATATTGATAATCGGAACGTATTAACATTTACAGCATTGCGAACTAGGCTTGAATCTGGTGACGAAACTGGAAGAGTAGTGATCAATCTCCGTTTTCGTGGGTCTTAGGACAAGAAATCGGAGATCTCATCTGGCGAATGCCTTTTTGTCGGTTGCTAAATGGCGACTGCGGAATGGCAAGATGCAAAAAAGTTGACACGCCACGTTGGTTAACGACTAAATGCGAAGTGCAAAATACAGACCTAGAAAAACATCGATGTCATATTGGTGCACTGTTCAATATCGAAATACGAAAGGATCATATTCGAATTTGGTGTTGGTGCTGGTGAATGGTGTCATGAAAAACGTTTTACATTATATCTGAAGTCTTCCTGAGCATCTTCAAACGGAGAACATTCTCCATAAGCACCTCACTATTCCCTGCCCTCTGTTCACGCAGGAGGAAGGGAACGAGAGCAGTTGGTCGGTAACCAGAGTCGTAGTCACTAGACGCAGCTGTCATAGGCGAACCCCGTGACTTTTCTTCCACCATCTAAACTTGTTTTTCACGTCGTCATTTGGCTTTTCGTCATTTTGGTATTTGTCCTGGCCATTTGCTGAAACATGACTCGTAAGCAGGTCAGCGACATGAAATGTTCGCCAATTTGGCACATCAACCTTTTAAGATGCCGCAATTTTTGCAATTTACCTTTTTACCGTTCGCCAGACGGACAGATGGCTTTGGATCGACGCATAAGCCCCCGTTGGCGCTACGAGATCCCCTATCGCCACAGGTGGTCTTAAAATTGGCGCAAAGACTTTAGTCCGGCTCCAAGGGCCTTTGACTGAAATGGGATGAAGGGCCACCCGCTCGGTACTGGGGATCCTCACTGACACAGGGTCCTTACATCGCTTCATTGAAGTCACCTGACATTCCATGGCAGGCATAACATGTTCCCCTGGCTGACTCGGACCGCTTGCCGCCAGCTCTAGGACAAACAGTCAAAAATCTCATTTGGTGAATGCCTTTTTGTCGGCTGCTGAATGGTGGCTGAGGGATGGCGACATGCAAAAATCGACGCGGCAAAAGTCAAAGCGGCTAGATGGCGTACAGCAAAAAAAAAAAACCGGATGTGAAAGAGCTGACATGATAAAATGGCGAAACGCCTAATGCCTAACTGCAAGATGTCGACACACAAAAAGGTGGCATGCTTTATTGGTGAAGGGCTAAATGGCGAACTGTAAAATAACGACCTAGCAAAACATCGACTTGTTATATTGGCGAACGGTAGAGTGGCGAAATACAAAAGGCTCGTATTTGATGAAAAACGTGGACATGTCAAAACGCTGACTGGCTGCCTGGGTGTTTCGTGGCGTGGCGTGGCGTGACGTGGCGTGTCGGGTAGTGGCGTGTCGGGTAGTGGCGTAGCGGGTAGTGGCGTAGTGGGTAGTGGCGTGGCGGGTAGTGGCGTATCGGGTAGTGGCGTAGCGGGTAGTGTCGTGGCGGGTAGTGGCGTGTCGGGTAGTGGCGTGTCGGGGAGTGGCGTAGCGGGTAGTGGCGTGGCGGGTAATGGCGTAGCGGGTAGTGGCGTGGCGGGTAGTGGCGTGTCGGGTAGTGGCGTTTCGGGTAGTGGCGTAGCGGGTAGTGTCGTGGCGGGTAGTGGCGTGTCGGGTAGTGACGTGGCGGGTAGTGGCGTGGCGGGTAGTGGCGTATCGGGTGGTCACGTGGTATGGCGTGGCGGGTAGTGGCGTGTCGGGTAGTTGCGTACCGGGTAGTGGCGTGGTGTGGCGTGGCATGGTGAATAAAAGTGCCGTCTTGTCAAACATCACTCTTCAGCAGCTGAACCACATTCAAACCTTCGCCACTTTGACATATCGACCTTTGAAATTGTCGTATTTTTGCAGTTCACCACTTGGCCGTTCGCTATTCTGGCATGTCGATTTTTTGGAGTATCGCCATTTTGTAATTTGCCATTTAGCACTTTGTCGTTTCGGCAGATCGCCATTCTTCCAAGCCGCCATTTTGCAGGTCGCCATTCTTCCAAGTCGCCATTTTGCAGGTCGCCATTTCGCTGATCCGACTTTTGGTATGTCAGCATTTGAGGGAGAGGCCACATTGTCCAAGGGGGTCCTCAATCGATGCAAGAGTCCCTCTGACTGACATTTCAGGGCAAGGCCAAACGGCCGCGGATCCTGAATGTGACCTTCATCCAGCCTGTCGGGCCCTTCGGGCTCTCCAGCCTTTCAATCGGGCATTGCTCGTCGGGTCCGTGGGGCTCTTCGAGCCACTCTTCTTGTCCCTCGAACACTGTCCCTGGCCGGCTCGGGGCCCCTTCATAGCACAAGACCTCTGATGGGCGCTGTGGGTGCCTGGCAAACACAGGGGGCCCGTCATTGCCTCAGGCTCCCCGACCAATGTCATGGACGGGTCACGATCTTGTCCCTGTTTAAGAAATGATGGGCCCCGGGCTCAGACCGACACGGAACCGACTGGTCGGCACTGGCGGTGCCTGAAAGACACAGATGACTCTTTCGATTTAGGGAACTCCAATCGGGGCAGTGGGCCTGACTGGCATTTGAGGGCCCGGCCCCGCGGCCGCGGTACCCTTAACACGACTTCCGGCCAGCCCTTCGGGCTGTTAGTTGCCGGTCCCGAGAACTGGGGCGTGGGGTGTGGGGGATGTTCTCCTATGCCCCTCCCCTGTCCGTGTCACTGAATGCGGCATGTGGCTGATCTCGGACGGAAGCCCAGGAATATGCAGCACCACTGTTTTATGTAGGCACCTGCCAAAGTTGCACGCCGGCCGACGGAGACCGCGTTACATTCAGGGCAGTGATGGTGTGCGAATGCAGCTCAGCGGCCGATCTTGGTAAACACATTGTGTACATTACCTGCAGTCACGACTGACTTGGGCAGTGGGCGTGTTCTACCAGCATACCATACAAAATATGCTCGTTGTAAGCATTAAGCGCGCGGGCGCGATGGCTTTTTTGACGTACATGGTACAAACAACATAAATCCTAAGGGACTCTTTGATAAGGAGCGAAATGCTATTGATGCATGGGCCTGCCCAGCTATGCCAAGAACCAAACGATCCAAGTGAATAGGGGAAAAGACGTTTCAAACGTCTTTCAAAGCTGTAGAATATATGTCGTTATGTTTGAAATCTATAACACTCAAAGGGTCGGATATGGTCCAAATGTAAAAGGTTGGCCAAGCCACAACGGTTTCCCTGTATTGCACTTCGATAGCCTGCCCTTCGGAAGAAGCCAGACAGTGATGCCCTTCATAATGGTAACGCTAATAAAGTCAGTCTAGGAAACCTGTTTAGAATGCACCCCCTGCAGGGAATAAACGCGTGTTCTCATTTTTAAGCAAATTTGATCGGTCTTACCCCGTAAAACAGGTCATAGACCTCAAGGTCAGAAGTTTTAAATATTCACAGCACGTGTAAAAGTGCTGGACAGTTTGCAAACCAAAATGCTCACACCGTCTTTCAAAAAGTTCGGAAGTTATTTCAGGAAACCTACCGGGGCTCTGAGGCCCTTGAGGTGAGACCACGGTTCTGTGGTGACAGCGAAACCAGACCATTTTGTCTGGAAACCGGCGGGAGCTGCATCGCGAGGCATTAAAGAACCATGTGATGCCGCCATCGCTCAATGTCGAAAGCGTCTGGAAATGACAAAGCCATGAAGGTCTGGTTTGGAAATGAGAAGGCCATTTGCAACGAGACTCGGCTCACGGAGGCTGCTTGTCCTGTTCTTGGATGATTTACAAAAATATGTAACAAGATATTCAGGCAAAGCCCTCCAAAATTGTTCCTAAAACCACCGCAATTAAGCCACTGCCTCGAGATATCGCTCCCCTAAATGGTGAATACAAACGTCCCGGGCCCTGCCCCCGTGTTTCAGCACGTTCAGGGATCGTAAGCCTGAGCCCTCCCAAGAGCGTGGTTAAACCGCAGGCATAAATCACCATCCAAGCACAATGGATGGCTTCCTTTGTTGTACATTTCATCAGCGCTGACGGAGCGGCGCTCTGATGCTGCCGCTCGCGTGCTTGTCGCTCGTTAACCGCTCCGGTTCCGCCGGCGACCGCGATGGGCAAAAGGACCTCGATTCCCGAGTGGGCCGTTTAATCGAGGCGGCATCGATCGTCCTGCCAGGTTTGGTCCGATCCAATCTGTCCCCCAGATTCGAGACCCCCTGACTTGCTCGTGATGGAGGCGGGACGCCGCGGCGCCGTGTGAGATCAGGTCAGGTCAGGTCAGGTCAGGCAAGGCGTCGCCCGTGGCGACCGTGACCCAGCGCAGCGGTCAGGGTCAGCGCTGCGCTCCGGCGCTGGTGACCGGGTGTTGTCGGCCCCAGTTACTGCGGTGACCCCGCCAAACGGCTCAATAGCGCCCGGGTAACGGACGGCATACAGGACGGCGCCGGCGGCCGGCGGCCCGGCCACCCGGAGAGCGCCCCCGACACCATCGACGGGAACCAGCCTGTGGTCGGCCGCTATGTGAGAGTGGCCACACCTCTCTCCAGGCTGAGCAGGTCAGTGGGCATGCCATCCCAGGCCCCCAGCAGACAGAGGTCGCCCTGGGAGGCGTAGGGCCGCTCCCGGGAGGCGGGAGGTTGCCCCGGGAAGCGGGAGGCCGCCCCAGGAGGCGGGAGGCCGCTCCCGGGAGGCGGGAGGCCGCCCCGGGAGGCGGCGATTGCAGGCAGCTGGTGTCGGGCAGGGGGGGAGGGGGTGATGATGTGAGGTTATGGAACAGGAAACGCCAACCGCCGAGAGGGCATCTTGGGCTTGGGGGGGGGGGGGGGGGGCGAAGAGAATTGGCACTCTTGCGCTCCATCCGTTATTCACATGAGTTCATCGGTGGAAACCCGGCCTCTTCCTGCGTACTGCAGGTGAGGTGAGTGTTGGAATAACAAGTCACCTCCGCTACAGCGGAGAACGTAAGAGGGAAATACAGGGAGAGAAAGAGAGAGAGAGACGGGGGCAGGTAAGAAGGGAAACAAATGGGAGGGAAAGAGGGAGGAAGGGGAGGGTCGGAGACGGCATGAAGAAGGAGGAAGAAAGGAGAAAGGGGAGCGCCAGAAAGGGAAGAGGGAGGAAGGTGCAGGACGTGTCTCAGTCTCAAAGCCTTAGATGCCTGACTGTCGAGAGGTCACTGTTGCAGTGGTAGGTACAGCTTGGACAAGCTGTGAACCTGAAGCAAGTCCGTAAGTTACAGCCAGGCAGTGAACCAAATAGCATATGCACCGCTCGTCAGAAGATTTGTTTACAGACTCGTGTTCTGTAAGCGATGGATACACCACAGAGACGACAGTCGCCAGCACATATTACGTGCTTGCAAGGGCAATCGCTGGACCTTAAGTTGAGGACGGAAACAGGGACGTTTTTCATTCATTTTTACGTGCAGTGTCATATGAGAAGCTCCAAATGATTCCGAGGGAAAGAGGAGCAGTGCCTTCTAGTTTCTACGCCTTGTATCCGTGCCACCGCCACTGTTCGGACTGTTTTTTTTATATTATTTTTGGCTGTCTAAAACTAAGGCCAAATCATATGCGTGGTATCAGGACTCAAATGTTAGATGATAAGCACCACATCATGATTCATAGATTTAATGCTGAAATCCAGAATGGTGGAGTGACGAAACAGATTTAAATAACTCGCAGGTTTTCAGTGGCAGCGCGCCAGCTCGGCGGAGAATTTCTCGCGTCGCTATTTAAGTGCAGTTGTTGTGTTTCTCTTCCTTCACCAGTAAAGATGCACTTTGATGGATACTCAGCGTGGATAATAAAGAGTTCACTGGTAACAGCTCTGCCACTTTTTTCCAAACCACGTCGGAAATGTCAACATTTTGATAAAGACGAATTCCGTCGCATTGGCCATACCGTGTGTTGCACCACGCATCGAAAAATAGCGTCACACGTAGACTTGCTTCAGTATGTGCAAGGCCTGCATTCCCATTGGTGTGGATGGCTCAAGCAAAGCTGCTCGTGCTTACATACAAGGCTAAGTATTGATGTATCGGATGTCTACTCCGCAAATCCACTTCGGAACACCGCGCAGCGGCGCACCTCGGGACCCGCGGCGATCCGCTAATGCCTCATCGCTGGTCCCACACACCAGATACGCTGTGAACCAAACACCTCATAACATTTGCCTTATGTTCGGCAGAATGAGACCTTTAACACCGGAATCGATGCATTCGTGCCGAGTGCACTTTGTACTAATACATTATACCAAATTACACCAAATGGTACCCGATTTTAGATCGACAGTCAGTATGTAAGGTGCCAGTTTCCTCATCGGAGCGTTGATGTTGAGGCCCATGAAAAATATATTTACGTTTTATGATCATCAACTTCTCCCCATGCATCGTTTTGTTCACCGTGCACACCAGCGCATCTCGGAGCACCTGCTTGATACAAATATCGACCCATGATCAAGCATATGACGCACCTGCTCAGCATGCCTATAACCGTAAAGTTGCGGTGTTTGATAATGCAGGTGGCCACCTGGGCTGCTTGTTTGGGGAAACTGTCGGCCGGGTGTCAAAAGCGTGCTTTGTACGGCCGGCAACCTTCATTTTACAACGAATTTAGCTCAGAAGCACTCGGCCACAACGACCGCAGCCGCTCTATTTCGGTCGTAGAACTCAAGTGACCTCCACGTTGACTGGCAGGTGGGACACGGTTCACCGAGCGTCTCTCGAGTTCCTGCGGTGGCCGTAATTGAGGTCATGCCAATGCGTCTTTGTTTACCATCGAGGGCGGCTAGGAGCCGTGAGCTTGACTGGGGCGCCACATGCGGTCTCCAACTATTGGAACACGCCGCGCCAGAGGGTCTCGTTGTTTGACCCGGTTCTGTGGCGGCCGGAGTTATGACGGTAAAAGATGGCTGGCTCGGGCGTCTGTGGGCCGCACGACGAGACGTCTGAGGCGGGGCCAGCAGGGGTCAAGGCTGTCACCCGGTGTGACCCGGCCAACACGATACCAGTGACCCTGTCGGCCGACCGGCTCCAGTTCGTGCGATATCTAGGCAGATAGCGTTCCGGGCGGGGTATCGACACGGCACGGTTCTGTTCATCGCGCGTTGCTGCTGACCTGACCTCGGACCGGGTCACCGCCTGTGAGCCCTCTGCTCTTCTGCCGGAGACCCCGTGACGTACCAAACCGCCCATCCCGCCGCACAAAGTCAGAGCAACGAGTCAATGCCATGGTCGGTGAACAATGGCACGGGTCGCCATAGCGCGGCCCTACACCTGGCGTTCTGTCGGTCACGGCGGCGGAACTACCCCCCCGAGGGCAGCCGGCTAATCAGGTCTGGTCGCACGGTCCGGCCGCCGCCCAGGGTAGTCAGAACAGAAGCAAACGAAGCGTAGCAAATACAAGGCACGTTAGCGTGTGCGCACAAGGGATTTGCAATGGACAGTCATTTCCAGCCAGGTTTTAGTTCATTTGCTGATCATGTACGACTCATTTCGTTATAATTGATTCAGCTGCCTTGTTTTCAATGGTGCTTACGTGTGCAGGACTATATTCAATGATGAGCGATCGCGGGCCACCCGAAAGTTGCTTTGATTCTTAGCAGGTGTTCGGGTGGGTGGGGTGCGGGTGGGGGTCAATTTGACTTAAACTGTTCTCAGGGTAATACACCTGGACGCTGCATGGCAATACACGGTCGGTGCGTCCAAACAAAAAATCGTCGCCACCAACAAGATATGTGCATTTTTCTGTTCACTGAGGGGCATGTATAGGCCTTTGGGTTTCAGGTCAACGCTGGTTCACAGACTAAGTCCCACAGCTACGGTGGCAACAAAGGCATCACGCAATCTTCATTTCGACAAGCGGGCTGCTAATGAACGATGCTCCTCCGCGTTCAGCCTGCGACTTCGGGAAATCCAAAGATATTGTGATATCCGTCACTCGCAAAAGAAATCTACAGTGAACTAAGCGCTAATGAGGCTGAAAAGATTCGACTACGCATAAGTCGGTGGGTGCAGAAGTTGGCGTATGAATTTTGTGCCGTTCTTAAACTGCGAAAGATGAACACTCCTCTTGTGGCACGACACGCGCGCAACCCTCACAATTTGAAAACCACGCGCGGCTCGCGGCGCGTTAATTCCTGCGCAGCCAACCTTACGCGCACCTGAACCTCCCCAATCTTGGGCTTTTTTACGGAGCAACGTTTGCTTTACTTTCAAGCCTTCCTGACCAATGCGAATGCGGTCTTGCTGAATCATCAATATATGCACGTTTTTGGTAAGGAGGCGGTCTTCGGAGAATGATTTGAAAGCTTGCCAAGCAGAAACCAGCAAATTTGAAGCATCAACCTCGGCTGCTAACACTCTACTCAAGGTTTAGGCCTGTTAGGCACCTTTACTACACCGATTGACATGCTATATGCGTCCACTGGGTCTGACCGCCGGCTCCACCCTGTTGCAGGTTGAAAGATGCGCGCTCTCCTCACGCCTGGGGTGCTCCTGCTCATCGCCTCTGCTCTCCTCATCCAGACATCGGCGGGGCAGGGTGAGCAACGTGTCCCCCCCCCCCCCCCCCCCCCCCCGGCTGTGAAAGGGGGCTCTGAGCAGGGCTCTGAGGGCGGCAAACCAAGGGACTGGGCTCGTCATGGGCTGGGTGACCCGGGACGCACCTGCCAAACCTGCACCTGAAATTCGACCGAGGTTAAAATTGGACCGAGGCTAAAAGTGCGCAATCCTTTACAGTGCTAGTACGATTGCTTTCCTGTTCTTTTTCAATCTTGGGAAACATTTCATGAATCAATCAAGGAGATGGGCGGCAATGCTAACTCCCATTGTTCCTGTGCAGTTTTTTTATCGCCACCAAGCGTGCCTTGTAGCCTCGTAATCTCCCGCTGCCTGGAAAAGCAAACATGATAAACGATTGCCTTGCTGTTTTATTTTTTTCTTAAATCTTGGGACGCGTTTCATGCATCAGTCAACGAAATGGCCGGAAATGCCGGTTCCCAGCTTTTCAATACCATTTTTATTCGCTTCGAACATACAGTGCCTCATAGTTCACCACAGTCTGGAAAAGCAAACAAGTTAGAACCGTTAAGAATGCGGCATCAAATGGCTCGTGCAAAACTGATGAGATTAGTGCATTATGCACGGTCAAGTGATGTTTGACGGATGGAATCAGATCAACGTTATACAATTAGTGAAACACGACTTTTTCCCATTCTCAGAGCTATACGTACTATGATTGAGAAAGCGGCGTTCTATGCCCTTGGCACACTGGATGATGCTGGGATAGTAGGTAATGTCACAGGTAACAGTAGTAGTAGTAACAGTAGTAGTAGTAGTGTCACACAGTAGGACATGTCACAAGTAACATCCCATCGGCGGTTGTTACCTGTGACATGTCAAAGCAGGTCACACGGGTCAAACCTTATGTACTCCGGTCCCAACCATTTATCTCATGAAGTAAGTATCGCACGACAACAAAACCAACAACGAACCGTAGCCTTGTCAAATGACATGACCTTTTGTTTAATGTGGCTAAAACGTGCCAAACCAAGCCATAAATGACCAAAAATCATCCAGGCAACTGCTCGGCTGTTGAATACAATTTACCTAGCTTGAGCCTGGACGACCTAGTTTAATGTCATGCATGGATTGTTAAGATCGTAATATGGCATATAGGCATCATAATATGCATCAATATAGGCATCATAATATGTAGGAAATGTACACAGTACGGTATGTGCGTGTGTACAAATATACAGTATGTGCTTTGGAAAGTAACACCTATTCTACGGCCAACGTATACCCCATCGAGGACCTTAGCGGAGATAGGGCCGTCATGACTTCTACAAGGAGAATGTGACGCGTGAGCTATGAAAAGTGCTCTTCAACGCTTTGAAGGTGAAAAAACATCCGAGCATCTTTTACGTAAAACTTCTTAAATCTATGTAATAAAGAATATGTAAAATATAAAATTATGTATTAATTTTTTTTGTAACATAAAAATTAAAAAATTATAGCATTGTGCGCTACGTGGTTTAACAGGCCTCACATGACATGCATACTGTGCCATGCAGCCCACTGTGCGTCCAACTCACTGGCAATGTCCGTGGCTGCGCTTTTAATTGCGCTATTCTCGGCGACGTTCTCAGCTAAGCGTTCTCAGTTTTTATGGGTGGTTCACTTCAGCTCCAGCAGTTTGTCTTCAACTTTGTTGAACGTTCATTTCCACATCCATGTCAGAATGCATTGCCACATCTTGTTGTCTAGCGGCTGCAGGATGTGGCAATGCCCGAGCAAAGTTCAACGGACATGCGTGGTCTATGCCAGCCACAGCAGGAGAAATCTTGAAAATGACATCAAATGAGCCCCGAGATCCTGCCATGATGGACATAAACCAATTCCCAGTGCAACTGCTCGCTCCTAGGTTACGCAAGTTCTAGTTACGTGAGATTAAGCTGTGCGATGAACGGAAGTAATCTTACTAGGCCTTCTCCTAGTGTGCCAATACCATGTCAGTGCATTCTTGTGGCAATATGAATGTCACCAATGGCTTAAGTTAAAATCGATAATGTTGTTTCATCTATTGGAAATAAAAAGTGAGTGGCAATGGGACAGTCAGAAATCGTGTCTGGGTTAAAAACGTAAAATCGTGCCATCTCCCCTCATTAATTCGGCACCTCTCTCAATGGCTTTGCTCTTTATGTTTTTTGCTCTTGCTCATTATGTTCGCCGCAACAATTCCGCGAAGCTTCAGCCATGTCAGCGGCCCTATGGGAAGCAAGTACCAACAGAAGTGCTTCAGCTATGACCTTGCCTTACTGCCTTACGTTACGACTGAAGATCAAACACAAAATAGGAAAATTTCCTCCGTTTTTATTCTTTTTAAAATTTTGCTTCCCTCTCCGTTCTAGAAAAAAAGCTTGGAACCTTCTGGCAGACCTTAGTCTTCAAAAAGCCATCCGCGGGAACATTGGAAGCTCCATGCACTTGCAGAAGGGCTTTGAGTTTGATCTTGTTTTCCATATTTGCAAGTTGAGATCGACCATCCGGCATGATTGCCGATGATCTTAAATGTGTGGGTGAACTATAAGCCTTTGCAACTGAAAATATTGACCGGTTCTAAAAAGAAATGGTGTAAGAAGAAAAGCCTACGATTACCAGCGTAGCTTCGAATGAAAGATTATATTCAAAGCAAATGTCCACAATTTACGGCAAGCATGCATTCAGCCCACATCGCCCTGATCCACGCCGGCGCTCTGAACTCTACCGCCCAGCTGATGTCTCTTCCACAGGCACGAGGCTCCGTCTCTACCGTGGCACACTGCGTATCTTGGCCTGGCTTCCAAGTTCTGTCGGAGGAACCCGCAAAACTTGTAAAAGACACGCGACTGCCACAATTAGCTCTCTGCAGCAGTAACGCCAAACGTAAAGGAATAAATGTTGCGAACGTAGGTTCGATCCGGCATCTTCTGCCCACACATCGTCGCCATCATGAAAGTTTCCACTCGACGACATTTCCACAGACAAAAATCCCCTGCACACTCCAAAAACTACAGATACTGTGTGCACAACACGTGTTATGCATGTAACGCTGCGTCTAATAATCGCCGTTACGATAAGCCTTCCACGAGAGACTACATCCGCCGACAAAAGTATTCGATTAAAAGCGCTATGTCCGTGACAAAACGCGTACTTGAACATGCCGTTATGCTTCGAGCCATTACGGAAAACATACCCACTGACATTTATCTTGCAGACTTATGAGAGAATCAAACAGGCCAAAATCCTGTCGGGCGACAAGAACGTAACCATTCATACGATGATAGGAAGTCCTTCTCCAGAATGGCAGCTTTTTTGCAGCTACATGAGCCCGCTACATATAAATTCATCACGATTCTTTTCTTAAGCCCGAAGGTCCTGACTATGAATTTAATTGCCAACGCTTTCAGGTCCAATCTGCAGCAAGAGAATTCGCACAGACTCGAGAGTATTTCCTGGTCAGACAACCACTCTTGGTAATCATTTTTTCAGGACGGAGGTCATTTTACGGTTTGCGATTCCATTGGGAGATTTCGCTCAGGCCCGGCGGTTCTCTGGGCAATCATTGCTCTTCAGATTGGAGACCCTCTTTTTAGTTAAAGAGATTCATCATTCTGATCAGGATTATCCTCAGACTAACCCCGAGCAGGGTTGGTGTTTTAGCTTTAACGCTGCTCTTAACTCTCTTAGTCCTAACTTGCCTCAGGGCTTCCCTCAAGACAACGAGGCTTGTTTAATTTGTATTAACATGCGCTCGGGTGGGGGTCAAATTGACCCCCCCGAAGGTTTTTCCAGAATGGTTTCCGAACGGCGTTGCGTAGCAGCGCCAAATTTTGCATAGCTGTAGATAATTGAATAGCGGATCGTTTTGCATCAACAATTTAGATGTACCTTGTAAGGCCATTGACCTATGGCAGGTCAAAGTCAGGCCATGGTTTCAGCGAACCCAATTTCTAGGGAATCGGTCAATCTGATGCAACAACGGAGTATTAGACAAAGCCATGCATCTCTGGACTGCTTTCTTAGACAATACAACAATTGAATGAGCAAATTTCATTGACCTGAGGTCAGCTATGAAGGTCATACCAAGGTCAAAACCAATCTGTTTTATTACTTTAGCGCTTGCTGTATGGGATAGCTTCTGGTGCTCATTTCGAATTTATTGATAGCAGGATCCGCATTCTACATCTTTCATGGACTTCTTAGAGGCCAGAATTGATCATTGACTTAAAATGACCCAGGTCAACATTTGGTTTTTAGGAACATACTGCCTAGCGTAATCTTTGTCGCTTATTCAAATGCAAAACTCAGGGCAGTCCTATATAATTTTGGTCACCATGACCTTCAAACGGTCAAACAAGGACACTGACCTTAAATGAGCATGTGACCTTTCGACTAGAAACAGCTATCTAGGTTCTGGGCACATTGAAGACCAACGTAAAATTTAACCTCGTTTGACCTTATATGACCCAAAGGACATGACCTAGGAACCTCAAACTTTGGCCTAAGTGAGTTCACGTACAGGTCAACATACTCTGTGAATTTGGTGTCTCTAGCCTTCATAGTTCTTGAGATCCCTAGGGGGGGGAGGGGGTCAAATTGACCCTCCCACCCGAGCGAAGAGTATCCAGCCGGCCACCAGGGCGCGTATTAAGCGCACGGCTTCTGGCTGAGCTTGGAAAGACCCTTTTGCAGATCTTCAGATAACTCGACCAGACTTAAGAAAATCGGATTGGTCCGAAATGTGCTTATTTCACTGGAGTTTAAAGCCCTCTTTTCAAAGCAGGTGTTGCTGGTTGATCCGAGATTACCCTGTGCCTCTTGGCGTGTTCGCGGTCCCTTTCCCAGAGAAATCCTTTTTGTGTTCAGTGAAGTCTCTTTTCGGTCAGATTAGTCTTTTTCCGGTCAGAGTAAGACGTCCTGAGTTATCCATATAAATCTGCTCTATTCCATCCCAATTTAACACAACATGTGAAACGTGTGGTATACATGGGGACGACTACTCCTGTTTAAATGTATTTGGTACTCTTCGCCCAGCTCCAGTCACTTTGTGCACGCTTCCTTTAAAATCCGATCTGATCCTAGTCCAAGCTGAGAGGAAACCTTCAGTTCCACTATCTCATTCCATCCATGGATTAATCAAATACTCAATTCTTCATTACGTACAGTGCTACACCTTACCTGTAGTTCTAAGGTCAAAGATAGTCATATATTTTAATGGATAAGCTCAAGAACTGTTCATAAAGTGTTTTGAGCATTTTGTGTGCTTCCGCGGTCTTTTAGACTGTTCAATAGTTTTTATGGCTAAAAATTCCAATTTCGGTGACTGCTCGGAGTCTTAAAATGGGCAAATCAATTCCGGTAACGGTTTGCCGGATATTTGTTAACCCTTACTACTATCTAAAACGGCTTTTCGGTAACCAATCTGTTTCAAACGGTATAATGCGCTCACGCTCACCTTATAAGTTACCAACAACAGCTTGGGGGGGGGGGGGCTCCGGCACCATGATCACTAGAAACTTTGTGATATAAGTTCCATCGCCCGTGTTCACGCATTTATGTATGGAGGCTTCGTTCATAACGGTTTCGACATCTTTCGAAACATTAATTATAAATTGTGTCGATGGCAGTCATGTCGTGCGATATGCTCTCGGTGACAGTTTTGATGTATTACAGTTTATGCCGGTAAGTTATGCTCTTTGTGCTTTTGTTGTTTTGATAGCATTCCCGGGATTGCATTGTTGTGGCGAAGCAGATGTTCTGCCAGCGGAAAAAAATGTAATGTGAAAGCTCGCAATGGTTTGACACGTGGCAGTGACGTCGCATGTACATTTGTACATAACATCGTGTTACCCTGGACGGCTGTCCTTAAAGGCTTTCCACCTGCCAGTTTTGTTGGGATACAAGATTTGTCCTTATCAGTGTCATTTGATAGAGGCAGAAATGTCTTGAACTCCCGGCTTGTTGGCATTTCGGCAGTTCGGGGTTCTTATGCGGAGGTGTCGATCTTCAAAGAGCTGGAAGGTGCAGGTTAAATGGCGCTTCAGAACAAACATTGGTCGTGTTGGCAGTACTCACACAGTCATTACAGCCAACGGTTTTGTTGACTTGCATAGCTTGACTGTATTAAGCAATGTCAGTGTAGCCAATATTTGCTCTTGAATGTCATTTAACCAGTGCAACTTGATACATTGAACGCTGATAGCTCAGCATAAGAACCCTGAGCTCATAACGGTTGGCAGTTTCGCCATAAAAGTTTAGCTGTGGAATGGCAATTCTGTCCTTAGCACTTCAGGTGTTTGGCAGCAATGTCTTGGAGACACTTTGTCTGCGAAAGTTGTTTGGTATATGTTTTATCTAATTGCAATCGCAAGCAAACCTGGCGTCGTACTAAATAAGACACCCAACGAATAAAACGTCTTTCGCGAAATCGAAACGCTCAAAGCCGTTAAATTCCCAGCCAGCCACGCGTGGCCGGGCCTGCGTCCTGCCCGCCCTGAATGGGCATCCGTTCTGCATGTTTCCCCGGCAAGTATCGAACACGGTACAGGCGTGCCGACGTATGCGGCATGCAGGGTCGCGGCGCCGGTCTGGCCGCGGCGCCGACTGAATAACGAACGAGCGCGGGAAGGTCAGCGCCGGGCGTCACCTGGCTGCCCCGTGTTGTAACGGCGGGAGCTGGGCAACCCCGCCGGCCGCGCAGCAGGCTCAGCCTGCCCGGCGGGCACACTCAGCCTGCAGGCTCAGTCTGCTCGGCATGCGCTCTCAGCCTGCAGGCTCAGCCTGCCCGGCGGGCACACTCAGCCTGCCCGGCGGGCACACTCAGCCTGCAGGCTCAACCTGCCCGGCGGGCATACTCAGCCCGCAGGCTCAGTCTACCCGGCGTGCACACTCAGCCTGTAGGCTCAGTCTGCTCGGTATGCGCTCTCAGCCTGCAGGCTCAGGCTGCCCGGCGTGCACACTCAGCCTGCAGGCTCAGCCTGCCCGGCGGGCACACTCAGCCTGCAGGCTCAGCCTGCCCGGCGTGCACACTCAGCCTGCAGGCTCAGCCTGCTCGGCGCGCACACTCAGCCTGCAGGCTCAGCCTGCCCGGCGTGCACACTCAGCCTGCAGGCTCAGCCTGCCCGGCGGGCACACTCAGCCTGCAGGTTCAGTCTGCCCCCCGGCGTGCACACTCAGCCTGCAGGCTCAGCCTGCCCGGCGGACACACTCAGCCTGCAGGCTCAGCCTGCCCGGCGGGCACACTCAGCCTGCAGGTTCAGTCTGCCCCCCGGCGTGCACACTCAGCCTGCAGGCTCAGCCTGCCCGGCGGGCACACTCAGCCTGCAGATTCAGTCTGCCCCCCGGCGTGCACACTCAGCTTGCAAGTTCAATCTGCCCGGTATGCGCACTCAGCCCGCAGACTCAGGCCGCCCAGTGCTCTGGAATAGGAGCGAGACCACTTCCGAAAGTGGGTAGGGAAGAACAAGATCTACTTGCTACAGTCTTTTTGCCATGTGGATTTATTGTCAATCTCATCGACTTGTGGGGCAGGGGGATGGAGGGGGAGGCGGCAAACGGCGGAGGCAGAAAGGGGAAGGGCAGCGCCCCGTACCACCGTGGTTCTACGCGACTTAAACTGAGCAGGGATACAAGCCTTCCGTAACAGCAGTGGTCGTGGGCGGACCAGGCTTCGGGGAGGGGGGGGGGGGCTGCCGTTGGGATCTTAACTGCGCCTGATTGACGTTTTACCCTATGACAATAGAAGCCGACAAGGTTGGACAGACTGAAATGAGCATCTGACGTCAACTGTCCACGGCCACTAGACCGACTGCTAAACGTTTTGTGACGTCATGATGGGCGGAACAGCTGCCAACGACCTCTACACTGGCGCATGCGACACAACTGCGACGCGTTCTCGACGCGTTCTCTGTGCCGCACCTCTGATGCATCCGGCCCAGATCGGCTGCCACGCCTCTTTGCCGCGCGTCAGGTGTGGCGCGCGGTCACGGTGTGCTTCCCGTCACGTGCTAGACATGTGTTGGCCACGCATCGCTCGCCAAGCGTCTAACGTGCCCTCTGTGATGTCAGATGTGGACGGCGGCTGGACGGAGTGGTCGCTGGGCGCGTCTGACGTGCCCTCTGTGACGTCAGATGTGGACGGAGGCTGGACGGAGTGGTCGCTGGGCGCGTCTAACGTGCCGTCTGTGACGTCAGATGTGGACGGCGGCTGGACGGACTGGCCGCTGGGCGCGTCTGACGTGCCCTCTGTGACTTCAGATGTGGAGGGCGTCTGGACGGAGTGGTCGCTAGGCGCGTCTGACGTGCCCTCTGTGACGTCAGATGTGGACGGCGGCTGGACGGAGTGGTCGCTAGGCGGTTCCAGCTGCAACGCCAGCTGTGGCGGCGGCACCTTCCGTCGACTGCGCACCTGCAACCTGCCGGCGCCCCAGGGCGGCGGCCAGCTGTGCTTGACGGAGGGCGGCACTAGGGCCCTGACCGAGACCGAGCATGCCCCCTGCAACACCCATGCGTGCGCCAGTGAGTAACGCTCGCGGGCGTCAAGCCTCATCGCTGCGGGCAGGTCACTCAGCACAGGAGCGCAGCGGCGCAGGAGACCGATCGTGTGCTGGTAGAACTGCCTTCTCGCAAACTGTTGCCTGAGGTGTTGCCGCGTCAGCTTCTGCTTGAAAAGACGATCTGGTAAAATTATGGCAATGCAATGGTTAAAGCAGATGGGAATAGATGTAGGGTATAGAGTGTAGATGAGAGCAGATGGCGGAGTGCACCGTGGACCGCTAAGCCCTTGAAATGTCGCATCATTGTTGAGATCAGTTTTTGCGGTGCCACAGCCAGCGCTGTTGTGTGGACGGGGCGCTTAACACCGCTCACCCATGCGCACTTCATTCCAGCCTCCTTCAGTGAGTGGGGCAACTGCACGGCCTATTGTGATAAGGGAAAACAATACCGGTCCTCGGTATGCGGCGACGCACCCTGCAGAGAAGATCAGAACCAGTTTGTGAGGGAGGAGCGAGACTGCAACACCTGGAACAGGACCGAGTGTCCTAGTAAGTCAACTTCTGAGTTTCATCCACTTCAGCCTCAGCAGGTTCAGCCTTTTACTCTCTTGGATTCGGAAAGCTGTTTTGTGTGACCCTTCGTTGTTTTTTGGGCTTGGGGACGCATCAAAAGCTGCGGTCATTTTGCGCACAAACTAAGGCTGTGTGGAGGTATGCCGTGTTTTATGATATAAGGTCGCTGTTGTAGGTTGTTTTAGATTTTCCGAATCGTGTCCAAAAACGCAAGTTGCGCAAAATCAACGGTCGTAACACGCAGAGCACCAAGCATCTCCCAGGCCGCTCATGTCAGCTCATTACGCCAGAGTGTTTTCAACCAGGGTTGTGCGGCATCAAAAGATGTCGTAAAGGAGACAAATGATCGTGAAATCCGTGTCGTTAAGAAATGCAAAAACTGCTCTCACGTCGACAGTGGGGTCCCCGCCTGTGAGTGAACGCAAGGATGGCTACGCTGCATATGGCGATCAAAGTGACGAGAGCGCTCGGTGGCAAAGCGTGGACACTGCACGAGAACGTGACCGGAGACCGCCGTGTGTTCCCCTGTAGCGCCGTCCAGGACGACAGTCCTTGATATGCCCACGGATTATTGTTGCATACATCGCCTGGAATTTTTTCGCTTCAGGTGTAACGACAGCAGGAGCTTCGTCCTTAATGACTGTACTTGTATCACCAGACTTCTTTTACCTCCAACAAAAGCATGTGCCCGCGGTTCACTTTCCATTGATCTTCATAACATGAGAGCACCGAAGCTCACTCAACATGTTCACCCTAAATCTTATTTCTGCTGCAGTCCGCAAAAAAACATTTTAATCCTATATTTGCCGGCGTTGCGCCCGCCTGTGGTTATTTCTCATACCAGTGCAGCAGGGTGTTGACCGCAGACATCACGGAACCGCATTCCTTGCCAGGTCCGTGCCTGACCAAGAATTGTCCAGAATATGCCATCTGCGAGGACAAGTCAGACAACGTGGAGCCCAAGGCCGTCTGCAAGTGCACAATGGGCTACGAGATGAATAAGGCAAAGTCCTTCTGTCTCCGTGAGTAAGAATAGATCCGAGAGCGTCACAATTCCTTACTGAAATGCCCGCGGGCTTGTTACCACCCTGCACTCCGAGCATCGTCGCGTCGGATAAAATGTAAATATGTCATTTTCAGAGACGGGAATATTTTGACCTTTGAAGCTACTGCATGGGCGCAACTCAGCGATGAGGGTCCTTGCTGCCAGTTTGCAAGCTGCTTGTGACAATGGAATAGCATGAACTTTTGGATGCCGGTCATCACTCATGCGGCGTGTTTTTTTTTTAAGCAAGTTGGCTGTGATCTAAACAGACTGCTCCTTTTCCATCCAGTTTATGGCGGCAGAAACCCATCCCATTTGTAAGAATGAGCCGGGTGCCTTCACCACGTCTGCTCGCTGAAGGCAGAGCACCCCAGTGGTAACTGTAAACGCGCAGCCGCCCGCCCTGCCTCCCGCCTCTCCCTCCACAGAGCGCTCGCCGCAGCGCCCAAACCTGCCACCCGCCCCGGCACCGGGCTGCCGGCTGGCCGCCTGCTGACCTACCCTGCCCTGACCTGACCGGGGACCGGGCATGCCCCACAGGTCCGCCGCCGACCACGCCAACCCCTCGGCCCATCCCCACCCTGGCGCCCGAGGAGAAGACGGTGGCCGTGGTGGTCAGCAAGACGGCCTCCACCGTGCTCATCATCTTCGTCGGTACGTCACGCCACGCGGAGTCTGGCCTTGAGGGGGAGGAGGGCACCTGCACCCAGCTTCTGTTAGCCCCTATTCCTTCCGTGGTCGGGCAAGCGGCGGCGCCGCGTACAACGGCCCAAGCGAGCCTCTTCGTTCGATAGCAAACAGAGGATGCATCATGACCGCACCCTAATCAGTTCGCCGCAGCTTTTTGCGGCCTAACTTTCTACACATAACTTCACTCTAAAACTACCATCGAGAAGGACGCTCCGCCGTCTGTCAGCACCAGCACGCCCCCGCGCGGCACCCCCATGTCCTCACGCGCACGATGAAACTTCTGGACTCTCGCACCGCTGACGTCTTAGAGTCCCGTGGCGAGAGGCTGCTGGCGAGCGGCGCGCTGATCGCCTCTGACCTGGCAGGGCTGACGCTGACGCTGTTCCTGCTGCTGAGAATTTTGACCCCGGACCGCGTGATCCAGATGAACATGGAGATCGCCATCATCTCGGCCCACATCTTCCTCATGTTCCCGCCGGGGATCGTGGACTTGCCGGTGGGTGGCTGTGATGCAGGCTGCCGACGCTGGACGTGACGGGCCCGTGTCAGACGCCTGCAAACGTTCTTACGCCGATCGCAGCTGCGCATGTTTTCTTTCTGCAGTCACATTGCGACGTGTTGACCAGGAACGCTATCCAGAAATGGCTGTTGAGGGTCCAACAATGACGCCACACATCTGGCTAAAACCCCAGGCATCGAGTCACCACTCGTGAGGAAATACTGTGACCATGACGGTCGTTTCCAGAGGCGGGCAGATGTGGTGGCGAGCCCTTTACTCTTACCTCATTTGCAGACGCTCTGTCGCTTCGTGTCAATCCTCGTCCACTTCTTCTTTACGGCCTGCTTCATGTTCATGATGCTGGAGTCGCTGCACATGTACTCCCTCGTCGCCTACGTGGTGAAAAAGGTAAGCCCATGGATCCTCCGGGCCTGCATTGGTGACACGTTCTCCGAAGATGTCGGAAGATGGCATAGAGATGTTCTCCTCGCCAGCAGTCGACGAAGATGCAAACATGGCAGAATTGAATTGCCGTGGCTGACGAGAGGGCTAGAGCGCACATTTGGTTTACAAGGCAGAGCACTAAGTGGCTTCTGCTGTCATTCCTCCCCTGACACAGGTCACTGGCCTGACTTGACCCGTTGAGGCCTGACACAGGCCATGCTGGCATCGCACGGGCCACTGACCTGGCTTGACCTCGTGAGACCTGGCACGTGTCTGGTTGACTTAGCCTAACTCTTCGTTGCTTGCAGCGTCTTGCTCGGGTGATCCGACGCTGGGCGGCCTGACTTGGCTCCAGGACGACCTGACTCCTGACCTGACTTCGCAGGACGGGCTCTTCACGCGTCTGCAGAACACCTTGATCGGCTGGGGCCTGTCCATCTTCATCGTGCTGGTCACCATGTGCTTTGAGTACGAGAACTACGGCGGCGTCTACCACTGCTGGCTGCAACTGGACAAGCCGCTCTGCACCGGCCAGTACATCCCCATCATCGCCATCATGATCATCACGTTCACGCTGATCGAGGCGGCCGGCGCGGCGGAGTATGCGCCGCTCAAAGGTGCGGCAGTGTCCGGCCGAAGGGCTGGGGAGCCTCACGGGGCGGGAGCGGTCGGCTGATGTGGCGGCGGGTCGCAGTAATGAACGCTTGCCTAGGAAGTCCGCCGGGTGAAGCGGAGCAGGCAGCCGTGCGAGGTGGAGGTGCCTTTTGTCCACATACTGACCGCCAGAGACACCCTGCTGGCCTTCGTGGCGACGGAAGCGCCGGCACTATTCCCTCATGCCTTTCTTTTAGACCAGTATAAGCTCCTTGCTACAGTTGCTGTTTACGGCCGAATAACTTGTAAACCATGCTGATTTAATCATCGCACGATATAGAGGAGCTTCTCCTCGCTGTCCACACCTCTCATACTAATGTCCACACTTCTAACATCATGGTCCACGTCTCTCCGGCCGCCACGCGCACCTGTTCTGTCGAAAACACCATGCGTGCAAACATTGTTTTACCTTTTCCCGCTGTATTTACATTTGACGCCACTGACCACACCTCTTACACTATCGTCCATATCTTTGTCATCGTCCGCCATTGTTTGCATCCGTTGCTCATCGCTGTCTGCACTCTCTCCGACACCCCTTCCCCCCCCCCCCCCCCAACACCTCCACCACATCCTTCCCTGCTGTCTGATCCATATCTCCCTCTCCGCTGTCCACATTTCCCATCACTACCCACGCCGGCCACATCGCCCTCCACATCTGTCAAGACGCTCTCCACACCCCCGGCAGACGTGGACAAATCGCAGCGGCTGTCGGCGCGTATATCTCAGCGCTCCAACTTGGCCATAATGCCGCTGGTGTTCGCCTCCTGGGTGGTCGGCATGCTCAGCGAGTACGAACAGGATCTGGCACTGTATGGCACGTTCGGCGTACTCAACGCCGTTGTCGGTGTCGTCATCTTCTTCTTTCACTCCACCGGCAACCAGCAGGTCAGTGGACTCGGCTGACTTCCCGGAGACGCGGATGCTGGTCACTCGAGGGATAGCTTTGGAAAAATCCCGCGTGGCCCGAAGCTATCGCTGTGAGTGTAGCACAGTCACAGGAGTTCGTGGGCCCCGATGAAAAGACTTCCCATACCTAAACATGTTATTTATTGCACGATTTCTTCAGGCGACAACACTTTCGTGACCACCACCAGCAGGCTCTTCACTCGATATCGCATTCCTAACACCAAGCCATGCGGCACACACTTACCTACCTACCTTACCTACCGGCACACACTCACAGCACCTACCGCCTACCGTAGCGACACTATGCACATCTGTGACTTGGCCAGAACTTGGGGCGGTGGGTGAATTCAACTTTACTTAGTTTTCCTCGGTCAGCATTTTCTGCACTTTTTGCGTGACCACTAGAACCATCAGTTTTGTTTCGGCGTGATGCTTATCTATTTCATATGACTAGATGGCATGCTTTTGTAGCATTATGCGGAACATCTTCAATGCAGAAGGTAAACATTTCCTGGCACATACTGTTCACGTGCTTCTCCGACCTACCTCCGCCTCAGAAGGCAGTGTGAGCGTCCACGGTGAGCGTGCCCGGCCCCCCCGATGCAGGTGCGGGCCAAGCTGGTGAAAATGGCCCAGATGATGAAGAGGCGCCGCCGCCGCTGAGCCCGCAGCCAGCCGGGCGCCCCAGATCGAGCGCGAGCTGAGGCCGTGCGCTGAGCGCGAGCCCAGCCTGCCCCGAGCTCAGCCGGCGGGCGCGGACGCGCCGGCGGCCTGCTCTCGAACAGGGATGCGAGCAGGCCGACGGGCGGCGGCCGCGCTCTCCGCGAACGAGCGCCGCTCTCGGGGGACACGTGCTGTGCGTAGACGTTGGTGCGGGCCGCCGCCGCGGGCCGCCGGAGCGCCGACGACACGAGTACGTCCGCCGCCTCCGTCTCCGCCGACGTCGGCGGCCCGCATATGTTTGTGTGAAAGCCTATTTTCTGGATAGATTAGCTCAGTGACGCCGGCTGGCGGCGGGAGCGCCCGCCCAGCTGACAGCGGCCCGGCGTGCCGCGCGGCCGCCGGGCCTCCTGCACCGCTTGTCGACGCCCACCTCGCACAGTGACGGGGCCTGCGATGCGCGCGCCCCGCGGCGCCACGACCGGCCGGTCCGCCGCGCCGCCCCCCACCCCGCCCTCCCCGCGGCCCTGCGCCCGGCCGCGCGTCCCGGCCCGGCCCCCGTGGCGCCACCTGCCCAGCTCAGCTCGTCCGCGCCCGGCGCCGGGTCGGCACCGCCGGCGGCGCCGCGCCCACTCTGCCGTGCTTGCTGTGTTCGCGGCGCGGCGCTGCTCGGGCCGGCCGCGCCCCGCCGGTGGCCGCGGCAGAGACCACCCTGTCCAGGCGAGGCGTTTCCACACACCGGCGGGGCCGGCCCGCCCACCCGCCGCGCGCAGAGCCCGCTCTCCCCTCCCCACGGCTGTAGAGCCAGCGGCGGCGCGGACCGGCCGGCCGCGGCGTCCGGAGTTCCACCCGCAGGCTCCGAGCTGCTAGAGGCGCAGCACCCCGTCGGATAGTCTGATTCGTAGGCGCGGGCCGCCCCTGCTGCTGTCACCTCTCCTCCTCGCCTCCGCTCGAGCTCCGCTCTACTTTCGCCTGTCCTCGCCTGTTCTGTGGGCTCCCCGTCGGCCGGGGGGCACGTGTACGCTCCCCAGACCTGAACCAATCCCCGGCTGACGGCCGAGCCCGGCGACCCCCGGGCCTGGACCGCCGCCCGCCGCCGCCCCGGCTGCACTTGACTGGGTTGCCGAGCCGTCACCACCTCCGAGAGGGGGACGGCGTCGGGCGGCACGTCCCTAGTTCCCAGTTCCGTTTCCGGCGGCCCGCCGTCCACTTCTGGAAATACGTGTGCGCCGCGTGCAGACCCCGGCATTACCATTTGTGAATAAACATTTAGTTTGAACGTGCAGTGTACATGTAAAATAAAGGTGAAGTCCAGAATGGTGTGCCGTGTCATCGACTATCGCTAAACCTATGCCGGAAACGCATTTGTTTGCAACATTGCGCTTATATTTCGCCATACGGCAGTTCGAGCACTGAGCGGCGCCAGCAGAACAGTGTATCATCGAGTTGTGGAAAAATCCGGACAACAATAAACACCCGGAAATATAATTCGTTCACAACAGCACAGACACATCCAAAAAGAAGCGCCAACAATGTCAACCAGCAAATCCGCCCGCAGGGAAGACACCAGCATCGGATCAATAATTCGCTACACGCCCTGACATTGACAATGCCGCCAAACTTGACGTAACATGGATAACTCGCTCCGCGCCGACCAACGCCGCCAGGGGGCGGGGGCGATGCCGGGGAGGGTGGGCGAGGGGGAGGGCATAACACTCCATCAGCCCCCTACCACTCATGACCCATGAACTTGCCGGCGTACACGGCGGCCGGGTAGTGCGTATGCAGCGCGAACATGTCGGGCCGCGACCGGCCGGCCACCGCCAGCTGCGTAGCCAGACCGGCCAGGTTGAACGCCTCCAGCGTGGCGGCGTGGCCCACGGCGAACTCGCCGCGCGCCTCGAAGCCGCCGGCGGCGCCGCGGTACAGCAGGTACACGGCTCGGCCGTCGTCCGTCAGGCAGGTCAGCATCAGCTCGCCGGACGGCAGCGCCAGCAGGCGGGCCGACCGCACGCCCCGCACGGGCACCGTCTGCGCATGCGCCCACTTGCCGATGATCGGCTCGAACCTGCGACGGTGTGGCAGGAGATGAAGAGGACCTGCTGCCGTCCGCACCCGGCACCGGCGGACACCGAGAGTCGCGCTCCGACGCGTGGGCTCTAATGAACAACCAGCTGACGCCAGAAATCATAAACACGACAAAAGGGCGCTGCAAAACCAGCTGAGACATCGTGCGCAAAATACGGCCTGCAATGATGCATAGAAGCAACAAGAGCGGCAAACGGGTACGGCACAAGAGCTATCGAAATCAGTTCCGCTGTTCTGACGACTCAACCGCAAACAGCGGATTACTGAACGGTGGCCTAACGCGCTGGCTGGCTAGTGCGGGCTCACCACATCTATTTTCAACTTACTGACACGCGATCCACTCTGTGTACGTTGACCACTTCTCGGTCAAACCCACAGACCAGCTGCAGACAACGTCCCTCCCTGTTCTTACGCCACAACTGCTCACCTCTGCCCCGCCCCACCCCCTCGCCGCCCCGCGGTCAAGCCCGGAAGCGCACCTGTACGTGTTGACGATGCCGTCGTACTTGTGCGTGGCCTCCCGCACGACGGCCATGACCAGGTGGTCGTCGAGGACAGCCGTGCTGACGTCGACGGCCGCCGAGGCGATGGTCTGGCGCAGGGTGAGCCGGGTCGCGGCCGCCGCCCAGCACCAGAGGTCCACCCGGCCGCCGGCGCCGCTGTTGGCCACCGCCACGCACGCCTCTCCGGCGGCAGAGTACACGGACGCCTGCCGGCAGAAGACGACCGCCGGAGAGCGAGAGGCGAGGGGAGGACAGGGGCACGGGTGCGGCGGCTGGCGTCATCAATGACGACGTCTGGGATAGGTGTCGGACGGAATTATCTGAAGCAATCAAGAGGGAGTATGCCGCACGTGGCGTCATCCACGGCAAACGCATCCGCCCTGGCCGGCTCTAGACCAGAGAGGTGCCGTCCGCCCCGGCTGGCTCGAGACCAGAGAGGTGCCGTCCGCCCCGGCTGGCTCGAGACCAGAGGGGTGCCATCCGCCCCGGCTGGCTCGAGACCAGAGGGGTGCCATCCGCCCCGGCTGGCTCGAGACCAGAGAGGTGCCGTCCGCCTAGGCCAGCTCGAGACCAGAGTGGTGCCGTCCGCCCCGGCTGACTGGAGGCCAGAGAGGTGCCGTCCACCCCAGCTGGCTGGAGACCAGAGTGGTGCCGTCCACCCCAGCTGGCTGGAGACCAGAGTGGTGCCGTCCGCCCCAGCCGTGCGTGAGATTGGGACTGGTAGTGCGCCACGATGTTACCCGTCTAGTTCCAAGTGTCCACGTCGTTATCTGCACATCCACAACTCCGCCCACACATCACCGACACGTCTGCAGAGCCAATAACGTTATGAAGCCCTTCGCTGCACGTAAACATTGACTAAGTCGGCGTGTCGCTCACGATCGGCAGTAGGAGTGTGATCGAAGATATACAGTATGATCCAGGCCTGCCCAACACCAGAGTCTAACTGGCGAACTAAACGTGAGCTATTGCGCTCTACATAACAGCCCAGGCCACATTCACGGGCCGCTCCGACTAGCAAATGAACCCAATTGTTACTAGAAGTTACAAAAATCATACATGAACAAAATCATGAACATAAAATTATAAACATTTAAACTTAAATACGGCTGCATATTATGACATTTTGTGGCCCAAATTCGAACCAGATGGCGCGCGCGGTCCAGTCCGCCAGCTCTCAGCGGCGCGGGAGATCACAGACTTCCGACCGGAGGTCAGAGGTCACCGACCTGTCGTCCGCCGTGCGTGTCGATGGCCTGGTGGAGGGTGAACTTGGTCTGGGCGTCCCGGTAGCAGGCCAGGTGCGACACGTTACCCAGGAAGTGCACGAACAGGAAACAGTCGTGCGAGGAGGACGGCTGCAGGCTCTGCGAAGGGAACGAAGACAGACGCGGGACAGTGAATCATCGGCGAAACCGAATGGAAATAGCACGCAATAAGGGTGCTACTAAGGTGTGCTGTAAAAGGCCACCGCAAAGGTTGGAAAGTTTGCATGCATACCTCTACTAGACGCGGGTGCGCTGCGGCACGCGGCGTTTTAATCACGCAAGTGCAACGCATTCCATACGACCGGACCTGGAGCGAATTACTACGCACGTACTGCGGACTTCGTTATATGTCTTAAGGGAAGCATTTGAGGGACGCATGCGACTTGTCGTGCGTGACGCCACAACTGTTTCAATGCCTGAAGAGCGTCCCGGTCGGCAATTACCTTTCACATCCCCGCGGTATTTACCTTCACATCCACCGTCTTATGGCTGGGCATGGCTTGTGATTGGACCAGGACGTTTCGATGGTACAGGAATATGTAGTTGACGGCCCCGTGCAGCTGCTCCAACACTGCAACGCGAGCCACGTCAGACAGCGGCCGCCGTGCCAGACGAGACACGTGAAGGTCAAGGTCGCGCCAGCCCAACGGCGGCCCACGAGCCCCAGTCAGACGGGTGGGCGGCCGCGCTGGACGGCGCCGGCCAGCACGCAGGTGGAATAGCGAACTGTCGATTGGGAGGCGGCCTTCGTCTGGCGCCGGGTGGGTGTGGCGGACCCACGCTGCCGTCTGCTGCGGCTGCATATCCGCTCCGGTTACGGGGCTCCGACATATCGCAACCGAATATGCATCGGCCCACACGCCAAGCTTCCCTGAAGCGGCGCTGCCCCGGGGCGGCCTGGCGGCGCGGCGCGTGCTCCGCGTCCGCCGGCCGACCCGGGCCCTGTTCCGGCTGGGGTTGGAATCCGCCCCGTAATCAAACATGCCGCACGAGACATGGTGGAATCGGTTCATTTGAAACACAGCTGGAGCCGCAATCGACCCGGCTCGAGAGTACTCGCCGGTATTGATGACACATCATTTTTCTGACAGCTAACATACTTCTACGTGTACAGTTCACGACATCCTGATCTATATTTACCTGAGCGATCAAATAAATGCATCATTAAGACCCGTATATGCAGGTTTAGAGACGCTTATTGTAAGATCCCTGTTACCAGAGTCGGTACCGTTCAGGTTGCTTCCATAATCAGGTGTCCCGCATTACAAGCGGACCCAGAATCGGCTCCCAACTGCGCACAGCTGTCCAAAACCATAGTTTGAAGCCACCCAGGGACCGAATCATAGCCTGTTTATATCTTGCGGATGTGTTATCAAGCACGGAGCCATCATCACAACATGAAACCCCGTCACTGATGACATGTTTTCCGCTCAATCAAAATCTCTGGCATCACAAAATTCGATTAAACCATTCGTTTATCATAAGCTGTCATTAAAAACCAGGGCAGATATCTACAAAAATGCCATTTAAAGACTCGCTCCCGCTTATAAGCATCTTGCAAAACAATGTTGACGGCCCAGTAATTCGGCGACGATGATCATGAAAAAATTGGTCTGGCCATAAGCGTGTTTGTTTTGCAATTTATCGGATGGTTTGTGAGATCGCTGACGTCAGTGAACTAAATAATTCATAGATCGCAAGTAACTCCTTTTTGGAAGATGTGGACAAATGTAAAAGCACAATATCGAAAGTAAGCATGAAATGTCCAGCGTGCCGAAGGGATTGACCGACTGACTTAACGTTAGATCTCAACGGACTGAAAACCTTTTACGCCAACACTTACGTTAAACACATCCGACACATGATAAAAAGCTTATTTTCGCGACCAAATGCTGCCATTATAGAGTAAGCCAGAAGCTTACAAGCGCCGGAAGCTGCGTTTGGCGAGCAAAACCACAAACAGCACCTATGACCTTCGTCATACCACATTTCTATCTGCAACCGCGTTCAAGCACCAGGACAGCTTTTATCCTTAGTGAAGGGTAACCAGAAGGCAAAAATATCTAGTATTCGTTAAATTTCCCAAGCAGAATTACTGAGCAGAACCAAAAAACTTGGCCGCCGATTCTTACTTCAGTAGCATTCATGCCTCCTAACTTACTATTCTCGAGTGTGGCTACCATACTAGATTCTTCTAAATTGGTGGTACTCGTTTTCTCACCGTGCCCCGGGCCCCTCTGCTGCGCCGCTCGCCATCACCCGACGAGCGGTCTACTCTGCAGGCCGCGACGCGTTGTCAATACTAGCATGGGCACAGAAATCCTTTGGCAATTTTGCCATTTTTAGGATTGAAATGATCATAACGTGTGCATTGCATTTATTCGATTTCATTTTAATCATTTCCCCTGTGGAAGTCATTGTCTGAGACGGGTGTACTTATTGTGGAGGATGCAGCAGCGTTAGTGCAACGCTGCTCTACGGGCAATCAAGGAAGATAATCTTGATAGCACATTTGAAAATAACCTTAAAATGACATTAGCCTTGAAAATAATCTTAAACTAACGTAACTCGCACGAAGGAACAATCAGGGAAAAGAACGCACGCCCTCCGGTCGTGTTCTCTCACCCGGGTCGTCCCAGCGGTACACCTGGTCGGGGACGGCGGCAGACGCCGGTGGCGCCGCCATGCGGGCGACGGCCGCGTGCCGCGTGCCGGCGGCCCGCATCAGGCCGGCCATCCAGGCCAGCCGCGCCTCAGGATACGCAGGACCTGCAGCACAGAGAGCGCCCTCAGCAGCGTCAGGCGACTGTGTGTGACACCCATGGGTGGAGCTTTGTGTCGCTTTGGAGGGCCTTGGGGCCTCAATACTATTGTCGAGGCCTCTTAACATTCTATAAAATGACTACCCCCCCAAACCAAAAAGGAGAATATCTGGACTTGGAAGAACATCGTCCACCCAATGAGTTCGACGAGGCTCGGATTATGGCAAGATATTGTGCCACGTCTTTCACCAGGGAACAGCTAAACATCGTTCTAACTTGCGGGTCAGAAATACGTTTTAAATGGTTTGTGTTTTGCGTGCACGCCTTCGTCCAAAACCGAAGACCAGGTGTGGTCTTGTTTTTACACAGCGTTCGGGCGAAGAGCTCACGAAAAATAACCGAAAGTTTAACGACAATGAGTTTGACAGCGTGTGCTCCTGGTCTGCCATCTGAACCACTCCGCAGCGTCCGCTCCAAACTAATCCAACACCACTTTCACCTATCCCCGGGCACTGGACGAGCTTGTCCGTTCTCCGCGTTTGGAGGCTGCGCCCGCCGCACGAACCAGACCCCTCCCCACAGCCGCGAGTCACGGCACCCACCGTCCGTCCACTGGCCGAAAACGCCTCCGGCGCTGGCTGCCCAGCGCAGCAGCCGGATCCGGGTATCCCAAATAGCGAGCAGCAGCGTGGGCGGCTGGCCCTCGCCGTCCAGGTAGACGGGCGCGAACCGGATGACGTCGGACCGCCAGCTCTGCGTCTGCACGTAGTACTGCAGGTAGCTGGCCGCCTGCAGCCGGGCTGCAGCGGAACTGACGTCATGGGGACGGCGGGACGGCGCGGCGCCAACGCCGTCCGCTCGCGCTCCGAGGCGCCTGCAGAGGCGCGCCGGGCTCGAGCATAGACGCCGTGACTCGTGTGACAGCCGGAGCTCAGTCCATTGGAGATAGAGCTCAGTTGACAGAGGAGACGGAAGAGAACAGAGGAGACGGAAGAGAACAACCAGCGTCCATGCAGATGAAAGCCATCTCTGTATCAGAGCACGGCCACAGAAATGTCTCAAATCAACTGACATTCCCTGCGGTTCAGCCCACGCCAGCGTTGTCTGGTGCGGCTGTGTCACAGCACTGAAGTCATCAACTTCACCGTTGCATCAACGCCGCTGTCCGCAACACTACCCCGCCGCAGACATGCTCACTGCCGCCAAACAGGCGGCTCAGCTTTCATGGGCGAAGAGTATGGTGACAGCACGCGCCGCAACGTCTGGCGAGACAGGGCACTGACCGCGGGCGTCCAGCAGGGCCTGGTAGATGTACTGGACGGTGGCGACGTACTGGCGGGCTACTGCCTCGTCCACCAACTGCAGCTGGTCCTGGGCGTTGAGCAGCAGCTGCAGCAGCTGTCGGCGGGGACAGCTGTGTCAGCGGGAGAGACAACAGAGGGCAAGAGACGGCGTCGCATTCGTGAAGCTTAGAGGCGCGCTCACGTCCGACCGCTCATGTCCGACCGCGGGGTTGAGCGCGGCACGCTATAACACCTGAACGCTCTTGAAAAGACGTAGCATCGAGATGAAACGTACTAACACCATCTAACAGTTACAAAATAAACTTGAACTCCGAAAGGAGCAAAGGCATTACACAACCAGTCAATGGCGGCTCAACACAGATAGCGGGCCTACTAATGAGCTGCAACCAGCCAATCCAATGGAAAACTTCACCAAAAACAGCACCAAGACCACTAAGACGTCTCCGACCTCGTACAGCTGTTGCTCCGCGGCGGAGTTGGTGACGTTGTAGTCGATGAAGAATGGCATGTTGGTGAAGGTCCAGTACGCTGTTATGTTGTATGAGCCGTTCAGCCGAACCTGCGGCGAAGGCAACAGTGCCACCAGCGTGAGATCAGGCGATGACAGTGGCGTGCGATGTCTGCGATACACGTCATGACGCTGCGCTGACGCCTGAGGTTCACTTGGCCAATTCCCAATGACTTCCAGTTATTTACGTCTCCAATGTCCGACCCCGTGTGTTGCCAGAGGATCAATGCTGGAGGCTCTGTTTCTACCAAATGCAATTTTTCCCAGTTGCAACACTTTCATAGACTTGGTGTTGGTGGCTGTCATCTAGTCATCTATCCACTCATAGTCATCCATCCGTCCAGAAATCCGTTTATCAAACCATCCATCCAGTCACCTATCCAGTCATCCATTCATCCAAGATCGTTCATCCATTCTAAGTCATCCATCTATTCAAGGTCATGTATCCGTCCATAGTCAGCCATCCATCCAGTCGTCCAGCCATTCACAGTCATCCACCCACGGCTACTGTCACCGGCCCATCGGCCTATCGCCGTCAGCAGCCGGCCGCCGGGCCCAGCTGACTTAGCGGCGGACCAGCACCACCGCGGACCAGCCGGTACTGACCGCCGAGCCTAGCAGGCGGCGCAGGTCGACGCCGTTCAGGCTGGGCGTGTCCAGATTGGGTGCGACCAGACACTGCCCACCGGCAAGCCGCAGCCAAGTGTGGCCGCGCACTGTCTGGTCGCTGGACAGCGTCAGCACCGACGACTGGTGCAGCGGCACCCCGCCGACCGTGCCGTTGACGCTGCCGGGCACGGGCGGGGCTGGTGTGCACGCCATGGCGGGTCGACACGGCGCGCGACGCCGGCGGCGGCCTTCCGGCTGCCAGCGGCGAGGTAAACACGACAGGCGCGAGGACTGCATCACGTTGGAGAAACTAACCAAGAAGATAAGGCACGCACTTGGATAGGCCCTCTCCTCTGGGTGACGAAAGGGCGCACGGCTGACCATGGCCTCGAGCTACGGACCGCCACGCCAGCGCGCTCACTGCAACAGGACGTTCGCGAGCACGGCCAGCGCCATTCACGGTTATGGCCACCCTTCGGCAGCACGTATAGATGCTTCGCCAGCGCCAGCGGGCCTACCAGCACCGCGCGGATGGCCTCAGCGGCCGGCCGCGCCGCCACCCCGAGCGGTCGCCCCGAGGGAGCCGCGCCGCTGCCCCGAGCGGTCGCCCCGAGGGAGCCGTGCCGCTGCCCCGAGCGGTCGCCCCGAGGGAGCCGCGCCGCCGCCCCGAGCGGTCGCCCCGAGGGAGCCGTGCCGCTGCCCCGAGGCGGTCGCCCCAAGGGGGCCGCGCCGCTACCCCGAGCGGTCGCCCCGAGGAGACCGCGACCTGCCCGCACCGAGCGGTCGTCCCGAGGGAGCCGCGCCGCTACCCCAGCGGTCGCCCCGAGGGAGCCGCGCCGCCGCCCCGAGCGGTCGCCCCGAGGGAGCCGCGCCGCCGCCCCGAGCGGTCGCCCCGAGGGAGCCGCGCCGCTGCCCCGGCCCTCACATCAGCGGGCGGGTGAAGGTCAGCGCGCCGAACGTGACGTCAGAGGAGACCGTGAACGTGCCGTGTCGCTGCAGGAAGTTGGAGATGTGCAGGTGCTTCGAGGGGTCCAGATTGAACACCTGGCCGCCGTCCGGCAGACTGAGGTTGCCTGTGGAGAGGGGCGGGACCGGGACTGACCGGGCAGAAGCGCGTTGGGCAGAGGGCGCCCCAGGACGGCGTCGAACCGCATGAGTAAACAACGCTTTCAGAAACTATCGTAGAGCCGGGAAGCGACTTACGTACGCTACTCACCTCCGTAGGTTTGATGTTGCCAGTGATAATGGCGATACGAGAAGAAATAGTTTGTTACAGCTCACTCAAGCAATATAAATCAATTTCCACGATTTCAGCACTGCCCGGACAGGTCAGAGATAAACAAGCGGACGTGGTCCCAACAGACTGCAGACGTGGACGTGGTCTAATAGGCTGCACTGCAGACTAAACCGCTGGGAACACATCAGGCGAGCAGACTCGCACATCACACATGGCTGCAACTGTGCGGGTGGCCCAATATGAGAGTGCGTGGCAGGCCCACCGGTCCATACCACTGACAGTCAGCCGGTACACAGTCTGGTGTGAGCTGAAGCGCAGCTCGGTGGCCGAGTCCTTGACCAGAGCGTCGGCCGGGATGCCGTTCAGGCTGGTGAACATCAGGGGACCTGCAACGGAGCGAGGCTGTGAATGGGTTGCGAATGACGGCTTCCAGCCCAAAGCGCAGGGAGCGGGCTTTCCACAGCCAGCGCCTAACGACCCTGCGAGTGGCAGTGGCGTGGGCAACACGTAATCCTGGCAGGGACCCGCTAAAGGCTTGCATTGCATTGCATCGCGGGTCTTAAGGTTCCGATTTCCAAACGATTCTTCAACGCACGCCAGTGGATCATTAAACGTCACAGGAAAGCTACGATAACGTGGACCACGTGCATAACAGGCATAACCCACGCCATCGTTGACGACAGCACACCGACCGCCGCCGATGAGGTCGAGCAGAACACCCACCATTGACGATAAGGTCGGGCAGGGTCCAGTGTCCGGTGACCGTGCCACCAGCGACGGTCAGCGCCGAGGCCATCAGCGCGCTCAGGTCCTTGCCGTTGACCCGGCCCGTCACAGTCTGGCGCGCGAGCGGCCAGGGTCGGGTCATACCGGGCGAGGCCCGGCGAGTTCGGGCAGGTGGGCGCGCGGCACCCATCAAACTCCTGGCAGTGCGACAGGCTAAAAAACTCATGGCAAAGCGCCGGGTTATGTTCACATAAATGCTAGTTTGACCGTACTTTATTTCGCACTCCGCTGCTAGAACACCAGCGCCATCTTCAGATACCCCTCGGCTTCACGTGGTGACATAAGCAGCCACCCCGTCCGCCGTCAGCCACTGGCGCGCTGACCCGCAGTGACCCAGCCCGAGCCTCACCAGCTGATTGGCCGTCAGCTGGTCCACGGTGAGGCCGCCGCCGAACGTGACGTCACCGGTCACAGTCTGCGGCCGGAGCAGGTTCCAATGGTGCCGCAGGTAGGTCAGCAGGTCCACCGGCGCGGGCGGCACGCCCGCCAGCAGCGTCTGCAGCACGCGCCGGCCGGGCCGGTGGTGGGAACGGGTCGCGGCCCAGGGACACTTCTACGTGACTAAACTCCTTACGCAAAAACTTCCACGCGATTTTACTTCCGCGCGATAGAACGTACAATACAAAGATTTCTAATGCATGAGCTACTCGCGACAAATATCTTATGCAAAAATATATTAGGCATGTGCGTAAGGATGACAGCACTGGTAATGCGAACACTTATGAGACACTCGGTCCCATAACTCCCCCTCCCCCTTAGATCCACTCCTGGATGGGATGTCTCCAGGTTCAGCAGCTCATGTGGTACGGTCATACGCCATACTCCCCACACACTGGACACATGTGAAAATGAAAAACTATCGTTCATAACTGCACACAGGAGTTCAGAGAGTGATCTTTTTTTTAAATCTGACATTTTCACCCTAAGTAAATGTGTACATGACATGTGCGCGGATATTGCGGGATGGCAAACACACATCCAGTGGCATGCACCTGTGCTTTTATCTTCATAGGTACACAACAATGCTAAGTAAACGTCCAAAACAATATACCATCACGGAACGCCGGAATGACCACGCATTGCATTTTTCAAATACCAGGATCGTAGAACTGTGGGGAAGGACGGGGACTGACATTCCTCGCGTAAAGCAGTGTCCTGCAGGCTTCTTTCCGAAGTTTTTTTGCGGACCCTTTTGACTAGAAGCTCTTGCATTGGAAGAAGTGCTACATATAAATTTATTTGTTGGAAGACTTGCCGCACAGGAAGGACGTTGCGTAGAAGCTTTTGCATTAAAGGTTTTATTGCTGCTTGGAATTTCACGGGTAATTATAATTATAATTTTTTGCACAAGTAGTATTGCGTGAAGGTTTTTGAATGACACCATTTGTCCGGCAGGAGTGTTGTCGCGCACAAGCTTTTACATTACAAGATTGGCCGTGTAGAAGTTGAGGTCTTAGAAATTCTTACATTAGACGTAAAGCCGCGTAAAAACCGCGTCGTCTGTCTCTGTTGCCAGCTATATTGTGTCAGGAGTACGGCCCGTACAGCGCGGCTAAGGGTGGCGCCGCCCGCGTCGGTACCGGCTGTGCAGAGGGCGCCCAGCGTCCAGACACGGCGAGGCATCGCAGGCAGAGCATGCTCGCCCGGTTATTGACGACATTGCCAGCGACCGGGTGGTGTTTCAGGAGAGAGGATTGCACGCGGGGCTTTAAGCGACTGAATACCTCATGCACAAGGGCCTTTTCACGAATGTTGAGTTTTTCGGAGATCAGCACACGCGCGTAAGTGCCGTATCACGCACACGAGACCTCGACATCAGGAGGCAGGCTGGCGGCGGATCGGACCTCGACGCCCACGCACGCAGCCGACCAGAGAAGGACCACACACACACACACACGTGAACGACCCGGGCCACCCAGACAGACGGCGGTGGGAGCAGCCGGCGTCGTCAGCATCCCCGAGCGTCTCGCCCCGCCCGCCGCCCGCCCCCAAGCGACACCAGCCAACGCTCACCTGGACCTCGACGCTGGCGAACAAGGGCTGCTGCAGAAAAATGTGGCCGGCCAGGGTCTGATCTGCGTCACGCAGCCACACCAGGCGGTCCAGCCGGCTCAAGTCCAGGCCGTTCAGCGTCCAGGACAGCGGGTTCATCGCGCGGTGGAGGGTCACGTTGCCTGAAAGCAAGCAGCTCGTCTTAGAACAACGAATGGCACCCAAGTAATTACCCTCAAACACGTGCCCTAAATGATTTTGCGCTGACACGGTCAATTGACATGACTGCGGATTACGCTAACAGCCAAACGAAATGGCAACCAAGACAGTCAAGAGCTTGGTCAGCGAGCTGGACCCACCCTCACCGAGCGCCTGGACCGATCCGCCACCGTCCGCGCCGCAGCGCCGGTGAGCAGGTTCAGCCCAGCGCTGCACCCACCGTTGACGGTGAGGCTGGCGAAGGTGTTGGGCGTGTCGGTGCGGACCACCCGCTGACACACGTCATCCAGCTGGATCCCGTTCACCGGGCCGGTGACAGTGAGCGTGTCCAGGGCGTACATGCCGCCCAGGAACACCTGTCGGAGGCGCACGACCTTAGTGAGTCGCTGCGGGCGCAGACGAGCCATGGCGTCAGCCCGCCACAAAACTTCGCGCGTCATCATCGGCTTAGTGGGTCCACTCCGGGAAAAAGCACCGCCCAAGAGATGCGTGATCAAGGCGCACAGGCCGAGAAAGAAGGCTGCTCAGGACGTAAACGGCGTCCCAAACAGCGGATGAAGAAACAAGCGCACCAAGCAAACTGCCCAACGCGTAGGATATGAAGCCCTCTAATAAAAAGCAGACAAGCTCCTTCGCGTTGCGCAAAGGTAGACAGATGAAGCTGCCGGCACACGTAATGAGCGTAAGCGCCTCCAGTAGGGGCACTTTCCTAGGCTCCTAAATGCCTTTAAAAGAACGGCAAACTTATTTCGCCCGACAGACCGAAACCTCTCGACTGGTCATTGTTCCTGGATATACCATGACACAAAATTTGAGACTGAGCATTTGCAATCCTGTGTCTGCTGCGGTCAATATCCTGTCTACTTCCTTCCACAACATACCTCCTCAGTTCTTCAGAGTCAACACGACTCTACTTTTAATGCATGCGGGTGACTGGCACCCCTAGCAACACTCTTCAACTGTCTAGACCACGCAGCCCGCGTCCGGCGCACTCTCACCTTCGAGCCGAGCAGGATCTCGCTAAGGTTCTGGCGCACGACGTCAGTCAGGTTGACGCTGGGATGGCGCACGGCGACCGCGTCGCCCACCAGCCGGTCTGCGGCAGCGGCGCGCCCAGGGGTCGGTCGGGTCACGGGGCAGGCCGGCTCACGTGCGACAGGTCGCGCATCACGCTTGGTGGCAGTTATCGTCACGCTTAACGCCCATCAACGCGTCAAGATGGGGGGGGGGGACGGGGGCTGGTGGTGATGGAGAGACAAATGGTCAGATCATAGCCTGCGGGCAATAGAAACTGACTTTTGACGACTGGAGCCATACACTACTGGAGATGGACGAAAAGCGCATGACTACGAGAGTCTCGCACCATGCACGGCGCTCACACGCCGACGGCATCGCGCGTGCGAGGCGCTGAAGCTCCGCCAGACATGGCAACACCTTGCAACCGGCCCGCTCAGCCGCCCGCCGCCCCTCAGCGGCCGCCTCTCCGCTGGAGGTCGCCTCCGCAGCTGTCTCACTGAATGTGACGTTGGAGTTGATGACGACAGGGGCGCCGAGCCGGATCAGCCCGGCGAACAGCTGGTCGCCAGGCACGCCGTTGAGCGAGCCGTCCGGCAGCACGTGCAGGGCGAGCACGGTCAGGTCGGCGCCGGCGGTCAGGTGGGAGCCGGCCGCCAGCGCCTGGCCGCCGGCCGTCGTCAGCCAGGCCGAGCCGAACTCGTCGCAGCTCATACCGTCAAACGTGCCTGCCGGCGCACACGCGCAGTCAGGCGTCGGCGGGAGGCGGCGAGAGTCACCAGGACCTCTAGAACGGCGTCGGCCTACCGCGAGTTCCTGTTTGAGCAAGATCGATCAATGGTTGTGGCACGCTTGGGTGATTCATTTGATACCAGTCAATTTTCTGTTTACGCAGCTACATTTCTGCGGTTTCGTCGGCAGAAAGAGTCTGTGGGAGAAAAACCACAAGTCGGTACTTTCAACTATGGTAGTGTTTTAGCACGCAACGTTACAGCCTGAAGCAATGCACAGAAACTGCCCAATCTCTTGAGTTGCAGCTCTGATAGCACAAAGGCCAATGCCACACTCGTCCCGCAACAACACAGTGCTTGCTTCAAAAGACTTGCCAAAACTGCAGCATACGCCCAACATCACCGAAAGCGCTGCCGAAGTCAGGAGTCGCCTGCTCAGTTACGCACATCCTTATGCTTCAAAGAAAACAAAACACAGAAAATAGAATTTGCAAGCCAGACGGCGACCACATCGATGCCCCCAACGTCACGTCACGTCTGACCTCAGGAAAGCGTCACGCTCGCCCCCACAGCGTCGCCCAGCCCCGCGGCTCACCGATAAACTTTAAGTCGTCCACAGTGGCGTTGTTCTGGAAGACGAGGTCGCCGTTGACGATGCCGTCACGGACCACGTCTTGGAAGAGCTCCAGCAGGCTCACGCCGTTGATGAGGCCAGACACGATCAGGGTGGAGACAGTCACCTTGTTGGTGAAGTTCTGAGAGCCGGTCACTATCGTGTATGCTGGAGGAGGAGCCGTCCTGGTGTCAACATTCGACCCACGTGCAGACGTCACCAGGGGAGAAGACGGCCCACATCTCCGTCAAACGACGCCAAAACACGCTAATACAATGGCCCTCAGGCAACTACGCGCGACCACCGTGCCTGAAGAAAAAGACCACAACCACAACCACGTCTGACGTCTGATGATAGCAAAGATCATAACCGCACGCGTCTGACGTCTAGTGATCACGAGATGACCAAGCGCAATCCTGGAGGCACACAGCTCGGAGGAGCTCCTCCTCGCGCCGGCGGGCGGCTGGCTGGCTGGCTGGCCGGCCGGGCGGCGGCCGGGCGCGGCCGCTCCGCTCCGGTGGCGCGGGACTCACTGGCGTTGACGTTGGCCGCCGAGAGGAGCGAGGTCAGGTTGACGCCGTCGATCAGGCCGTCCACCCAGAGGTCCGTCACGTGCAGGCCGGCCACCTGCAGCGGCGACGTGTAGATCTTGGAGCCTGCCGGCCGGCGGACACCGGTCACGGGCCAGGTCACCGACCGTAGTCACCGACGGGCCACGGGTCACTGCCCGCGGACCGCAGGTCGGAGCTGCTGCCTGCCGGCGGAGCAGCCAGCGGATTGCGGGCACCGGCTCCTTAATTTGCGTTGTAGATGACCGGGTCACCCGACCGAGTTAGAACTAAAGCATGACCTGTTATCCCTCTGCTACCGTTGGGTGTATCATGTTGTTATCGTTGGATGCATCACGCTGTGTATGTATGTACTGATCATCTCTTCGGTTATGGCCTCCAAACTCAGCATCTAGCCAACTGCCAGCTCCTGCCAGCTGATCACTCGAGCTCGATTCTCTTACTCACGGACACTTCATGCACAGACCCACAACGGCGGAGCTGTCAAGGCACAAAATGGCACGTGTCTCACGGATCAGGTCAGTCGGTACACATCAGTCCAGAGCTCTGATCGGTCGAGCCCGCCCCTCTGACACAGCCCCCGACAGTTCGCTGGCCCCGTACGCTGATGGTCCGGGGCCGGTGGTCCACGCCCGGCCGCTGCCGGCGCCGCCTGGAGCCGCGCGCGAGCTCACCTGCAATGGTGTGCGTGCCGGAGACGGTGACGGCCTCGCTGAGGTCGTACCCCTGCCACTGCACCGCGCCCGCCGTCAGGCTGGCCAACAGACAGCGGGTGTTGTGACCGCTTCATCGGGCAGGCAACTGGCTAGCAGGTCGAGCGCTTGAAAGGGCGTGGTGTGCACCATGCTAGATTGGTCTCATGTGAGAACACGCTGGTAGTTCTTTCAAGCGTTTACAATGACAGCGAAGCGTCACACTGATGTCTATCAAAGCTTAACACCTTCACCCCGTCGGAAGGTTAAAGCGGGGGTTACATGAAGAATATGAGCACCAGACGTTGGTTTCCGGTTGCCAGGTTTTATTTATGGTGGTAGATACAAGCTGCAACGTCACCCCACCGCCCAACAGCAGCCACATTCATCTGACGTCACAAAGGCAACGCAAACGGTGCGCCGCCCTCAGTGCCTTCCCTGTCGCCTGCCCCACACATCACCATGGGCCAGCTTCCTAAGCACCTTGGGCTACGGCGCAGCTATTGCATGGGAGACTCCAAGCACTCTTTCAGAAGGCAGCAGGCCCACTCGCCGCCGCCCTGTGCTGACCCCGCTGACCTGCCGCCGACGAACTCACGTGCCGAACGCCGTGTCCGTGACGAACAGAAGCGGCCCCAGCACCTGCTGGTCACCGCTGGTGCGCAGCACGCTCAGGTAGAAGTCGTCCAGCAGCAGGCCGTTCAGCAGGTCCACGAAGAGGCGGCGCGCCGACAGCGAGACCAGCGTCTTGCTGCCCGTCACCACCTGGCTGTCGGCGTCGGTCAGCACCCAGTCGGCGGGCTCCTGGCCGTTCAGCAGCGTCGTCTGCAGGTCGCCGGAGATCTGACGGCGGAGAGGGGCAGAACTGACGGGGCCGGAGGCGACTGGTGAAGTGTCGCCTATGATGAAGTGCCGGCTGTGGTGAAGTGCCGGCTGTGGCGAAGTGTCGGCTCTGGTGAAGTGTCGGCTCTGGTGAAGTGTCGGCTGTGGTGAAGTGTCGGCTGTGGTGAAGTGTCGGCTGTGGTGAAGTGTCGGCTGTGGTGAAGTGTCGGCTGTGGTGAAGTGTCGGCTGTGGTGAAGTGTCGGCTGTGGTGAAGTGTCGGCTGTGGTGAAGTGTCGGCTGTGGTGAAGTGTCGGCTGTGGTGAAGTATCGGCTGTGGTGAATGGTGAAGTGTCGGCTGTGGTGAAGTGTCGACTGTGGTGAAGTGTCGGCTGTGGTGAAGTGTCGGCTGTGGTGAAGTGTCGGCTGTGGTGAAGTGTCGGCTGTGGTGAAGTGTCGGCTGTGGTGAAGTGTCGGCTGTGGTGAAGTGTCGGCTCTGGTGAAGTGTCGGCTCTGGTGAATTGTCGGCTCTGGTGAATTGTCGGCTCTGGTGAAGTGTCGGCTCTGGTGAAGTGTCGGCTCTGGTGAAGTGTCGGCTCTGGTGAAGTGTCGGCTCTGGTGAAGTGTCGGCTCTGGTGAAGTGTCGGCTCTGGTGAAGTGTCGGCTCTGGTGAAGTGTCGGCTCTGGTGAAGTGTCGGCTCTGGTGAAGTGTCGGCTCTGGTGAAGTGTCGGCTCTGGTGAAGTGTCGGCTCTGGTGAAGTGTCGGCTCTGGTGAAGTGTCGGCTCTGGTGAAGTGTCGGCTCTGGTGAAGTGTCGGCTCTGGTGAAGTGTCGGCTCTGGTGAAGTGTCGGCTCTGGTGAAGTGTCGGCTCTGGTGAAGTGTCGGCTCTGGTGAAGTGTCGGCTCTGGTGAAATGTCGGCTCCGGCTGCCGACATTTCAACACCGACCGACCAGACGGCCGGTCGGTGTTCAGAGGGCAGGGACGGCAAGCTACAACAGCCTGACTACTATACCGTGGACTCTGTCCTGGGGTGGACACGGGAGGCAGGGCAACGCATCCTCCCCCTCCCCACACACACACGCTGCAGGAAGCAACAGTCAACCGCAACCGGGCAAACACGCTGGGCACATCGGCCTGCATTCAGCAACTCACAGAACACGCGTGCACCCATGAAAACCAGCCATTTGACTGTCGCAGCAGCACAACTCGGTCCCAGTGCCCGGCCCACCACGAGGTCCTGGAACACGAGCGGCGGCAGCGTGCTGTCTGTCAGCTTCAGCGCCGAGTCCAGCAGGGCCGTGACGTTGACGCTGTTCAGCAGGCCCGTCAGATGCAGGTCCGAGAGGAAGGTGACGTTGCCGTTGATCACCTTGTCGCCGTCTGCGGCCGCGGACGCCACCAGGCAAGAAGTCACGCCGCCGCAAACACCACGCATGCTGACAACGTACGCGTTAGCTTTTCAGCCTATTCCCGGGGTATGTCGTGAGCCGTCGCCCAGTATTCGCTGCACGTGCTTTGAGTACATCACGACGGAGGGTCTTAATGCAAGCTGTGACCATGCACAATCTCATGCGTACGTACGTAGCCGTCACGCGCACGTGCGTATGCATCATACGAAGTAAGACGAAACCTTTAACATGATTTTGCCCGATTGCGCTCAGCTACACGGCATGACACACTGCTCCAGTTCTGCTTTGCTCGACATTGCAATGGAGCGTCGGCACGAGGGGCATGACTGTCTACCAGGGTCTCTTTCCTGGTGGCATTAAAACCACGTAGCCAACCGGCATTGCAAACGGTAGCCAACCACAGCATTAACGACCGCGCGCGCCCACCGTCTGATCCCCTATCCTCCACCAGCGCGGCGCCGGTCAGGACGCCGCACTCACGGACAACGGTGGTGGCCTGGTCCAGCGCCTGGTTCAGCAGCGCCGCCGACACGTTCACGCCGTTGATCAGGCCCTCCACCAGCGAGTCCCCCGTCAGGTGCAGCGTGCCGATCATCTTCTGACCCGTCACCAGCTGATCGCCGGAGGTCAGCAGCACCTGCAGGCGACCGTCCACCACCTGCCCGCGGGGCACGGCGGCGGTCACGGCCGGAACGGACGGCGGAGCACGAGACCGCAGACTGTCCATGGCCATCAGCCGCCACGCTTCTTTCGACGGCGATGACACGCGATGCTCGACTCGGGGTCGGGTGGGGAGCTACCCGGCGCATCGCGCGCTAGAGCGGGCGCCTGCCGCAGCGTGCGGGCAGCAACGCCGGACCGGCAGCACAGTCGCGCCCAGCATCCCCATCCCGTCACCACTGACGTCAGCAGCGACGCCCCGCCTCTCGGGCCGCTCAGCAGCGCGTGCCGTACCCTGACGGGGCCCAGACGGTCGGTGACGATCAGCTGGTGCGCGGCGACGGTGGAAAAGGTCAGACTCTGGACGTGGTAGCTGAGCTCCGGCCGGTGCACCAGCACTAGGTCGTCGGGCACGCGCAGCCCGCCCAGCGTGCCGCGCAGAGTCAGTCCGCCGACCACGTGCAGGGTGCCGACGGTCCAGGCGCCTGTGGGAGCCGGCCGCCGGCTCAGCGAACACCGTGACGGAGCGCACGATCCGGGTGTTACGTGGTGCTCCAAAAGCAGGATCGGCTGGTTTGGCACATGGCTGCAGTCACTGTCCGGCAGTGATGCAGGCAGCGGGCGTGAGTCGGCCTTTCTTCCGGTCGGGTTCGTTATCCACAACAATGCGCTTGGGCCCCATCCCATGCACAATGTTAGACAGAAATGCGGGCTGCCATCTGGCTGAGAGAGTCGACCTGGCTTCCGACGGCAGAGATGCGGCTGGAAGCGCAAAAGAGAGCGAAATGATCCTCTGAGCTGACACCGTCTAACATGGCTGCCTCCCAGAGATAATTGTCATTAAATTATTTTGCGCCGCCTAGCAGCCATGTTACACCGCCGGTCATGCGTTGCCTGACCGGCGATGGTCTGGCCGCCTGCGGTGGTGAACGCGTGCTGCAGCAGCCGGTCAACAGAGACGCCGTTGATGGTCTGCGCGGAGGCCGTCTGGATCACCACGGGCCCGGCGAAGTGCAGCGGGCCTGCGGCAGGGTAACGAGGTGTCGGGAGAGGCAGCGCGACTCGAGCGGACATACAGAGAATTGTGACAGCGAGCCACGGAACGCGGTCACGGCAGCGGAGCTGCTGTTCCCGCCTACGACCAGGGACTGTCACACCTCGTCGCCATCATGTCACCTCATAATCCCATCCACATAACAGACTAACAAGGAGCTATTAACCGCCTGCCGCACGGACAAAACCGCGCCGGAAACAACGCCAACCAGATAAGCATCACCACCACCAGACATTCAAAAACAGCCACCTCAAACATCCATTCTACATTCATTTGCACAGTGACACTCCAGTCCACCCAGCCGGCAGCCAGATCCCTACGAAGGCCTCCTCGCGGCCGGCAGCCCCGCCCCTCACCGGACAGCGTGCCGTTGCTGACGGACATCGACTGCTGCAGCAGCGTCCGGACGTCGATGCCGTTGATCAGGTGCACGTCCAGGCTCGTCGCTGTCACCGTGCCGAACTGGGACGCGCCGGCTGCGGCGCCGCAGGGCAGGCGTCAGCCAGAGGGCGGCCACGCACAGACGGGGGCAGGTCTCGAATGGGATCGCTTGTGGCAGACCGGACAGCACGCATTTTCTCTGCTCAACACGGGTTGATGCCGGCCGTAGTCGACAACGGACGCAAAGAATGACAACACAGGCAGTCTTGTTCCGATTTGATCCGTCCCACCACCGCCATCCCCAGGGCGTCACAGAAGTTTCACCGCACCAACGCTGCCAAAGTTCAGCACCGACGCGCGCCAAGGAAGGACTCCCGTGCGCGCACAGACCCATGGTCTAGCACTGTCCCACGGCTGGTGACATCACAAGGTCCGCGCTCCACCCCGCCCGAGCCCGCGTCGTCAGCCAGCGGCGCGCTCACCCGGCAGCAGACTCTGCACGATGGCCGTCGATGTGTCGATCAAGACGCCGTTCACCAGACCCAGCACGGTGACGTCACCCGCCGTCACGTGACCGTGGACCACCTTGCTGGCCGTGATCACGTGGTTGCCGCTCAGCGTGACGAAGCTGTCCGGGTTCATGTGGCTGAGCGTGCCCACGTGCAGACTGGCCTGGACACGAGTGCAAGGAAAAGCATTTACTACCCGGAGAAGCCCGAGGAACCAACCGTGGATGTTCAGGTGTCATTGGGGTTTTGCGACACACTCAGCCGCTAAGGCTTTATGGCTTCGCCTGCTTCTCACCCTGGCAGGAAGGGCAGGCACCGCGGGAATCGACCCGTACCTCTGATTTAACATAGGCGCAGCTACACCCCTACACCACAGGCGGCACTCACTCTTAGGTTGTGGATGCCTCGAAGGGTTAAATGTGGTCTATGGATTGGCCGGGCGCCATCACGTTTGTAACATTTTGGCGAAAGGTAGACTGTCAAAACATAGCCGTCGCCTTACGACAAAACTTCGTCATCCACATCAAGGAAGTACACGATTCTTTCTACATTCATGAGGCGTCAAAAACAAGACCATTGAAAACAAATCCCAGCCCCTTTCAGTTTGGTTTTATGTTATAGACACTCAACACTCAAAAGCACTCAAGCACAATCACTCGCAACAAACACCCCGAACGGTACCAGCCAACAGCGCCGACCGTTTGGCGAGCCTCCTGATCGGCACGTTTGCGTCTTCCTAGCCTCCTGATCGGCACGTCTGCCTCTGCCCCGCCTCCTGATCAGCACGCCTGCCTCTGCCCAGTCTCCTGATCGGCCTGTCTGCCTCCGCCCAGCCCCCTGAGCGGCCCGCCTGCCTCTGCCCATCCTCCTGATCGACACACCTGCCTCTGCCCAGCCTCCTGATCGACACGCCTGCCTCTGTCGAGCCTCATAAGCGGCCCGCCTGCCTCCGCCCAGCCTCCTGATCGGCACGGGTGCCTCTGCTGAGCCTCCTGATCGGCACTTCTGCATCTGCCCAGCCTCCTGATCGACACGCCTGCCTCTGTCGAGTCTCATAAGTGGTCCGCCTGCCTCTGCCCAGCCTCCTGATCGACACGCCTGCCTCTGTCGAGCCTCATACGTGGCCCGCCTGCCTCTGCCCGGCCTCCTGGTCGACACGCCTGCCTCTGCCCAGCCTCCTGGTCGGCACGCCTGCTCACCCCGTCCTGGACCACCAGCGAGCCGAACGCCAGTTTCGCTGAGCCGGCGACGAACGGCCGGTTCGTCCAGATGACGTCGGCCAGGAAGCCGGCCAAGTCCCCGATGCCGTTCAGCCGCTGGGCGCGCAGCGAGCCGACGTGGGCGTTGTTCAGGTGCCACGGGCCGGTGACAGTCACGCCTGTGGGCGGGGTAAGCGGCTCGGTATGGGGCGGGGCGGGGCGGGGCGGGGCGGGCCCCGCGCTGACGGCTGCGCTGATGGGATGATGGTGATGGCGATGATGTGACGGTGGTGGCCGCGCACGGAGTGGGGTTCTGGGAGGAGTCATCAGGAGAGCGCTTAAGGGTTCGACGGCTGTCTTCAGGCTTACCATGAACAGCTCATGTTCAGGCTTGTTCAGGCGCAGAACATTCGGCAGAAAGGCTTCTATGGTGCCGTGACACACAAAGTCAGCTCACCACACCGCCTAACCAAACTTGATACAGTACATGCCTTCCGGGGCACGAAATGTCTTTTTAATCTTTTTTAACAAATACATAAAAGTATCACACACATATCTCATTCAATTTAAGTATCTTCTTGTTTCAAAACAAGCCAGGCGGCGGCCATCGCTCTCCGAGGACAAGCTGGACCGCCCAGCATCCATCCGTTCGCAAGTCACCCGCGCCTGCGCCATCCGACAGAGGACGCTATGAGCGAGCCGGGTGGTAGGGGCCGGGCGGACGGCGGTCTGACGAACCATTGGAGAAGGTGTGGTTGGCGTTGATTGAGACGGCACCGGCCAGCTGGTGGTGCAGGCCGGCCAGCGAGGCTATGCCCGCCTGCAGTCGCCGCTGCAGCGACTTGAGCCGCTCCAGAAGGCCAGAGTTGAGCGTGTTCGTTTCCAGCCGTACCTGCGACCATGGACAGTTTTCCAGATTCCTGTCATCACGTAGTGATGATAAATGATATCATCACGTGGCAATGGTCAGGGTGTAGTGGGGGCGTATGGACTCGTTAATGATTGTTATAACGCTATCGCATCTGAGTGACGCCGAGGACGCCGACATGCGTGGAATGGATTGTCTAGGAGAGAATGTGGGACCTTGTGGGACAAACGCTCACAGTGACTAGCGTTAATGGTGGTCGCGTTCAACTCTCCCTTTTTTACCCACACACTGGTCTGGACTGCTAGCTTATCTCGATGTGCCCTGTCCTTCCGCCCAACACACACCGCAAGCGCAAAGCAACTACAGACCAAGCCACGTGCAAATCACGAAAAACAAAACATACAAAGATGACCAAACATGTATGCCCAACACCCAACTTAGTTCACGACCAGTTTCATTCTTGCCCAGTTGTGCGTGAAAACTCCGGGAGAGGGGGGAGGGGGGGAGGGAGACTCTAGCCACATCCGGAGTACCCCTGCAACCGCCGGCCTGCTCACATTGTTGACGGCCACCGAGCGGATGCGGGCGCGCGGTGCGGCGCTCAGCTGCAGTGAGGCGAACGAGACGGGCTGGTCCAGCCGGGGCGCCGCCTGCATGCGTACGCCCAGCCCGGTCACGCGCGGCCGCACCGCCTGCACGCGCACGCGCAGGTCCTGACACCAGGTCATGCACCGCTGGTGCAGGTCGCGCAGGTCGGTGCGCCGTTGGAAGAGCAGGCGGTAGATGGTCGGTAGGTAACTCGGCCCACCAGGACTGCCCACGGCTGGAGGGGAGGCGAGGGCAGAGGTCAGGTCACGACATGGGAGAGCGTCTGGTGGTGCAGCCAGACTGCTCACGGCTAGCGGCTGGGCAGGGAAATCTGATGGAGTTCGTCCGTGTGGGACGACCCGTCCCGGCCACAGCTGGCGGCGGGGTCAGGTCAGACCAGGCCAGATCTGGGCCAGGCCACTGGCTGAACAGCAGGCGCCTGACGTGGTCAGGTCGGCCCAGGTCAGCCATCCGAGCGGACGACTGCCGAGCCCGGCCGGCGGAGGCGGCTCGCTGAGCACCAGGCCCTTCCGCCAACAGGACCAGCGCAGCCACCCCGGCTGACGGGTCAGGCTCGGAGCAGCGTCCTTGTGGGCAGGGTCACACCCTGGGGCCCGTCTGGCCGTCGGCGTTCACCGCTGGGAGCGCAGCGTCAAGACGGCGACAGGGCGGCTCGAGCAGCGGTCGACCGGGTGTTCGTCCGTGTGAGGACGTGTACAGCGTGAACGCGGATAATGTTGGCGAAGTCTGGCAAAGTTGCTTTCCAAACGCAGGACCCCGTACTATCTGCTGTAACATTTGATAGCTTTGCGACGTGGAAATATCGCCTTGAGCCAGCGCAATCCCACGATGTCCCTACGTGGAAGACTGACGAATCCATCAGTTGTCTTTTTTTGGGGGGGGGGGGCAGAACCGAGCCGGCCTCTTAACATTCAGAATTTGTTTTGAGGAACTTTATTGGAGAGGCAATTCCGGCCACGGCGGCAAATGTGGGGAAGGAGTTAAGGAGCTAAGGGGTGGTGCAATGCTTGCTGATAATGTTGCCCAAAACAGCAACATTGAAAATAGGGCAGACATGCGTTGTTTAGCATGACAGCCAGCGAATCATAGCTGCTCATTACAGACTCAGTTTCATTATTGCGTACCACTAGTCATGTAGGGTGCGCCACCGACTTTTGCTGAAGGAACTGGACCAGACGAAAAATACATAATGCACAGGAACCGCTTTCAACAGAAAAACACAAAAACCAGTTGAGGGCGCGTTGATCTCCTTCGCGGAAACCCCACTTGGCCATTTAGCCATTTGCACCCTCTCCCCATGGTGGTGATTAAAAATGCGCGTATGTACACAAATACAAATACGATTACACGAGCAGGGAATTATGAAAATTTTCTGTCTCCAGGCTGATCGGAGTAGAGCACACGGCGCAAGACCCGTGTCTGCAGATTTGAGCTACCGCCGCGACAACGCTGTCTCCGCTCAGATGTCGTGCACCGGGAACTCTCAGGCGATCCTCGCCTATACCCCCCCCCCCCCCCCCGCCGTCTCCTCCGGCCGGCTGGCTGCCGCAAGCTTCCGCGTCCGCAGGCCAGCCCGATCCGTGTTGGTCTATTGTTTGACGTTGATGACGCTCTTGTCGAGGCAGCGCTGCTCCTGCTGACGTCTTGCTTCTCCCGAGTCACAATTCATGACGTCGTTCAATGCAGTCCACGCAAACTCAGGGAGGGACGGTGGTATTTTATTTCATTTCTGATAAAGGCCACGAGACAACAGCAGGTCGTCATTCGACAACACAAGGCCTGCAGCAGCGACGTGTTAGTTACAGCATACGTCACACTGAGAAGCAACTGCCTGATCACCACCGATCTAAGCACCAGTACTACGGCAGCGGGCGGAATACTCGCTCGGAAGCGCACCAGCGCTACGGCAGCGGGCGGAATACTCGCTCGGAAGCGCACCAGCGCTACGGCAGCGGGCGGAATACTCGCTCGGAAGCGCACCAGCACTGCGGCGGCGGGCGAAATACTTGCTTGGAGGCGCACCGGCACTGCACGTGTCGTCGCCCGCACCTGTGTGCTACCGCAGCTACGCCAATGACGTGGCCGTGGCAAACGGATGTTCATCACAAAAGCGGTGGCGCCTACGCGTCACAGTCACTCCTATCAGTCGTCTGGGCCCACTCCCGTCACGAGCACGTCAGCGCCCACCATCGAAAAGCCGCCAGACATAGCCGGTACCACCTGCGCCGCTGCAAAGCGGACGTTTGCGCGTCGCATCCACATTCCGTATCATTGGCGTGTGCCAGACAGATTCTCGACGAGTGCCGCGATTCAACAGATTTGAACGTCTAAACACGGGACCGGGCGATTGGGAGAACCTCCCTCGAAGAACCCACAACCACATTATCACGTGTTCCACAAACGTCACTGTCCACTTTCAGACATCTAAGTTGATAAATTTAGGCCGTGGTCCTCAACGATTCTACTGCAGCAAATGGCTACATAGTTAGCTACCCCGACGCAGACGCCTGTGCCTCTCCGTCTTGCTCCCTATCATTGGCGCGACGGACCGCCGGCGGGTCCACGGCGTCTGCCGGCACTGCTCCGACACGGCCGGTGCGGCGCACCGCCGGCGTGTTAGTCGCCCCCCGGGGTGGCGGCGCTACGCCGCTCCTGCTCCGGGGTGCGGCGCTACGCCGCTCCTGCTCCGGGGCGGCGGCGCTACGCCGCTCCTGCTCCGAGACGACGGCCGGCGCCCGCCCACAGCCGGGACCGGCACCGACGTCAATACCCTCGATGCAGATACCCGGCTGTGAGTGGGCGGCGCGACGGGCACTCACCCAGGTGGACGAAGCCTTCGTGCGTGAAGACGGCCAGTTCAGTGGCGGCGTCGGCGACCGGCGGCAGCGGCACCAAGGTCGACAGCACGAACCGCCAGCCGGTGTACTGGTACAACTTAAGGCCATCGTCGTCCACCACAGCCAGCACGAACCCGCCGCGCGGCCCCTGGAGCGGCAGCAGCGATCACGCGCGCGGCTGACGAGGCGGAATGGGGGGGGGGGGGGGGGGGAGCAAGTGACTGGTACAGTGAGCGAGGTGAGGTCTTACAGGCTTCGAACAAAGATTCTGTTCACGACACATTCAAATGTGACTAGGATGGCATTGGGGCGGAGGTGATGCAATGTTTGAAAACGATCAGTGCGGGCACATCACCATTCAGTTGACAAACTGGTGAACGTGTTGCGCTTGTGGGCTCGGCACACTGACCCAAATAGGCAGAATGTCCCGCACGCGGACCGTGGGGATGCACTGAAATGACACAAACTGCATGCGCGAGAACTTGTAGATGACCGAGTTGACGCGGTAGTTGGCCTCCGCGTCGCCCGGCTCTGCGGACACGGCATGGCACGTTAACCCAGAAGACCGCCACAGCACCACGCACGCGCTAAGACCGTATTCTCACACGAAAGTATTCTCACCTCGCACGTCGCACAGACGAGTAACCGCGGACGAGCCAACAGCGAGACGCTCGCCCCACACAAACAGAACACCTCCAGCTGCCTTCTCCGCGCCCGCGCTGCCCCGTCGGCCGGCGCCCGGCCCGCTCACCGCGGTCCGCCTGGTTGGCCACGACAAGGAAGTGTTCGGCGCCCACGCCCTCGCCCCAGGAGAAGTGCCGGAAGCGCACGGCGCCGTACGTCAGCAGGCGCTGGTACGGCCGGTACTGGCCTGAGCCCAGACTGTACCGCAGGATCTCGCTGTACACGTTCAGACTGCCTGTCAACGGACAGCACGGAGTCTGGATCGCCGTGTGATGGGAACGATTTGGGCGCTCGATTGGTGATTGGGGTGCTTTTACGTGATAATTCGGTAAAATAAATGTGCAACAGGCATGTCGGGACACAACACTTCAAATGCCAGGGGTTACAGCTGAATGAATGTGTGCAGTTTTCAAAGCAGAGACCATAAGTAAAAGGCCAATTCATAATTGGCACCATTGTCTAGAACACAAGTGTTATGACCAACACTGCTACCTTCATTATTTTGGTGATTCGCCACCGCCAAAAAGAAGTGGTTCTGCATCTGGAAGTGCTCAAAGTCCTTGGCGCCGTATGTGGGCAGAGAGTACTGTCGAAAGTTGCCGTCCGTCCACTTGAAAATGCTGCTGTTGGCATGGTAGTTCTTATTCCCGTCCGGCCGGCGCTCGAACTCCGTCGCCACGCCGATGTGGAAGGTGTCGTAGTCGCTCCTGACGGCAGTCGGGCGCACCAGCGTCGTTACCAACCGATCCCAGCGCGGTCCAGCCGACAGAGGGAACGTCACACGAGACGAGTTTGTGACACACAGAGAGCAGCTGACAGCAGATACTGCCCTCGCTCGCGCTTCGGTGCACCAGCGGCTGTCGGTTCCCCACCACCCGACGGCCCCCAGCACAGCAGCGCCGCCGCCGCCGCGCTCACCAGCGGTTCCCCACCACCCGACGGCCCCCAGCACTGCAGCGCCGCCGCCGCCGCGCTCACCAGCGGTTCCCCACCACCCGACGGCCCCCAGCACTGCAGCGTCGCCGCCGCCGCGCTCACCAGCGGTTCCCCACCACCCGACGGCCCCCAGCACTGCAGCGTCACCGCCGCCGCGCTCACCAGCGGTTCCCCACCACCCGACGGCCCCCAGCACTGCAGCGCGGCCGCCGCCGCGCTCACCAGATGGCCACGTCGGTGGGGAACGCCACGGGCAGGCCGTGCTGATAGCGGATCTCGCCGCCGACGAACTCGTACAGAATCAGACCGCGTTTGTCGGCCCGGTTGTTGACGCAGTCGAACTCGGCGCCGATCACGTAGCGCGTGTCATCGCGCATGAAAGAGGTGAACCGCAGCGTGCCGAACGACGAAAAGTTGTAGCGCGGCACCCAGGCGTTGTCCTGCGGTGGGCGGCCAGTCCGGTCAGAGGCTCACTCGGCATGGATGCTGGTGCGCTCCACAACGACCATGTACACCATGTGGACATGACTGCAATGATTGTGGAAATAGTGTGCATTCTATGGCATCCCAGCATATATCATGCCTGAACTGAAACAATTGGTACAGCAGACATCACTGATCTGAACAATTGTGCTGCAAAAGCACAGGACCATACACACACAACAGAAAACACAACTAATCCAGTGACAGCCGTGTGTCTTCCACTTACCATGAGCTCATACAGCCAGCTGACCCTCGACCCTCTCCCAAAGGCTGCCAGAGCATAGGTTTTGCCCTTGTCACTGAAGATGTGCACATGATGTGCACCTGCAGCAGGAATCTCCCACACCAGCTCAGCTCCATCATCAGTCAGCACCTCCACACCTGGAAAAAAATTGTGTGAAGGACAAAATTAATTGAAACTGCTGCCCACGGATGACAAGATGTCACCATTTTCAATGCTGCATAATAAGCACATTGTTGTCAGCCAGTCTGCCTGTGGGGCAGTGTACAGCACATGTTTGTAATCTCTGGTCATCATCCAGCATCATTATGCCAAGTATATTTCAGCAAGCACTCACTTTGAAACCTTTGATTCAGAGTTGTTTTACTACTGCCAAAGAGGAAGCACCATTGTCATGAAAATGGTACCATTATCATTATTATTATTACTATTAGCCCCCATATTGCTTGCACACACAGTCTAGTCAACAGCCTTCAAGGCCATCAGGCACATCTACGTAGGGTTCAGGCTGACCAGGCTAGTATTTCATTGCACCATAACACCAAGCCCTGAGGTGCCTTCCCGTATCTCAGATTTCATCACATATGCATCAATCATATCCCAAGCACTGAACTCTATTCAACTCCCTGGTCTCTCATTAACTTCAACACACCAAGGATAGCAGGTAACGTGAGCAGGCAGAGCTAGGAGCAGGTGCAGGTGCAGGTGCAGGTGCAGGTGCAGGTGCAGGTGCAGGTGCAGGTGCAGGTGCAGGTGCAGGTGCAGGTACAGGTGCAGGTGCAGGTACAGGTGCAGGTGTAGATACAGGGACAGGCACAAGGGCAAGGAAAGACTCAGATTTTTTAAAAAAATTAAGAATCTTAGCTCATGCTAAGCAGTTCTTGTTGTGCGAGTCCAGACTATTACCACACGATCGCACCATTTCAGGCAAGTGCAGAATTTAGTGGCAAAAGTTTAACATGTCAGGCACTCTAACCAACTGAGCTACTGGGACAGAAGAATGAGTAGCATTTACTATGCAGGGTGCTGCATTTTCACTTCAAACATGCAGCTTCTAACTAGGAAATATACTAGCAACACAAGCAATAAGTGTGGATGAACTGCACTTTCTTACTTCATTTCTGTATGACATGCAACCAAAACTTGCACAGGGTTTGTCAAATTTTATCTGAACTACCAAAAACTGAAGTGGGCTACCTTGTAGGTCAACTTAACATGTGATTTGGGTCAAACTGATCAGTATCTGGTGTAAACCTCTGCTCAAGAATAGGGGTGGACAGCCATGATACAATGTCCTATTTGGCTACATCCCAAAGTCCTATCAATACCAATGATGTATACAATACAGCACAAAGGCACAAGTAATAGGGACCCATGGACCTGGATGGTACTCTTCATGTAGTCACTTAGTTTCCAGGTTTCCAAAAAATTTGGTTCCAAACATACAATATTCCTATAAACTAAGCAATCTATCATTCCAACAGATCTTGTTTCAGAAAATTATCCTGTTTATACCATTATTCAGCTCATATGTAATCTCTAATGTCAGCATCCATTCCAAAATCATGTTTCTCACTACCATTGCTATTGATAAATGCAGTGCACCTTCAAGGAAACATGGCTACTGCATGCAGGTGCAAGCTGATAATGAGGTCATTGCCAAACAAATAAGTAGCATTGCCAAGCTAATTAGCAAATTAGTCTGCCCTGGTGGCTCAGTTGGTTAGAGTGCTTGCTTCCTGATTCACCCACTGTGGCGTGGGTTCGAGTGGCTTTAGGCGCTCGCCATTTGCCCTCGACAGGTATGGCCTACAGCCGGTGGCAGCGGTAGCACTAAAGGTCAGTTGACGTCAGAGGGCAGAACCGACCGTGCCCAGCATTGCGGCATGCTAAGCTTTCAGCACTAAATTCTGCTGTTGCCTGGAATTGCGAGATGGTGTGGTGCAGGGTCAGGGCTCACACAACAAGCACCACTTAGTGTGAGTGCTGATCCCAAAAATCCATCCATTCAAATGGTTTGAACCAAATTTCTAAAAAATGAAGATTTCTTATCTCTTATTGTATGTTCATGATGAATGCCGAAAAGAACCAGAAAATCAATATTTGGAAAATGCTAGGGGTGCATTTTGCAAAATAAATTAGAGGCAGAGGTGAAAAATTATAAAACTTTACCCCAGAATCCACCTAAAAAGAAGGTCCTTTCCAATTTCACCCACTGTTCTACTAAGCCTGGAGGGCTGGATCACAATCGGTGATGGAGCCCCCTTCCTCGGGTGGTCACGAAACTATGGTAGTCTGGGATTCACAGAGGCAAGCTAGTGGATGATCAAGTTATGGGAGACAACCTGCATGCACAAATTAAATATTTCAAAAGCAGTGAATGACACCACTAACACACAAAAAACATACTAAATGTCAAAATAATGAAAAGCAGATACACAGGTGGCATCACACAACATGGAACAAATGCAATTTTAACCTAAAAGAAAAGTAGAGACTGAACCTCATTGAAATAGAACAGAAAGGGCTCCAACCTAGGCTACAAAGGACAGGCCAGACTGGTGTTGGAGCAACTGCATGGCAACCACACAATGAGACCAAACCAAACAAAAAGAGATGGGCTGCATGGGTGGTCAATAATTGTTTCATATACTTGCTTCCAAATCCAGCACTCAATAGGTAGACAAGGCAAGATTTCTATTTAACCATCTGGGGCAGAACTTTGTAAAATGAAATAGAATACATTACAGAAGACTTTTGCTTATCAGGATATTCTTGGCACTTTCAAATCACATAGGTTCTGGTTAAGGATGAAGGACCTTCAAAATCAAAACACCTGTCTATGCTATCCTAGCAGACAAACACAGCACCAGGGGGGTGAGACCTATCGCTTAAGTTGGGGAAGGAGGGGGTTGACTCCAAAACACCAAGTCCTCTCAACATTGTAGGGAAGGTGACCTACATGCCCCAATGGGCTCTTTGTGCATCCAAGCAGACAAAATTTCCTGAACCAACACTCAGAATGGCAATGGATCTTCTACAGGTCAGAGAAGCCGCTCAATATGTTCAGACTGTTAAAAGAATGTGCCCTTAAGGCCCCGAACACGCCCTAGACAGGCCATAACGGACATTTACATCTTACATAATCTGTTCGATTCGGAATGGACCTCAACATACCAATTTGAACCTTCCACTCAAAGGGGGCCGCCCCCCCCCCCTTTCACGGCAGGGAGGGTTGTCCCCAATAACCTCGATTCCCGCGTCCTTGCTCAGAACCCCACAAGGCGCAATGACCTGAGCGGGCGGGCCCAGGATCGTGCTGAAGTATGTCGGGACTCGCGCTTACGCCACACTTCGATACAAACCTGACAAATGAACATCAAAAATGATGAAGCAGAGTTAAACTGCGCGACACAAGACCATCACGCCCTTGTAATACTGAAATTTTGAAACTGCGGAACACGAGCCCCGGCGCGGCCGGACTCCGCCAACGGAACACGGGCAAGCGTCGGGGTCAACGACCTCATGCACCCTCCAGATTTGTCCGATTATGATTAGAGGTGGAATTGACGACAATGCTTCCCGCACTCCCGAAACTTGAAATCCATGACAGCTTTCAGGTTCAATAAATGACATAAATATAAGGAAAGTGAACAGCCTACAGCAATAGTATACAAACTGCTGAAGAAAACATGTCAGAATTATCGGTATAACAAAATTTAGTGGCGAAACTCATGTCCACAATAAGCAAAACGGTAGCTAGTCGCGATCTATGATGTGGTATAAATGTAATTTTCAACAACGATTTTTAATTCCAGTCGAATATGTCTCAATATCGAGCCATATGATTCCCAAATCAGTCATGATTCGAGTAACAGGCTTAAAAATGGTGCTGGTGATGTTCGATACCGAGCTGGTTTCTATACAGCTTCTGAGGGGCCTAGCCTCAGGTCCATCCAAATCGATATGTGACGTAATTTTTATATACTGCGCTGTGATTGGATATTGTCTGTCAGGGCTAACCCTTCGTTTAGGCGTGAATACATTAACAGTCAACTCAGTTGAAGCGAGGCGTATTATACGCGGCGCGAAGTAAACAAACTTTGGAGATAATTTGTTTAGGTGAGGTGGGTGGGGAGGATGGGCACGGCCTGTGTGCGTGTTTCAAGTGGTTTGCTTTCATAGGATTTCATTGAAAGGCCCGCCTACTGCTTGAAAAAGTGCTTGATGCAGTAGCCACGTTTTTAGGTATGCTGCTCAAAGACGGTCAGTGGTCTTGGTTTTGGTGGCGGAAACACGTGGCCCGCGGACGCCGTCTGTGTATGATTGCGAGCAGATACATCTCAGTTGGTGCGGTCAGCATAGCTAGTATTAAATAAGCTTATGGTCATAATCTGCCCCATTGGTCTGGTGAAATGAATCTGCTTTTGGTTGCTATGGTAAGCTAAATTTAAGCTACCTCGCTGGGTAACAACACAGCTGGCCGTCGAAGGATCAGGCTGCCGAAAGATCGATGATACACCAAATGTGCTCTTTGTGTGACAACAGTCTTAGCATTTGAACACTTGAGATCATTGCCCATATTTTGGCGCGTGGTCACCAATTTCACAATAAAATTATGGGAAGGTATTTTTCACATGGATTATAAACATTTGGCCCACTTCAATGTAACATCTGTCCAGTTCACACATGCCATTGATCCTGTGCACAAATGCTGTCCAGGTGTTTATGGAGTTGAAGTTTATTTTTTGCAGACCAATTGAAGGGAACCAAACTAAAGAAGGCTCCCCACACCAGGCACTGAATGCATATAAAAGATGTACTTTATGGTGTTATTGTGACTTACAGTATCACAGTAGAATAGCCTGCCTGCCAGTGCACAATGCTACATGAGCCCTGAAGTCTGGAACCTACACTATTATATTATCATGTTTAGCCACAGGTGAAAAATGCCAAGCTTAAAATACCAAGCTTAAATGTGTGCGGCAAAGTTGCAGGAAGGCATCCACTTGTGATAGGTAATCATAATTATTTCACCAATGATTGCTAAATATTCCTAGGTCACTCTAGAGCTTCAAATAGAATAACTGGATGCAGTTGTTTATCTTACAAGCAACTGCAGTGACAGTTATACCAGTAGGTACAATGATTCCCATTTTGCTGGCATTACATGCTTCTTGTACCAAAGTGCTAAAAATCCACTTGCTGCCAGTTGCCAAATAACTTTGAATTTTTATTTTTTGATTTCATTCAGTTCATGGTAGCCAGAAATTACCTTTCCAGCAGTGCTAATCAGAAAACATTTTCTCTATAGGCTGACATTGGTGGGCACTGCACTTAAGCACTCTGTACATGCACCCAAATTGTTGCATATTATCATGACCACACCAGATGCCATTCCAGATGTACCGACATGTTCTGCATAACAGGCATTTTTACATTTTGGTCTGTGCCTTACAGACTTTCAGTGACCTGCAATTGAGCCATGAAAGGAAATCTGCATAATCACTAACCATGAATGTGTGCATGTCAAAAGGAATTTGGGTTGCAAAGCTGAAAGTCTCATCTGATATAATCATAAAACCTGAGACAACTTTGTGTGCTATCCTTAGACATCTGAGCATCAAGATCTGAAGACATGGCAAGCCACTCTGCAGCTGACTACCAGCTGCTGTTGGACATGGAGCAGCTGGAGGAGGAGATGGCCCGCATGATCGACCATGGCGAGCTGGCCGAGACCTGCCAGCTGCAGCTCACCGAGCTAGAGATGTTGGCTGCCATGTTCCCGAACGCTGGCGAGCTGAAAGTGATCGACCCTGCGGCCGTGGCCGAGATGACTGAGTACGTGGAGGGCGGCCTGCGGGAGCCCCCGGCCCGGCTCGACTACACCATCGCCTTCCAGACCGGACAGGTGCGCGCTCCCCAGGGTGTCGGCTAGCGAAAGAGACCGGGGGGGGAGGGGGGTGGACAGCGCTCAGGCGCGTTGGCTGATTGGTGGGATGGGTGTATTTTGTCGTAATTTCTCCCCCAACTCTATCAACATCTCAGATGTCTTGGCATATTTCTCTCCATTATACCTTGATCTCTCTCAATTCTATAGATTTCTCACAAGTTATGAGCAAGAGAAGAGCCAGTTACCAATTTCTCTCCAATCTTATCATTGGTTATCATTATTACTCATTGGAATGTTGTGTGCTCAATTCAACTCCACTTGCACCAGTAATGTTCATACATATCATAAATTCTTAAATTTAGTTCATGCCAGCTGTTGATGCAGTAGGTGTGATTTCCAGGGCAAGTTGGAGTTATCGGTGCACCTGCCACTGGACTACCCCAATGTGGAGCCGGACGTGTTCGTTAGGAGTGACGGCTTGAACCGCTCCCAGTCTCACAGCATCAACCAGCACCTGGCGCGGCACATACAGGTGGGTTCGGCCGTCCACCACGGGGAGTAGCGTCTGGTCGCCTTCCACGGAGTTCGCACGGCGGTGGTGAGGGCCAGCCATAGCACGACACTGTGACAGGCTTGTTAGAAGCTGCGCACCACCATGATGGTATGTACCACCACTGTGTACCGCCATGGTTTCGCACCACCATGGTGGTATGGTGGCATCTACCACTGCTGTGTACCACCATGGTTGCACACCACCATGGTGGTGGCACATTGACGATCCGACGGACGTTGTGGAATGTTTCTTTTCCCCCAAACTGCAGTGCCGTCGTATCCACCATAAATTGGCCTGTCATGCCAGCTGCAATCTGTGCTACACCTGGTAGGGTTTCTGTTGGGTCTGCGATTGTCGGCTGACATGAGCCGGTGTGCCAGGGTTTGGAGCCTGGGCAGCTCTACATTGGATCCGTGGTCTCCTGGCTGCAGGAGAATGGAGACAAATACATTCGGAACGAGCTCCAGATCAAGGACGACTCTGTAGAGGCAAGTCACATTCCTTACTGTGAGTGAGATAAAAGCCAACAGGCAATGGGTGTTGATGGTCTTGGTGATTTTGGACATTACTTGGTAAGTATGAAGTTGCCAGGATGTTGTGAGTTTGAGGGTGCTTCGACCCCGCAGACATTGACGAGACCGGGAAAATACCGCCCTGGCCTCAACAGAGCTCAGACTGTGGACGCGTGTTGACATTCCAATCAAGCCAAATCAATGCAACCATCACCAATCTTACTCAAATTTAAGATGGGATTGAAGTGGACTCGACCACGCCGCCAAAAATAGCATGAAAGCCCGGCGTTTCCAATTAAGAGCTGTGACACCACTTCGAGAAATGAGCGCCGAACCGATGCTAATGTTGTACTCTCCGTTGCAGGAGGAGCACCCGGACCAATTCACGAGGCTCTGGATCTACTCGCATCATATCTACAGCAAGGTCAAGCGGCGAGACATGCTCGAGCTGGCCAAAGAGTGCTCCGTCACCGGCTTCAGCCTGCCCGGCAAGCCAGGCATCATCTGCGTGGAGGGACTCGCGTCCAGCACATCGGACTGGTGGAAGCGGGTGAGGGGGCGGCGGTGGCTCCGGCGGCGGCGGGAGGCCTGTAGAGGCTCCAGGCGTTAACCAGGACGCCAGACCCTACGGCATTTGCACGTGTAAAGATAGTCATGGATAGGGTACCTCTTGAAAGGATCTTATTGTCACACGGCTGTGTGATCTCTCGTGCGCGTGTCACCGCGACCACCTCCAACGAGTCGCGGTCCCTTGCCAGGTGAAGGCGTGGAACTGGAAGCGGATCATGGTGAAGAAGAAAGAGGTGGTCGACGTAGAGGGCCGCGATCCAGACACGCTGCGCCTCTTCTCCGTGTTCGAGGAGATCAACATGGCACCTGTCTCGCGCACTGGCAGCAGAGAGCACCGCATGGATATGGGTCTGTTCTTCCAGTACCTGGAGGACCACAACTGCGCGCAGGTGTTCAAGGACTACTTTGGCGTGAGCGGCCGCGCGTCAACCTCCAGGGTTTGACCCGGCCCTACTGCTGGCCATGCTAGCCTTTTTCGACTTGGCGACGGGCGCAGCCCATGGGTGTAGCTTTTTAGTTTATGCGCTTTGACCGGCTGGGCGTTTTCTGAGGCCTGGACGAAGGAATGCGCTTTGTGATGTGTATCTGGTCCACGAAAGCTGCGTTTGATGTGCCGTTGCCGCGTCTGCAAACGCCCGCTCAGTTTTTCTGTTGCGAAAGTTTCCCGTAAGTTTAAACAAACATCAGACATCGTATTTTGTGGGTGAAAGTAAATATTTGCAAAGGCTCAAATAAGCAGAGGTATTAAATTAAAGTATCGTTAAAGCTGGCCAAATATTTCGCGGATGGCTGCATTTGTAACGAATGATGACGTAACCCCATTTTTAACTCAACGCACAAATTTTGCATTGTGGGCACACGAGGCATGTGTGTGCGTTACCCCACAAGGGCGTGCAGTTAGTGAAAGCCAATCGCAGCCTCCACAACTGAAATCATCCTTGTAAAGTTAATGCTTTCAAGTATAAAGCCAGTGATTTGACTTTACTGATCCTTTAAGTGAACAGTTTTTGTTGAAATCGGTACTTTGGACTACGGACTTGCATCTCCCTACAGCAAGTTTCTTGGTCAACTGGAAGAAAAGCGGCTCCTGCCGGATGTTTACACCACGGCTTTTTCAACGCTGCTTTCCGTTTTCCAACTGTTGTGGTAGTGGCCCCGACTACACTATCGATTCAACGTAGCGGTCTGCGTGCCTGATCGACCTTGAGAGCGATAAACGCCCCGGGGCGTTCTTACGGCTTAGCCGAAGGCTGTGTCGATTATGCTCGGGTTTTGCATTCATCGTCACGTGATGACATCGCCATCCGGGCGGGTAGACTCGTGACGTTCGCGGGTTTATTGATCTGAATCGGACCTTGATCCCCCACGAGAGTGGCATGGGTGAGTTGGGGTTCGATACAGTCCGCTCACGGTCGCGACCGAGCACGGCCGCGTGCGGCGTAGTACCCAGTCCAGAGGACCTCGCCTCCAAGGAGCCCGTCCGGGGGTGTTGTTCAGAGAGGACCTCACACTACAGGCCCCGGTGACCAGTCCCAGAGCGCGTCGCCAGGAGTACCTTGGCTCTGTGTAACGCAGCTCGGGGTAGCTTGGGCTCAGTAAGGTAACCCAGGGTAGCTTGGGCTATGTGACGCAACCTGGGTAGCTTGGGCTGTGCGAAGCGTAACCCTGCCCCATGTGCTGGACTAGAGGGCACCCTACCCATGTGTACCTCAGCCGGAGGACCGCGAAAGGAGTGCCGACACGAGGAGTGCCGACACGAGGAGTGCCGACACGAGGAGTGTCCTGGCGACTCCACAGGGAGTCCTCATCCGAGTCCCCATCCCCAAGACCCCGATCCGGAGTGCTGCGCGCCAGCGTACCCGACGAAGAGCGCTCCGACTGCTGCGCCCCGTCTTGGGTATCTCATCCGCGTACGCCACCCGGAGCCAAAGCCGAAAGCCCAGTGCCGCCGTCAGCACGGCGGGCGTCTTTTGGCAGTGTGGTGCAGCGGCCCACAGGCCGGCGCTCGGGGAGGGCTGCTATACAAACAACAACCATCTGGTTCCGACGTTAGGCCGATGGGCGTTCGTTGCGAGTAGCAATTAATACCTCAAAGAGAGCCCCTCCCCCTCCCCCAGTCAATCGTACCGGCCGAATCCTGCATCGATGTGCGCAGGCTTGCAATGTTATGTGTAATGGCGTCGGCTGCATTCCCCAACGGAATCAGTCATCGGGACATCCCCACGTGGTGTGCGTTTGCGTCGTAATTTGCGAAGAAATGGGCCCCGCTTGGAAAACCGACCACAAATTTTGATGTCTTGTACTGGTGATTGTCGTCTAAGCGCTCACGCATTCATGCAAAGGTGTACGGTGTCATTAAAAGGAACAGCAAGCTGTGTTGGGAACAGCTGCTGTGTTGGGTGGCGTATTGGGTGCTGTAGACTCTAGCCCGCACATTTAGAAACCCGTGTGCCTTCTCTGCTCCCGACCTCGGCAAGAGCAAGGGAAACGACGGGAGAGTGAAAGTGATCGGACTAGTACCTGATGCACTGTAGTGTTGGTGTGGTTTTTGCAATCTCCATGTACCTGATCCACTGCGTGCGCCCAGGCCGCGGCGGCAACGCGAAATTGTTCCTACGTTAGCAAACGGATTTCGGAGCACAGTGCGCACCGGTTGCGGCTCAGGGAGGAATGCTGTGCTTCGGGCCTTACGCGGAATATTATTTGTTCGCCGCGGTAATATCTACATTTTTCGATGTTGCTTTCGAGTTTTATTAGGCGTTGCCGAGAAGATGGACTTAGTTTTTTTCCGAATGGCTCCAAATTTATGGCTGTGTTCATGTGAGTACAACCGTAAGGGAGCTGTACAAGCCGGGTGTCAGTGTTCGAAGCGGACTTGAATTGCACTTAAGTGCGCGCTCATTCCGGGGAGATTCTCTGTCTTCCATCGTGCTTTTTGCTTCTCGTTTTGGAAGGCAAAGGGGATAACTATACATATATATATATATATATATATATATATATATATATATGGTTTCCATGCTTTTGAACCTAGTTATGCTGTGGTTAGCTGAAAATACCCAGAAGCTGCTCTGAGCACCAAAACGCATGAGTGTCGGTCTTGTATTCGCTACGATTTTCTGCACAAGAACTAAAATGTTCATGCCCGACCTGGCTAACAGGTAGGCTGGAGTTCTGGAGGCGGTCGCCGTCCCATGTGGAGTCGTTGGAGTCAGTTTCTCACTGTGGTTGTCCGATGGCGCCAGTTTGGCTCGGTGTTTATTCCTAAGGCGACAATAACATGGCGTCGATTTTTTTGTCGTGCGTGTGTTGATGGCGTAGCGCGTGATACCCGTTGGGGCGCTGTGTTTTGGTGCGCGCTGGTGTGCTGATGGATCCCGCTGAGGAGTTTTTCTACGTGGTGTTTGATATAGATGTGGACCGATATTCAATACAACCGGCCCGCCAGTCCGTGTTTACGCGCCGCCATGACTGCACCGTATTTGGCGCGTCCGTGTGGCTCGACACATCCAGTGACGGCGTGTCTCAGGCAGGCGGCGCGACGGCGGTCGGCCGCGTGACCGCGCTCCAATCGCGGTCACGTGACAGCCCGGTACACCAAAACACGGTCCCCCTCCCACCCCCTGCCTCCTCCGGGTACTCACCGTGCTCGTCTCTGGTCAGCGGTAGCTGTATGGGGTGGTTGCGCTTGGTGCGATGGTGCTGCCGCTCCCTGGCGGACTGGTGAACTAGTCCTACCGCCTTCAGCCGATCGGCGAAGCCGACACGCAGACGAGTGCTGAAGCGTTCCACGATTTCTGCCGGCGAGCGCAGAGTTACAGCAAAGCGTCCCGAAGACTGCGGACGGCCCAGGATCCGACTTCTCAGTGTTCTGTCGTTTAGTTGCAGTATAAATGTGACGTAAGCCCGACCAGGACGCGAGGTGGACACTGCATAGCCTCACGCGATATGACCGCAACAGCAACAGAAGCATGATGTAAGCGGTATAACTTACGCGACTCACAGATACCTATAGGGTTTACGGATCACAGCAATAGGATCGCTATGGGTCAAGTGAGGAATGATAGGACCTGGGAAAAATCCATGAATTTCGTCGCGAATTTTTGGCCATTTTCAATCCGCCGCCCGCCCCCATTTACGCCCTGGTTACGCTGGGCGAGGTCATACTCCACGTTCATGATGTTAACATTCATTTCCTAAAAAATCATTGCTTTCAATTAAACCGGAACGTAACGCAACACTGTTCAGTCCACTAGCTCCCGTCAACTGTTAAGCTTCGTTTACGCACCATACACGCGTAGCGTAATACATCGCCGGCAGGTCTATGGCTCCCGTGGAGGTGGCAGATTGGTGGGCCGTACTATCAGGGGCCAATGCGGCACATCTGCGGCGGCCGGGCCCGTTCCGCTCCACGTCGGGTGCGACAGCGCCTGCTCACCGGTGGCGTTGTCGGCTGCCGGCCGGTCCACCCCTGCCGATGGGCCCCAGCCGAGCAGGCCCATGGTGCGGGCCAGCAGACCGGCGGGCGGCGTCGACGCGGCGGAGGAGGCCGCCGAGCCGCGCAGGCCCGCCGTCGCCCATAGCAGCGGCAGCAGCCAGCGGAGCGCGCCGCCAGCCATGGTCGGTGCTGCGAGGGGTCCGGGGTCACACGTCAGCGGTGCAGGGGAGAACAGCCGCCAGCCACGGCAGGCGACCGCTCAAGTCGTCCAGCCTGGAGCGGAGGGAACGGTCGGAGTGCGCGCCACCGCGGCCAGAATGGTACCGAGCCGGGCCAGCAGACTGACACAGTAAGGAGAACCCGAGGCGAGCATCTGCGGCGTCACACGAGCGACTCAGGTCCAAAGCGTGCCGGCCTGGACGCGTGGTACAGCTAAACGTGACGCCCGAACTAAAAACCGCAGGCGACTGTCTGGCTGGTCAAGAATCCACTAGAGTCGCTGCGGCGCAGTGCAAAGCAAACTATACAAGCAGCGTGCGGCGAAATAAAGCAGCGACATCGTTACCGGCGGTCGAAGTGGTAAAACAGCAGTACCCCAAGGCAAGTGTCAACACTTCCGCACGGTGCGGCGTTGCAGCAGATGGCTAAATTGTTTGCGGAGGAGGATATCGTCGAAAGCGTGTCATTGCTCCAAACAGCCTCCAAATCGACCGAATCGATACGGTCGCCCAACAACATGCCGAGTTGCCAGCTGCGGTGACGCAACCGATCTGACAGTCAATGCCCGGCTTACCTGCGGTACTCCAATAATCCGCCTTCCCGTCCCTCACGGCCCCTTGAGAGTCGAATGCAGGTCACGACTCGCCCTTGGTTCGGCGTGGTTCGGCGCTGTCGTCAAAGCCGAGGTGTACCAGAAACACGACCACGAAAGCCACGAGCAGCACGCCAGCAGACAGCCAGGGCAGCTCCGATTCGGTGCCCATCGATCGTTCGCCGCCGCCCACCGCACGTGACTGACCCGCGCGGGCCACAACGGGTCAGAGGTCAACATGCTGCCGCAGGCTCAGCCGCCACCACCGTCCATCGCACTTCACTGACCCGCGCGGGTCACGACGGGTCAAAGGTCAACACACGGCTGCGGGCTCGGCCGCCACCGCCGCTCACGGCCAGTCTCATATGGGTGGCCGGCAGCATTTCGACGAGCTGATCGATCGACTGGTGGGAGTTGTCTTTGGTTAGAAATCGTAGGTCACGTTTGTTACGAACAAATGATGTGCTCGTTAGTTGTGGTAGCAACATCGGGCTCGTTCGCAAAATATTTCGTCAACGTCAGCTTAAATGTCCTGACCGTGGTTTCTACAGCGAGCAGATCATTTTTTTCAGTGTCCTTGCATTTTCAAGTTCTTGATCGCAAGTCTTCTAATCAGGCGATCGCAGCGGAGTCTGTTCAGCTTTTTTTTAGATAAAAACCATGGTGAAAGTCAAACGACAAAAATATCACTGTAAAAAACGCCACCACTTCCATACGACTTGGCGAAGCCGTTCGTTACCCAGTTACTTGCCATGGTGACCATCATCGAAAGCGGACTGTGTTCCCAATTGCAACATCCCTTTTTCAATTTGTTTTTTCGAGGCCAGTTTTATCTTGAAAAAGCGAAAACAGACCGTAAGGCCCAACACCGTTAGACCACTGGTCACAATCGTTATTAGATCAAATTAGTCTTAGAGGCTATGCTGGACCCAAACACCGCAATGCACCTTTGGACCTGGCCTGAAGAGAGGCTGTGCTGGAACCTAATCTGACATTCCGTGAAGACCTCCCCCACCGGTCTCGTGCTTGCGGTTTGAGGTGGTTGAGCGGGCCCAAAGCCGCACCGGTCCCGGCAGGGGGCGCGGCGCAAACTCCGCATCGGAGCCCCCGAACCATACCACATCGAAAGGCTGCATCACGGCTTACTGCCGTCGATAAAATTTTCGCAGACTTTTTTGAAGTTAACCTTTTAAAATGGATGTAATCGGGCAAACGATTCGATATCCCCCTCCGTCCCCGAAAGAGGTTTGGCGCCGATAGGAACTGTGTTAGGTCAAAATAGTGAGCACTTATTGGTTACCATTCATTACTTGGAAAATCAACGCACCAGGCTCATAAAAAGGCTGTGCATCATGATGAACCAAATGACCGGGGTTTCAAAGGCATGCTTTACCCACGAAAAACGTCAAGATTTGGACAAATATTATCTTTCCCTGATCATATTTCAAGATATTTATATCTGATCGATATCAATTCTCCATACTCTAGATTTAGAACTCGTTCTCGAGGTCAGGCAGTAGTAATAGGCGAATTAGTCGTAGGAAAACCAGGAGCATGGATGTATAGTCTCGTTCATATTTCTGCAACATCCATTTATCGAAACGAATAGCAAAAAGATGTTTTTGCTCACAACTTACCCGTTATTTATCAAGTTACTTTCCATTATTTCCCAGATGTTTACTTACTTGTTGGCTAATTATTTACTTCTTCTGTTCGTTTAGATAAACGCCTGTTGCCGAGATATCAACGCATCAATGTCTCCGTCCTCCTGGTTTTCTACGAGGATAATGGCTCTTACTACTGCCTTATCTATGTGCGTTATATTCCCTGCTAGTGCACCTGGCAACTCACATACTTGTTTTCGAGGTTTCGCGATCGTACCTCACCCTCGGAAGGCCAAGGCTAACTTGCTGATCTTGACCTCTAATTATGCAATATTTGACTTTCGCCTGTATTTTTTTCGCCTTTCGCCTGACCTTTTCTGGAAGGGCTTCACGATCTTCAGACCATCGAATCAAGGTACAAGATTATTTGCAGCTGATGGGCTTTTATATTCACCTGGTGTAAGTTGCACTAGGTGAACTGACCCACAGAACTGGGATGTGAATTGCCCATCCAGCATTCGGTGTGAACGGCGGTGATCCTAGTTTGCAAATTACAAGATGTCGCTCAACAAAAATATGTTGACAATGACAGTTTTTTACCGAGCTCGAAAGGTGAGACAGCGCCCCCCGCAAAAGCGTTACCGTTATAGAGCGTCGCTATAGGTTTGAAAGAAATATTTCCCCCACATCCACTGGTTGTCTTAAGATTGTTGCTCCGCCTGATAAATCACACTAGCAGGAAACACATAGCGCCGCGTTATTGATGTTCGCTCGATACCCCAGGAGTGCAAGTGGCTCGACAGCTGCTGCAAATGGCATTTAGTTGATGGCCGTCGAGCGCACCTGCGGGGGTCATCACGGCACCTGGCGTCGCTGACCTTTACCGGTGACATCCAGTGTGTGTGCAGTTAATTGGCCACGCCATCCAATTTTGTCAAAATAGGCCCATGTTGGTCGCGAAATGAACAGTCTTCGCATGAGTCTATCGTCACACGGTCACGTGTCCAGATGTCCGTCACGTCGTGATGCGTGACCTTGACCCCCAGGCCCGGCCGCATCCGGCCTTCGAGCGCTGCTCAGCACGGCAGGGCGGTCGACAGAGAGCTCCAGCCGGTCCGCAGAGCGGGCGTCTCATGTGGCCAGCTGGGCCTCGCCCCACGCCCGAACAGCCGTCTTGCATACCGGTCCAGCGGTTTAAGATCACACGCTTTCGTGCAGTGAGTGCTCATCGCGCCAGGGCGACAGCAACGGTGCTTTGATGCACTGAATGCTGATGTTTGAACGTCACCGCTTGTAAAGTACCGGCGCACGTGTAGCATGCATTCATACATACATTGCGCACACACACCGCGAATCCCACCACACTGTCGGTACCGAAACTGACCTCGGGCGCAGGTCGTGGGAAACCGTGCTGACCACACCCGTGCTCGACTTCACTTCCCCCAGTGACGTCAAGCGGGATTGCCTGAACGGTGTGGACTTTGACCAGGGGCGGATCCAGAGGGGGGGGGGGCACGGAGCCCATGGCCCCCCTTGGGCCCCGAAGGGGCCCATTGGCTTCGAGGGGGCCCATAGCCAACCGAACAGATTCAGTTTTTAACACAAAATGCAACGAAGCTGGATATCTGGACTCCCAGACGACCAAAAACAGTTTTAAGCGAGGTTGAAGGACCTATGAGAAGTAAAAACTCAACGATTGGAAAGCTGTTAAATGGAAGTTTTAAGCCTCATGACACTGTATAAGGGCCCCATGCTGTTTCTGGTGGACCCATACGCCCATTTGCAGGATCATTTCGATAGTTAGGGAACATTCCACGTTTCCCTTTATTTCTTTGCATCTACTCGGGGGGGGGGGGCCTGCGCTGTTGTTGGGGCTCTTCTTGCTAGCGTGCCGGGGCACCCTTGTCAATCATGGGCTTTTCCATGGATTCTGTCCATTCGCCAGAAAGGCTGTGGGGTATAGCCGGGGACCCATGTCTTAACCTGGCGGAATATTCTCGGTTGCTCAGGGGCCCTTAACGTGGGTCTGGGTTAGCCTACCCACACACTTGCGATATGCTCCTGGGCCCTCTACATTGGTCTGGGGTGCTTCCAATTCTCCTTCACTTGCTTGGGGCCCTACACTCCTGTCGGGGGCCCATCTGATGGCCTGCTTGGGCACACTCAGTCGTTCGGGGACCCTTCACACTGGGTGTTGGGAGCTTCCTTTCTGAGCAGGGGTCCTACGCTTTGGGGTGGGGGGCTGTCTGATGACCTGCTCGGCACATTCAGTCGTTCGGGGCCCTCTATATTGGGCCTTGGGCACGTACTATTTGAATGGGGCCCTACGCACTTGTCGGGGTCCCCTCTGTTCGTCTCCTCAGCCACACTGGATTGCTCGGGGGGGGGGGGGCTGCACCTTGGTTATTGGTGTTTGAGTTTAGGGCCCTCTGCTCCTGTCGGGTTCATCTGATAACCTGTTCGAGCACGCTCCATCTTCCGGAGGCCCTGCGCACTGAGTTTTGGGATTTCTGATTTGAATGGAGGGTCTTACGCTCCTGTCGGGGCCCTTCTGATAAGATGCTCGAGCCCGTTCGAACATGGGGAACCTCTACATCTGGTTTTGGGTGCTCCTTTTTGAATGGAGGGCCCTCTGCCCTTTTCGGGGGCGCTATCTGTTAAACTGCCATGGCGCACTCGTTTATTCGGGTACCTCTACATCGTGTCGTGGGTATTTCATATTTGAGCGGAAGGCCCTACACTCTTGCTGGGGCTCCATCTGTTAACCTGCTCGAGCGCACTGGAATATCCGGGGGCCTTCCTCATAATGTTTTGGGCACTCCCTATCTGAATGGAGGGCCCTACGCACTTGCCGGGGACCCCATCTGTTCGCCGCTTCGGCCAGACTGAATTGTTCTGAGGCCCTCTATATTTGGTTCTGGTGTTTGGATTTAGGGCCCTACACTCCGGCCTGGGTCACCTGATGATCTGCTCGGGTATGCTCCATTTTTCAGGGGCCCTCCGCACTGGGTTTTGGTTACTTCTTATTTGAATGGAGGGCCTTACGTTCTTTTCGTGCCCCTTCTGGTAAGCTGCTCAGGCACATTCCATCATTCTGGGGCCATTCACAAAGGGTCTTCGGTGCTTTCCATTCGAATAGAGGGCCCTACGCTCTTATCGGGAGCCCCATTTGTTAACCTGCTCGAGCAAACTCGATCATTCGGGGGCGCTCTACACTGGGTCTGGAGTACTTCCTGTTTGGATGGAGGGCCATACGCTCTTGACGGGGGCCCTATATGTTAACCTGCTCTGACGCACTCGATCGTTCAGAGCCCTACACCTTGTGTCGTGAGTATTCCTTATTCGAATGGATGGCCCTATGTTCTTGGCGGGTCCCATCTATTAAGCTGATTGGGCCGGTGGCGGATGCAGAGGGGGGGGGGGGGGGGGGAGTGGGGAGGCACGGGACCATGCCTCCATGGACCACGCCGAGGGACCTAAAGGCTCCGAAAAGGCCTATAACCGGCCGAACGGACGTAGCTTTCTTACAACAAGTACACAACAGAATTAGAAACCTTTGTACCTGAAAATGATCAAGAACAATTGTTGGCAAAAGTAATGAGTTCAGGAGCAGACGAAGTTCATTTTTTTGCTGATTGCGAAAGTGTTGCTTGGGGGAAATTTTGGGGCTCATTACTCTGTCTAGAGGCATTACGCTGTTGTTGCCAGGCCATATATGTCCACTCGCCGGGTCAATCTGATCGCTAAGGAGCTTTCCACGTTGCCCGTGATCTCTGCATTTTCTCGTAGAGCCTAATGTGCTGTTGGGACGCCATCTGCCTCCATGCCTGAGCACTTTTGACCGTTCAGGTTTTCCTCCGCAGATTCTTCCCACCTGCCCGAAAGGCTCTATACGTTTTTTTCCATGGTCCCATATGCCAGGGTACGCTCAGATGCTCATAAGCCCTTCATTTAAGTCTCGGGTTCTTTCCACTTGTTTGGAGAGCCTTGTGCTGTTGCTAGGGCTTTTGTAAGGTAAGGCGAGGATTCACTCGATGCTCAGGGGCCCCTACTTTGATCGAGGGTTCTCTCGGTTTTGGTCTCATTTGCGGAGGACTCTTCACTCTTGTTGAGGCTGGTGTTGCTAACCTCCCGCGCACTCTTGATCGCACGAGGGTATTAATTTATGGCCTTGGATAATTCCTTGCTCAGAGGGCTCTGTGTTCTGGCCAAAGCCTTATATGTCAGCCTGCCGGGGCACTACCAATCGTTAAGGTGTTTACCACGTTGGCCTCGGATTATTTTTGCTTGCTCTGAGGACTCTATACTTGTTGACGGGAGCCACTTTGTTGGCCTCCTGCGGGACTTCTGATCCCTCACGTTCCGTCCCTATTGGCCTTGGTGTCTTCGCCTTAGAGCAGCGGTCGGATATGTGCCGGTGAACTTTTACGCGCAATTGTCGAACATAATTTTACATGCTGCAGACGTCGTATGTGTCTTTTCCATTGGCTATTGGGTGTGTGACACTTATTATACTAATGCATCACATTCTCAACATATTTCGAATGCTAGGACATGTTGCACTCCTTTAAAACAGAGGAAAAATTATACACTGTTCATCGGCCGTCAGCTGACTACAACATAAAGCCATAGCCATAAAGCCATAGCCATAGCCATAAAAGCTAACCATACAAGCCTCAGAAAGTCAAAAGCTAGCCATAAAAAGCTAAGCTAGAAGTCAAGTCCATGCTTGGTTTTGATGGTTGTTAGCAGCTTACTCAACTTCATTTTGCCTGTTGTTCCGAAACACTTATCCCCCAAAATCACATCATTTATCACGATCTGTAAAAAGTGAGTGAGCTCCATGTGTATGCATGCGTGGCGCGCCCCGCTTTATAGGGCTGTGGGCAGTCAGATAGGTTTCCACATTTCTGAAATTAATGAATAAGAAAATACACACCTACATACATATATATTTAGCTATATGTATATATATATATATATATATATATACCACATGCAATTTGTCTTCAAATGTAATGACGAAATGCAAGGATATTTTTGGTAGTGGGCCCACAACCTCCAGGGGGCCCCACAATATTGTGTGCCCCTCCCCCTTGGCAAAAGTCCTGGATCTGCCCCTGACTGACTCGCATGGTAAATACCAAATAGCTGATTACCATTCCATCTTGATAAATAGGTGATCAACCAGATTCATGTGTACAGGGACGCTATGTAGCGTCCCTGCATATATGAATTGTGGGTGGTGGCAGCGGGCTGAACAGTGAACAATAACTCAATCTTACCGCCAAAGTACGCCAACAAGCGGGACTCTCCGGATTTGGCTCGCTTTCTTCTCGAAGTGTGGGTGTGGTTAGGGGGGACCTGGGGCCCAAGTTGGGGGGGGGATGAAACACCCTCCCAACTGAATAGGAAACTATACCCCTGCTTGCTATGCTATGCTATGCAGCAAAGTCATAAAGCTTTGCTTTGTATAAGCACACCGCTTGACGTGTGCCTTACTGCCGACTAGTGGCCCGGTCAGCCCAGTCTGGTGGATTTATGACCAAGTTGGCCGAGTTGATGTGCCTCTTGAACTATCAAATTATTACTTCGTATCACGTTAACCATACATAATAAACCATGATAAGTATAATAACTGTTTAATGTTCTAGCCCGGGTTCACTGGCGGCCATGATTGAACCCCAGTTCCAGGAGATCACGCGGTAATCGATTTCATCATCATTTAATCAAAAGTTGACGGATCATGGTGGCAAGGTTGACTTTTCTGGCGATTAGGTACGCGAGTCAGGCTCTTTGGATAGGTTCGGACGAGAATGCAGGGCGTGGTCTGCATCGCCGATAAACATTCGCACGCGCTGGAGAGCGACTTGCCGCGCGCTGTCCTGCCACGAGAAACCATGATCTGCACGGTGGTATTTGTTTGGGTGTTTACCGCTGTTGGCACTTGACAACAAATGCGCAACTGTATCTTCCACAGATCACAATTAGGCAGAGGCGGTTATAATTTACCCGCGCTCGTGTCGTTTTTTTACACAAAGAGTTGCGCTTTTACTTTCTAGGCTCGCTCTGTGTTCACTATATGATGGCATTTAACTTTGTCAATGTTTAGGTCTAACGTTGTTCAGCACATCACGCGATAGACAACGGAAATAGACGGAAGTCACGAAAGTTCGTTTAATCGGTCTTTCCTTGCGGCGACTGTCTTTGGGTCACCACAGTGACACAATTATTCCCAGCTAAAGGTGACATGACGGTTGCAAACCATCACATGTGCTTTCCTTCCCATGGGGCCCGTGCAAGCTTGCTTGAGAACTCGTTTACGGATGCCGAAACAAATGGTAACAGTTTGCCTTCCAAAAGGGGCACGCCCACAAGCAACACCAGTGAGACGGTACCAAGTTTAAAACGATCACGGCTCGTATTTACTTCCTGTAATTGTTGGCGATGTAGACGGCGCGCAGACGCAAAGGACGCCTGGTCTCAGCCCACACCTTTGTATTATGTACATCTGATGGGCCAACCAGTCCTACAGCAGCCCGGCCGCCCGGCCAGCGTCCACGCCAGGCCGATGAGGTTTGCCTGTCGCCGCCCCCTGCCACTCTCGCTGCCCGAAGTCCTGCAACAAGGCCGAGATGGCCAATAAGTCTTGATGCCCGTGGCTGGTCGCCACAACGCACGAGCCCGCAAATAGTGCGTTCACCGGCAGCATGCTCTAGGGCTTGATGATGGCCTTAAGGCAGCGCCAGAAGTAGCCGGACGTGTCGTCCTCAACGGCATCGGCCAAGCTCTTGCCGTAGCGTCGCTGGTACGCCTCCTTGATGTTCTCCAGGTCGGCCTCAGAGCGCGTGACGAGAATGCGGATCAGGGTGCCTTCGTCGGTGCCGAGTCCGCGCATCGCTCGGTACAGCCGCTCGGCGAAGTAGGCCGGCCGGTCGGCGCCGCACTGCGCCAGCGTCAGCAGCGCCGCCCGCAGGTCGCCGCCGAACGCCGCGCGCACCGCCTCCTCCAGGCCGCGGCCGTCGCCCGCCTCGGGGTACAGCTCGCTCGCGCGGCGCAACAGCGATGGGCTGGCGCCGCTCAGCGCCTCGGTGAAGACGGCGGCGTCGCGCGCGATCGCCGCCTGCACCAGCCGCCCGGCTAGCGCGCGCGCGCCGTCCTCGCCGGCGGGCGCGGCGGCGTCGCCCTGCCGCCGCACGAGCGCCAGCGCCAGCTCGTGCGTGTCGCCGGAGAGCGCGGCGCGTAGGTCAGCCTCCAGCGAGTGGCCGTGCAGGCGGCGGTAAGCACGTATCACGTCCTGAAGGTCGGCCGGCTCACGGCCGCACAGCACCTCGAACAGCGTCTTCTGGTCGGTGGAGGCCCCGCGCATCGCGCGTTGCGTCCAGCCGGCCAGGTACTGGTTCGGCCACTGCAGCAGAGCTAGCAGCGTCTCGCGCAGATGGCCGCAGAACTCGTGCCGCAGCGCCTCCTGCAGCGGCGGGCTGTGCTGCGCGTTGTACACGTCCTCCACGTACTTGCGCTCCTCCAGCGTGTGCTTCGTCAGCACGCCGATGATGGCGTTGGTGTTGGTGGGCTTCTGCAGCGCCGTGCGCAGGATTTTCGCCTGCGCGAGCGCCGCCTCTTCGTCGAAGCCCTTGTGCGGTCGGATGGTTCCCCGCGGGGCTATGATCGTCGGCCTGGTGCCGGCCCGCTTCGCCTTACGTCCTCCGTCGTTACCCTTAGGCATGACGTCTTCGGATAGCTCGCCGCCCGCACTGGTTGTTCCGGCCTTGCGATGGTCCACTGGAGCTGTCAGCAGCCGACAACGGCTAATGCGTGACTGCGCTCGGTCCAATAGCCGCCCAGTAGTCTCACCGCAACAGAGTGGTCAGAATGTGACCAGGATTTTCGACGGAGTTTTACTGAGAGCGAACGCCGCCACCACGTGTCCCCCTGGTTGCAACGGCCACCTACCGGCTACTCGAGGTCTCGGAGTATCAAAAGTTACTCAAACTCCAGACCTTCGGACCAGCCTGTGGGATTAACAGACAGTGCCGCAAAGCTTCGTTGCTTTCTCTTTCGACCTCCCCTGGCTACCAGGCATTGGGATTCGCGATAGATCAGCTCTGCTCACGGAGCGTGCTGAGCAGGTCTCCTGACGAAGACGCCTGGGACGAGCAGGTTTTCTGAAGAAAACCGTTGGGTGATATCCTGACAAGGCACTCGGATGAGTCGGTCTTCTGTGTCCGCAAAGGTTTGTGGGCGGGCGGTCTCCTGACAGAGTCACTGAGGTGCACGAGTCTTCCGACAGAGAGCCTCGGCCGAGACCCTTTCTGTCTGTCGACGGACTTTCGATTTTCGACTTCTGGCTCTGAGGTCTGTCTTTCGACAGACTTCAGTGAGCGGGTCTCGTCGCGAAGTCAGCCGGTGACCAGGTTCACGACGGAGGCCGCGGTGGCAATGCGACGAAGGCCGAGTATCACCGCGTTGTGGTACGGAGCGGCGTCAACAATCGATGTCGGTGGGTCGGCCCCGGGCGGGTGTTATCGCGGTGGCATGGTGACTCGCGCCAACGGACAGCGCGCACGCGGCGCTCCCGCTACCCGCCCCGCCTCCGCCCGGCACGGTCGCCGCCGGACAGACACGCAGACAGCCCGCGCACCCCACGGACACGCAGACAGCTCGCGCGGCCCACGGACATACAGGCAGCCCGCGCGGCCCACGGACCCACACAGACAACCCGTGCGGCCCACGGACACACAGACAGCCCGCGCGGCCCACGGACACACACAGACAGCCCGCGCGGCCCACGGACACACAGACAGCCCGCGCGGCCCACGGACACACACAGGCAGCCGACCATCTGTGATGTGATCCAACCTACAGGCGGCCTCGCGGACGGACCAAATAGGCTTAGACGCAAGCGTCAGTGCTTGCTAAAGCCAAACTGCGGGGTGTTGCAGCTGCACGTAACGCTGCAATGTTTTAGACACGGGCTACTTTTCGGGAAACATTTCGGCTAGCATTTTTGTCATCGTGTGATTTGCCATGTGTTTCTCAGCAGCCAACTCTTCCTGAGCGTCGTTCAGAGCCAGAGTCCAGGCGAAGACGGCTTGATACCTGAGGGCCTCATGCCCAGTACCTCCCCCGTAGCCAGGACCGCTGCAGCTGACCTCGACGTACCTGCAGTGAATGGCCGAACGCCACGCCAAGCCACTATTCACGGCAGGCATTGACAGAGGACACGTTCACAGAATAATGCAGCACGGCCTCAAGCTTCAGCGTTGACGGCGAGGCACGGCGAACGGCCGAATCCGTCCGTGGACGAGGTGGGCGGCCATGCCAATAATTACGCGCAGTGCCAGACCCAAGCGACGAAAACAGACAGCAGCATGAGCACTCACAGAGCTCTGCGATGATGTACGAGAGTCATCAAGTTAATGGTTTGCGGGGATCGCCTACCAAATTAACCGAGCGCATGGCATGCACGCGCTGGTGTCTGGCATGAGGCACCGCGAACAGGACGATGACGGGTGGACGCGAGCCTGCACTCCTTTACTGGTAAGAGAGAAGCTCGCGGCAATGGAGCACCGTAGTGAGCCCGGTCGGGCATTATATTCGGACAAAAAGCTAGCCTTTTACCCGGATGAGCCAGGTGCAAGGTTGGGGGAGATCAAACAGAAACGAAAAAAGACTTCGTTCGGACGACTGACTATGAAAGGGGCGCAGTGGTGGAGAAACATATCTCCCACTGGTGTGAAGGGGAGGAAATAAAAAAGCACGGAACCTCTCAATCTAGCTCACAGCTCCCGAGGCGAAAAAAACCGGCGGCGTTTCGGAACGTTGGTGTCAGCAGACCCCGGCCCAGCCACCGTTTCCAGCCATTCGTGCGTTATTGACTGAGCTGGCCAGCAGGTGACGGCAGAACGCGTAGGCCAAATTCCTGTTCGGACAGGTGCAACAGCGCGGCGCAGTGCACGAGACCATGAATTATGAACCGCACACGAGCAGGTGACGGAGGGGGCGCCTGTCAATGGGCAAGACGCCAGGGTTTCGTCTAATATGCCCCCCAAGGGAGTGCATTAGCTGAATAACATTTGCGATGCAGCCACATAATCAGGAGTGTTGTTTCCTTTTCAGCCCCGCCCCCCCCCCCCCCCCCAACTGGGGCTGCTTTGACCCTTTAACTTTGAGAAGAAAGTGAGCAAAATTCGGACAGACACCCGTTTGTTATCGCCTTTTGAGGGCAGGTTGCGTCGTTTTTCACTGCTGAGACCCCAACTGATTGTAAGTAACTGCATCCCCCCACACCCCACGCGCACACAATTCGGAACGTCTGCAATAAGTAGCACGCCTATGTGCTGCGCTCAGCGTGTAGCGGACTATGCGTTCGCTGGTTTGTAAACCTCGTATAAGTACTGCAGCACAGCTTGCTTGGACGAAAAAGGGCAAGACTGGCCACCCGCAAGGGCTGCAGGACGTTTCATTTATAGTGCATGACAAATGTTTCGGAAAAAAATGCTGAGCTCCCAGCAGATGAAAGTGTCAACAAAGAGCCTACCCCAAAGTTTTGCGACATGGTTGTTAAGACGACTCAGACCATACAGAGATGAATCGCCTTTCTATGGAACGCCTGCGGCTCGGACCTGTTTCCAAACAACCCAATAGCTGCAGGGCCGGGCGCGGTCGCGGGCGAGATGTAAATAACCCTCGTTAACCATCGCTCACCGGTTCCCGCCCCAAATTCAGGCGCATGACAAACGACAATGGCGGCGAATTGGTTTATTCAATGGATATCCCCATGACATACAGATAGCGACATGTGACGGACCAGGAGTAGCCTGGACACGCAGAACAAAACACACAAACATTGGGATAAAAACTCTGTGGAAACCGGGCGGCAATATGCCACGGTCGTCCATAAACAGCGGAGCGTTTCGATTGAACCAGGCAGTACGACGCCAGAGTGAAAGACTGCACTTCAGTTAGCGCTATTTGTGACACTCAGACTTTGTCTCATTCAGCTTACCTTGAGACAAGCGTCGGACGTGGAATGACATGCATGCCGGCACTGCGTCAAACACGGACAACTCCATAAAGTAAATCGGTTTAGGTATTCCCACCAGTAATCGTGCCACAGGCATAACGCATGAATAACGCATTTCGCAATCAACCACGCGGCACGGTTTCCTTTCCACAGCAATATAACAAACATTTCAGTACAGTGAACATCGTAAACATTCGACGCATCGTTCCGTATTGCGGTGTGACACAAGTCCGCCACTCCAGCTAATGACGTGGCACACTAGCGACCCCTGGCCCGGTCCGTGACGAGGCGACGCCGCCGCACACCTGGACGCCAGCCTGCGGCGGCACCGACCCGTGCCGCGCGCCACGGGTCTCAAGGCGGAGTCCGGTCAGACCCCCGTGCGCCCCGACGGGCCCTCGACGGATGGCGGGCAGGACGCTCTCGCGCCGTCGCTGGCTCGGCCGTCAGCGCGGGGCTGTCGGTCGTCGGCCGGCGCGAGCCGCTGAGCGCGCCGCTCGCCGGACCGTCGGCCGGAGCCGGCAGGCCGACTGAGGCCTTCTCACAGGCAGCTGCGAGACAGCCGGGCGTTCTCCGAGACGGCATGTGTTTCACCGCGATAGCCCTCAGTTCTCCGAAACCGCTGACACTTCTCCGAGCCGGCTGGCGGCGCGTCGCCGATCAGTCGGAGGCCAGGGCGAGCGGCTGCAGCCGCTGCTCCTCGGGCAGCTGCTGGTTGAGCTCGCGCAGCTGTCGCACGGTGTCGTCGAGCAGCAGGTGGCAGCGCTGCACGGCGTGCGACACCTCGCCCACCTTCTGCAGCCGCTCGGCGTGGCGCGCGAACGCCCGCTGGCGCTCTGTCACCGTCGACAGCAGCGCCACCGACTGCTGGTCCAGCTGCCAGCGGTGCGGCGGGTCAGCAGGAGCGGGGCGGCCGGGCGCACGGAGCGAAGGCGCGGCGCCGGGACCGCCGCCACTCTGTGTGTCCTGCTGCTCCTTGTGGAGCGAGTCACTCTCAGTGCTGGTATGAAAACCCCAATGTTGCTAACAGGCTCCAAAGTGGGTATGGAGTCAGCACACCCGTTCTCAGCTTCCAATGCTGCTTGTCAAAAATGGCAATTTAGAAACAAGGTATTGTCCATTTTTAAGTTCTGAGGTAAACTAAAGATGATCCTAACGCGGTTGGACGGATGCACGCGAATAAAACTGTAAATCGAACAATGTCCTGAGCTGTTTCGGTCCAGATAGGCTGGCGAAGTTCGCGTTTGAAACACCCAGCTTTGATGGTGATATATGAAAAGCTGTTAACATATAATACTGACTGAAGCCCACACCATATCCAACGTTTCCGGGCAGGTAACCTAAAGCTGGTTCCTGCCTGCATAACCCTCGTTAACCAAAACACGCGATACTTCTTGCTTCCTACTGACAAGGCTACTTGTGCCTCCTGATCCCCCTGCGCACACCTGGGCGACCTTGGCGGTGACCTCGGCCTGGCGGGCGGCGGTGCGCTCGGCGCTGGTGGCCAGGTGGCGCTGCAGTCGGCCGGCCATCTGGCGGACGGCGGCCGAGTCGAGCCGGTCCAGCACGTCCGGGTCGCGCGAGCCCGGCAGTGTCAGGGCGCCCCTCATCACCGGCAGGAAGTGCGGGATCAGCTGCGGCAGGCCGGCGCGGCTGAGCGCGGCGCCGCGGCACGGACGGCCGCGCGCGGTGTGCGCTGACCGACCGCGGAATGGAGGAGTCTCAGATGGCACGGCGCGAGACAATCGCTGACCGATAATAACCCGTCACGAAGCGGCCGCGTTTTTCTCCCGACCGTGCCAAGGAGCCAGGCCCCCGTCTCTGACGCAGGTTATATTCAGCCTTGGCCAGGACCCCGCCTCCCTCCCCGATTGCATTGCACAACCCGACACAGACGACAGCAGCATCCCACACACGGTGCCGCCGCCGCCGCCGCCACCCGGGGCCGTACCCTGAGGCGGCGCAGGTCGGGGTCCTCGTCGGAGCCGGCGGCGGACGCCGCCTCGGCCGCCTTCACCACTACGATCTCCTTGGGCAGCAGCGGGGCCTGTTTGGAGCGGCCCGGCCGACCGGGGCGCAGCCGGCGGCCGCCCGGCCGCGGCGAGTCAGCTGCCGGTTAGATCACAGCTTATTGGCCGTGGGTCACCTTCTGACGCATCACAAAGCTCTGGGCATTTCGCGCCATGTTGCAGGAGGTCACGAATCATGCCAGTTACAGATTACAGCGATCGGGGTCATGGTTCACGAGATCACGCACCACGTGGCGACGAATTAAACAAGTTGACAGATAGCGATGGCATCGCTTACACAGCCTTGGATGCGCCGCAACGTTCCACTGTTACGGGCTGACCACGGAGATCGTTCTGGCCTCGTGCTCTGCCATCACCGGGCCTGCGCGACCCCTCCACTCCGCGCCCCGCCAGCCGGGCACGCGCGGCGTCTCACCGTCGCCGATGGGCAGGTTCTGCGTGTACGAGACGTACGGCACCTCGGCGTCGGAGCAGACGCTGTTCTGCGGCGAGACGGGCGTGCCCGCCGGGCGCGCCCGCTCCCGCTCCCGCTCCGCTCGGCCGGCGCCGGCCGTGCTGTGCTCCGAGCCCATGGCCGTGCGCCCTGCCGGACGGCGGAGCGTCAGCCGCGCGGCTGCCGGGGCGAGCCTCGGTGCCGGCCGCCGGTCAGCGCCTGCTGGCTGGGGTGGGGGTGAGAGCAGGACAGGGCACCGAGTGGCAGTGCCCGGTGATCGTGGCCGGGGTCCGGACAGACGGCAGGGCGACAAGGTCGACAAATTGGCACGGCGTGTGGTTGGGGATGATGATGATAATGACGACGACGACGGCGACGACGGCCGGAGCAGAGCGGCTGTCGCTCCAGAACGGATCGACCCGGAAGGAGATCTCGAGAGAGAATGTCGGCCGTGCTAAAGCTGGGACGCATATGACTAAGCGGTGGTAAAACTGATCCGCTTTCACTCCTTACACCCCGCTTTGCACCCGAGGCTTGGAGTTGGCAACGCACAGGCGTATCGGGGTCAGGTGTAACCACCCGGTCACCTGCGAAGCTGTGGAGCATTTCGTCTACGAGCCCCCCAAAACCTTAGGTGGTGGGATCACGAAAGGAGCTAAGACAATTTGTCGCAGTCTGATCGGGAAATATTTTACAATCTTGTTTTTCGTTGCCAGCTGATTAATCGTTCTGGGCAACGGAAACTTAGTGGCAAATAGTGCTAAATAATCAAACATTGGCAGGATATCACACAGGGATGGTTTCAACAGGCATCAATAATAGCATTTTTCTTCACACGCGCTCAGGTTGGAGTGGGGGAATTTCAACCCTCAAATGCTTTTCCACACCTGCCTCAAGCGCAGCAAACTCGCGCCTTACTTTGCTAACTTTGCATTGATGTGGCGAATTGAACATCCGATTTTTGTGTGTAAAAATTGGGTGTACTTTGAAAGGACCTTGACCGATGACAGGCCAAAGTCAGACCATGGCTGCCAGCGAGGGCAATCCTAGGAAATCGCTCAATATGACGCAGCAACGGTTAGACGAGGTCACGCATCTCTGAGACGGTTTCTTTGACAATAAAACAATTTAATCTAGCATTATGACTGATTTAATTGACCTTGGGTCAGGTATGAAGGTCATGCCGAGGTTAAAACAAAATTGCTTTTGCTGAAAAACTTGCTTGATGGGATGGCATTTTACACTCATTTCGAATTTCTTAATCGTACGAAAAAAATGTGTAATTTGAATTCATTAAGGTCAAAAGAGGTTACTGAGCCAGAACGACACCGATTAACCTTTCGTATTTAGGAACATACCGCCTCGTGTAATCTATGCCTTTTATCGAAATTCAGACACCAAAACAAGCTCGCACGCTTTTGGCCACCGTGACCATTAAAAGGCCAATAAGGTCACTGACCTGAACCGAACATCAGCGACCCTTTTGCTAAGCACAGGTAGCTTGGTTGAAAGTAGCCACATCAGGAGGTCTGGGGCACTTTCGGACACCTGTCTAGAGTTTGATTTCGTTGAACCGTATTTGACCCAAAGGGGTCCGAACCTCAGGACCTAAAAATTTGGCACAAGTGAGTTCACAAACAGGCCTATCTATCCTGTGAACTTGACGTCTATAACTCTATTAGTGTTTGATATCTCAGGAAGCCAAATTGACCACCCTTTCCGAGCGTCGTCGTATTTAACGGGCCAACGGCGCGCGCGTCATAGCATTTCAAGCCCCCATACCATCACCATCAACATAATTATCAGTCGTCATTCATCAGTCATCCTGCAAGGGAGTGACCATCGTCAACATCATTCCGACTCAGCCATACCCACGTGACGAACAAGACAGCAAAAGTCGACAATGTTGAGAAGTTTCAACAGCGCCGGACGGACACAGCCTTCAGCGCGCCGCGTGTCAACAGCGCCGGACGGACACAGCCTTCAGCGCGCCGCGTGCCAATAGCGCCGGACGGACACAGCCTTCAGCGCGCCGCGTGTCAATAGCGCCGGACGGACGCAGCCTTCCTCGCGCCGCGTGTCCGGTTCGGCGGAGCTGCTGCGTCCTGACGTGCCGCGGCGCCGCGCGCCGGCGCGCCCGAGCGCGACAGTGCTCTCGTGAGCCGCCGCCGCTGAGCCACGGCTCGCCGCAGAGCTTTCTTCTGGCGGTCGCGCGCCGCGACGGCGGCCCGGCGCCGCTTCGTAACGAGCCCCGGCGCGCCAATTACGCGCTGGCGCCGCTCGGAACCGGCGAGCATCCGGCGGACTTGACTGGGTCAGCCGCTCGGCGGCCGGAACGGACGAGACGTCATGGTTTCTTCACAGCCGCCGCCGACGTGACCAGCGCAGGCCGGTGCCGCGCCTCGCACTGCACGCTGCACGCGCACAAGGGGCAGAGGGACGAGGGGCCCGAGCGAGGCTGGGTTGAGGCGGAGTTGGCCGATGGGCGCGTTCGGGGTTGCTACAGTGCAGCGAACTTTCGATTCTGCAAAAAAATCCTCAGCACGACTAAGATGTCACGGACACTGCTAACATTACGAAAATGTGTGTTGGGTACGCGTGAAATATCCGCACGGTAAATACAATGACTATTGGTTCATTGAGTGCAACACGTCATATCAATCACATCGTTTTAATACTGCTACTTCACTCCCCGGGTGAGCATCCGGGGAGTTCTTTGTTTCAGCTCCTAAACCTACGTGTTGCCGTCCTACGCCTCCAGCCGTTGCCTCCAGCCGTCCTACGTTTTGGTGGCGAGGGCGTGGCCACTGATGCCCCCCCCCCCCCGGGCTGAAGATGAGAAAGAGAAAGGACCGACACCGACCCGTTTTGCCCTCCATACACTCCACATCGAGATTAGCATCGTCTCCATGGGTCGCACAAGGCCTGACAGCGGGTGGTTGATACCCGCGAGCAACAATGGCGTCCGCGAAACCGGCACAGCCCGGGAGCATCGGGGTCGCCGGTGTCCAGCACATCAGATAGTTCAGACTTAGGGGCCAGACCATCCCAGCGCTCGGTGCCGAGAACAAAAAAGTGGCATACTTACTGCCGCCCACGGAAAGAAAGGGAAAATCGTGTGCCTGCCCGTCACGCCGGGTATATTACGGGGCACGCTGAGGATTTCATGCACGAGGACGCCACCAGGGTGCATCGTTGTTTACACCAGTTTTCACGTAAACGAAGAGATGCCATGCACGGTACGGACGCAGCATGGCGTTCTACAGGGTGAAAACGGATAGAACACACCAAATGCCACACAAAGCTGACAGATTTGGGGCTCGATGATTTGGTCACAATTCAAGTTCTTGATACAGCGTTTATGAATCGAATAACAGCCGTAGCGAACCAGTAAGAATGCACCCGCAACCAGAACGCTCAGTAAAGCTTAAATATGACATCGCGTGGTGGGGTTAAGAAAGGGGCTGGAGAGGACAAATTCGTTGATACGCGAGAGCTGTCACTGCCGTGGTAGCGAAGTCAGTTAAACCGGTAATCGGCACGCCAGTTACCGGTTAAACCGGCGTATACCGGTCAACAGCTATCTCGGTATATACCCTATACCGGCCAAACCTGCATATACCGGTTACATACCGGTTAAACCGGTACATATCAGTTTAAGCTTCCGTTTATACACCTGACAGCGAATCGCTGATATTGCCGTTCTGCTGAACAGCAGATTCGCCGTCGTGCATCACACGGACACGGCAGCGTCCAAGCCAAACGTAACAGATGAACTGCCCAATTAAATCAGACAGTGTACAGTGTAATAAATCAGACGGTGAATGCCGGCTGTGTACATGCTGTCAGTGCTCACGTCAGACGCGTTGCTGGACACGGCAGAATTATTGCGAGCGAGGTCACAGGCTGAACGAGCTCCTGGTGCTCCAGCTCCTGGTCGACCCCTCACCTCCCCCTGAGTATTGTGTAGCTTCAGCGATGCGGCCGATCTTGCCAGTCACGCACAGCTGCACTGACGCAAAATGAGTTGTGTGTGCGTGGGTGGGGTCGGGGGGTCATTCAACACGTGGGAGATGACAGGCGAATCCACGGCAAATGACCAAATCCCGGATTTTGCTGATTTTTTTCTTCCAAAAAACTGAGGGAGGGGGCTGGAGCCGAAGTTGGCGTGCGTGCGTGCGTGCGTGCGTGCGTGCGTGCGTGCGTGCGTGCGTGCGTGCGTGCGTGCGTGCGTGCGTGCGTGCGTGCGTGCGTGCGTGCGTGCGTGCGTGCGTGCGTGCGTGCGTGCGTGCGTGCGTGCGTGCGTGCGTGCGTGCGTGCGTGCGTGTGTGTGTGTGTGTGTGTGTGTGTGTGTGTGTGTGTGTGCCAGTGAGCTAGATTGCCTCGCGGTGGGACAGCACAATAAGATTATGCTTATAACACCATGATTATTGCTCATTTCGAACCGACATTGATGAAGCCACGCTTCACTCAGTATGGCATTACATGTGTGGGGCCGTCCATGGATTACGCTACACATGGAGAGAGGCGTTTGGAGCGTAAGGGAAGGCTCACGTGTGGTTGTAAATAATGCTCGAATTCCCCTCCCCCCCCCCAAAAAAAAAACAACTAAGACCGTGAAGCCTTATGCTCTTGGTTTCCTCTCAGTACAAGGAACGCGTCCGTTATTTATCTCTCATCTTTAGCTCAATCAGGGGTCAAAAGGACGCCACTTTCTGGGGACATTACGCTTGATACAGCGTAACAAGGGAGAAGGGAGCTTCACCTAGTGTAGTGCGTAACCAGGGTGACGGAGGGTTGATAAATGACCAAAAAAGCGTTACGTTATTTATGGACCGCCCACGTGCGGCTTATGTTCATATTGTACATGCGCCTATCACATGTAGTATCACGGCAACTTCTGCCGGGCTCCCACGGCACGCCGGACATTCCCGGGCAGGGAGCTTGAGGAAGACCTGCAATCAATTCCTTTGGCAGGTACGATTGGTGGTCTTTTTCATTTTCAGCCATTGTGGGCATTCAGGCCTGATACCTTCAGGCTCCAGCAGGCAGAAGAGCTTCCTCCGGATTAGTGTTCTTATAGCATTACCGTAGTCATTGTTTTTGCAGTGGGCCGTTCCGTAACAGAGCTTACGGTCGGTGCATTACAATGTTCTAAACAAATAGGCAGACAAAGTCAGCAGTCGATACTAATCTTTGTCGTGCTCCTTTCCCAGTGTTTTGTCCCATTCACCTCCCTGGCCTGAAGTCAGCATACACATCTCGGGGAAAGTCGTCCCCACATCGTACCAGAACACGAATCTCACGAATCTTTGCTGACAGAACAGCGACACATCCGTAGTGACTGACAGCCAGAGCGAGGCGGACGGTGATGCGACCCCTGGCGCGCACCAGAGTGCGACAGAGGGGAGAGGGGGGGGGGGCGTGCCGGTTACCCGCCTCGCCGACCCCTGGCGCGCACCAGAGGGCACGGCAGAAGGGGGGGGGGACCGCACCGGTTCGGCAGTTCGGCAGAGCGGAGGGGGGGGGGGGGGGGAGGCGTGCCGGCTGTCTGCCTCGCCGACCTCGGCCGCGCATCAGAGAGCTCGGCGGAGGAGGGGGGGGGGGGGGGGGGGCGGTTGTCCGCCTCGCCGACCGTCGCCACCAAATGGGCGAAACGCCGAGACCCAGATCGAGCCGTGTCACCGCGACCCCCCGAGGGAGGAGCACCAGATAGCAGGCAGAGCCGAGACCCAGATCGAGCCGTGTCACCGCCACCCCCTGAAGGAGGAGCGCCAGATAGCAGGCAGAGCCGAGACCCAGACCGAGCCGTGTCACCGCCACCCCCCGAGGGAGGAGCGCCAGATAGCAGGCAGAGCCGAGACCAAGCCGAGTCGTGTCACCGCCACCCCCTGAAGGAGGAGCGCCAGATAGCAGGCAGAGCCGAGACCAAGCCGATTCGTGTCACCGCCCCCCCCCCCCCCCCCGAGGGAGGAGCGCCAGATAGCAGGCAGAGCCGAAACCAAGCCGAGTCGTGTCATCGCCACCCCCTGAGGGAGGAGCGCCAGATAGCAGGCAGAGCCGAGACCAAGCCGATTCGTGTCATCGCCACCCCCTGAGGGAGGAGCGCCAGATAGCAGGCAGAGCCGAGACCCAGACCGAGCCGTGTCACCGCCCCCCGCCCCCCCCCCCCCCCCGAAGGAGGAGAGCCAGATAGCAGGCAGAGCGGGACGTAATAGCGCCCACCAGCTTCTCAGCCGACAGCACAATGGAGCTAAGGTCGGGGGCGGAGCAGCCGTCCAATTGCCGGAGGTGGCAACGCGCGGTATCTGTTTGCGCTGGAGCTAGAAACCAGCGACGCGCGACATTTGCATGCGGTGGACTGAGACAGGCGATCGCGTTCAGAGGGTAACTGCAATTCGGACAACCCTCTTCCTGCTCCCCCCGCACTCACGTAAGCCAGATCTTCAGCGTATCTCCACACGCGAGGAGAGTTCCGGCCCAGACTGAATCGGCGTTTTCTCCGCTCGAGTCGTGCGCGCGGGTAGCCAGCGTGACCCGCCTCTAGCCTTGGTCAAGCGGCGTGACTCCCTGCTGCAGTTGACGGCGGCCGCCAGAGGGGTGCAGGTGCGCGAGCAGACGCCAGACTTGAGACACGCGCACTCTCCGTGCCGGACAAAAGCCGTGGATTTGCGACTGGCGGGGTGAACCGTGAGACTGCCGGCACCAGACGGCCGAGAAGCGGCGAACGCCAGCACTGAGTAGCCGAAGGGGACCTGCCGCCTCTACTCCACAACGGGACGTGGCGGGTCCACATCCAGGCCTCCGCCGGCCGGGCCCCTCCCCCGCAGACCGGTCCGGACGCCGCTCGGCGCCCCGGCCCGACCTCAGCGACCCTCTGGCAGCCCGAGCGAGCCTGGCGCCATGAGCGGCGCCTCGCGGCCCCGATGGCGGTAGGCATGCGGCCGAGCGGGGCCGCGCTGCTGCTGCTCTGGCTGGCGGCGGCGGCGTCCGGCGGCGCCGGCGGCCGCCAGCGGGACACTCGCCGCCGCGCCGACTTCTACCGTCGGCGCTACCTGGGCCTGCAGCGCGGCTCAGCCGCCGGCGCCGACGCGTCGCCGCCGACGCCCGGCGGCGGTCAGGGTGACGCGGGTGACGCGGGCGTCGCGGAGGGACAGCTCCTTGCCACCCGGCTGGGAAGTGCGCCGGGCGAGTCGGAGGGCGAGCCCGGAGGACCGCCGAGTGGCGCGGGGTACAGTGATGGTGCCGGGCTTCTAAATGGTACAGCATTAAGTGACTACGGTGCGGAGGATGCAGAACTGGGTGTGAACAGCATCGATGGTCTGGTGCTAAGCCAAGGCGTCGAGCCTTTCGACGGAGATCGGCACAGCAAGTTCTTGTGTGAGTACCGCCCCATGTGGTTTCGCATGTACCAATGCGCAAAGTATTCCTGCACGAACAGCATTCCTGGACCGATCACATTTTGCAACGTAGGTACAAATATCAATTAAATCTCGCGAGCTTCGACACCCCGTCACCGCTTGCAGCGTGGGGATAGGGGTCAGAGATTTGATTCACTTTGAGGGGTCACTCTGATTTCACAGCTATACGCTAAGGCCCAACTTCGAGAACACGGCAACAGCCCTGTCTTGCTCCTCAAGCTGGCTCATGACGTAGCGGTCTTCGCGGGTAATTTGGCGCCAACAATGACCTTGCATGACATTGACAAAATTCACGGCCAGTGACGACGATCACCGTACAAAACAGCTTTACAATTTTTGGGTAAACGGATATGGTGCAAGTAAAGCTACGAAAGCGTGACAAAATTCCGATTTCGTAAATTTTCGCAATGCGGACTTCGGCAATAATGTTTATTTGTTTATTTTATTTTATCACAAACACAGCAGCATTCCATTAACAGCCGAGGTAGTTTAAATCAAATACAATACACATCACACAGTAGTATGAACATAGTTAAAGGATGAAACACCTCAAAGCGAAGTGGAGATGCTACAAAGATAAAACGTACTTGATCATTTGAACTCTAAAAATGCCAAAACTGTCATGGAAGACATCCGCGCTAGCGTTCGTCCCCAAAAAGTGTACCCAACGCTTGGCAGTCAGCAAAACAGACCACCCTTTACTGTCCGCACACGATCGCGAGATACACCGAGCAGAGTTCGGGCGCGGGTCGGTCAAGGCTGCACAAGCAAAGGGAAGCAGCTGAGCTGGGTTTGAGAGTCCAGTTTACCTTGCAAGATGCTTCTCAGAAACAGTAAATCCTGCTGCACTCTTCGTGCTACTAGGGATGAAATTGTGTAATGAAACGGAAGGCTGCCATAAGGAGAAGCTGTTTGTCCTGAGAATGTGTGAGTAAGCAACCAAATAAAGAGGTTGTGCTGCGCTGGATCAACCCGCATTGTGTGGGCGTTGACTGCACCAGTCCAGACCACGCTAGAATATTCTAAAACCGAACGCACATAGGCACAATACGCCACCTTCACTGCGCTTCGGTTGAATTTTGACCTGCTGGTACCGACCTGGAAGGACCGAACAAGGAGACGAAGTGCTCGACGAAGTGACGAAGTGACGAAGTGACGAAGTGCCCCTTCTCACTTTGTCTGGGATATGTGAGGCGAAGGTTAGTTTGGTATTCCGTATCACGCCAAAGTCCCTAATTTTATACACATGCTCGAGCTCAGTTCTATCGATAACATACTTGGTCTGGACGGGGGCATGCCTGAGAGTCACCGTGAAAGTTTCACACCTTGAGGGTTGAGGGTCAGCCCCCACCCGACCGATCACGCTACCAGATGATTGAGATCATTCTGCAGCGGCAGGCCGTCAGTCGGGCATACAAATAGTCATCGGATAAACAGTCAAACAGTCAGTCAAAGTCAAACAGTCATCGGCATACACAACAGCTAGATCCAATGACGTAAGGATGATCGTTAATAAACGGTGGAAAAAGGGGAGCCATGAGTGATCCCTGCGGCACCCAGAGGTCACCAATTTCCAATGGGAAGTTTTCCGTTGACGATACCCGTCTGATGTCTGTCGAACAGATACAGAACAAACTATGTAGTGCAGATTCCCTCCAATGGTATGCATGTTTTAGCATGTCGATTGGGAGCTCATGGTCGATGCTCTGAAAAGCAGCCCAATAATCCGCGTAAATCGCACCTGTCTGGTATCCGTTCGGCATAGCCTCCCAAGCCGATTTCCGGTTAAACACACAAGTTCGTGCTGCACGAACGCCTAAGAATAGAACCATGCTGATGATGGCACAACACAGGCGAGACGTGGCGGGACAGCTCACCATACGAAACACGTCCCAGTATCTTTACAAAGGGAGGAAGCAGGGTACTTCTGTAATTTGACGGCTCCTTTTGGTCGCCTTTCTTGAAAAAATGTGTGACGTTTGTCTGCTTGCATCTTCCCGGGAAAACACCGTAACCCACCAAGAGGTTGCAAATCTTCTTGAGCGGAGCAACTTACTCGTCCGCACACTCGGTGGCCATGCGAGCACTGATATTGTCAGTCCCACAGACCTTGTCGGGACCGACCATAGTTATCGCGGATCGCACGGCTGCCTCAAAGACTCGCAGCTGGCTCAGTGACTCGATTGGGTGGTACAGCGCATCTGGAGGGTTTTGCACACAAATTTAGCAAATTTCAGAGCAGTGGCGTCATTCAACGCGGCAGCGCGGGTCATGTCATCCGACACAAGAGTCCGCTCAGAGTTAAGCAAGACTGGTGATATGCACGACTTCTTCGTGACACATTTTAAAAATCACCGGTACCACTTGGGGTCGCTCTTGAAAGCGTCGGTGAGTTTATGTAAATATTTAGAGTACTGGTATATATAATACACGGACTAAACATCACGTCTGCTGTACGCAAACTCAGCCGCGGTCGTCGCGCTCGGGTTTCTCCACAGACGTCGGAAAACCGTCTCAGCCAAAGAGCAGCTCGCACCGCACCGCCGAACCAGGAAGGCAGGCTGTGGCCTCAGACGGTGAGCAGCTCGCACCGTACCGTCGAACCAGGAAGGCAGGCTGTGGTCTCAGACGGTGAGCAGCTCGCACCGTACCGTCGAACCAGGAAGGCAGGCTGTGGCCTCAGACGGTGAGCAGCTCGCACCGTACCGTCGAACCAGGAAGGCAGGCTGTGGTCTCAAATGGAGAGCGGCTCACACCGTACCGTCGAACCAGGAATGCAGGCTGTACCGGAGGATCACCGTGAGGACGTGGTCGGCATGCCCGACTCAAGTAGTGTGTAGAAGGTGTCCGCTGCTTGGTCAATTCCGACGTCATCCAGTAGCCCCCACGGGATCAGAGAGAGACTCTGGCGCAGACCGTCGAAGCCAGCCTTCTTACAGTTGAACGCAGTGAGCCGATTGACCACAGACCGGCTGCTCACCGGCCCACTGAGGGAGGTAATGGTCTGTTTGTGATCTGAGTTCAGAAGACCGTCTTGGACATGGATCTGTGATAGCATGCATCGGAACAGTACTCGATCCAGAATATTCTCTCCTCTAGTGGGTTGGCAGACCCACTGTTTCAGACCCAGAAACTCGTACATGTCGTTTTATCTGGTGGCACGGCTCCACGCTCTCCGTAGGTTGGGAACGGCACCATCGGCTACCGGTGCCCAGTACATTTCAGAGGGCTGAAATATCCGACGTCGACGGTTCTGCAGTTCAGCGGACTGCAGCTCAGCGGATGCACTGCTGACAGGGCGGTAGCTATTCCGCTAATCGCAGCGTCGTCATCGGGGGGGGGGGGGGGGGCGATGACACAAGGTCGGGGCCACCGATGCACCCTGCGGCCGGATCAGCAGCACCTTGGTGTTGGCCGGGTGTGATAGGCGCAGCGGCAGCAGTGCCGTGCGGGCGGCGCGGGTCACGCTGCGCGGGGCGCGTCAGGCCACCTTCCAAAAACCCGACAGGCGTCGCATTCCCCCCCCCCCCCCCCATATCTATCTTGAGTGGCATAGAGAAAGATATCACATAAAAAATAGGTTCCAATGTGTTCACCAGAGCGTGAATGTGAATGCAAGATATTCTAGCTGAGTTAACAAGACAAGTTGGCGTCTCAACTCGTTGAACATATCAGCAGATGATGTCAATACACGACCGAAGCAAGCCAGGCAATGGACGTCAGGGCCCTTAAGGCGTCCGAACCGAGCCCGGCAGCGGGCGTCAGCGGGCGTCAGGGCTCTTAATGCTTCACAAGTGGTGCGAGCCTGTCATTACTCTGTTTCGACCTTCCAGAAACCCGCTGCTCTGTACGCCGACGGTACTCCAAACCACTGCTACGACAGCCCGCACAATGAAACAATTCGTTCAGCGCAATCAGCGTACTGATAATGATGATCATGATGATGACAAAACAACGATTGACCTTCTGTTTTGAACAGTTGTCATAAACCTTCATTTCCGCTTCACCGACCGCAGAATCCGCTCCACAGCTCGGTTCCTGATGTGATATCCGTAATCTCCGTCACAGCTCACAGTGGTTCTGTGGATGCCCATGTGCCGTCGGGGCCGTCACTGTCTAAATGACGCACTCGCGTCGGACCACATCAGCGCAGGCTGTTCTATACGCCTATCACTGCACCTGCTGTCCACACTGCAGCTGGCAATGTGTTCCCTGCTCTGCTCACTCTGCCGCTGCTCAGCCTGGAGCGGTGTAATCATCCCTTCAGTTGTTCACGCTTCGCACCTGGCGTCTGCCACGCCGCTGTTCGTGCGCCTGCCCTCCTGTCGCCGCCGACGCCGCTGCCTCCCGCGCCTACTCCCAGTTCCGCCGCTGCTGGCGCCGGTGCCTCCCACTCCTGCCGCCAGCTATACCGCTGCTGACGCCGTTGCCTCCCACGCCGCCAGTTCTGTCGCTCCTGCCGCCAGTTCCGCCGCTGCTGACGCCGTTGCCTCCCGTGCCTGCCGCCAGTTCTGCCGCTGCTGACGCCGTTGCCTCCCGCTCCTGCCGCCAGTCCTGCCGCTGCTGACGCCGTTGCCTCCCGCGCCTGCCGCCAGTTCTGTCACTGCTGACGCCGTTGCCTCCCGCCACTGCCGCCAGTTCTGCCGCTGCTGACGCTGCTGCGGTTCTCCAACTCGGCCTGTCAGGTGGATGAGGCGGACGGCTTCACCGCCAGCGGCACCTGCTACCTGCCGGCCGAGTGCAGCAGCCGGGGAGGACTGGCGCGTGGCTCCTGCGCACTCGGCTTCGGCGTCTGCTGTGTCTGTGAGTGGCTGGGTCTGGTGTTTGCTGTGTCTGTGAGTGGACGGGTCAGGCGTCGGCTGTGTCTGTGAGTGGTTGGGTCAGGTGTCTGCTGTGTCTGTGAGTGGCTGGTTCAGGTGTCTGCTGTGTCTGTGAGTGGCTGGTTCAGGTGTCTGCTGTGTCTGTGAGTGGCTTGGCCAGGCGTCTGCCGTGTCTGTGAGTGGCTTGGCCAGGCGTCTGCTGTCTGTGAGCGGTTGAGTCGAGTGTCCGCTATACCCGCGAGTAGTTGGGTCAGATATCTGCTGTGTCTGTGAATGGTCAGGTCAGGTGTCTGCTGTGTCTGTGAGTAGTTGGGTCCGATGTCTGCTGTGTATGTGAGTAGTTGGGTCAGATATTTGCTGTGTCTGTGAGTGGACAGGTCAGGCGTCTACTGTGTCTGTGAGTGGACGGGTCAGGCGTCTACTGTGTCTGTGAGTGGACGGGTCAGGTGTCTACTGTGTCTGTGAGTGGACGGGTCAGGCGTCTACTGTGTCTGTGAGTGGACGGGTCAGGCGTCTACTGTGTCTGTGAGTGGACGAGTCAGGCGTCTACTGTGTCTGTGAGTGGACATGTCAGGCGTCTACTGTGTCTGTGAGTGGACGGGTCAGGCGTCTACTGTGTCTGTGAGTGGACGGGTCAGGCGTCTACTGTGTCTGTGAGTGGACGGGTCAGGCGTCTACTGTGTCTGTGAGTGGACGGGTCAGGTGTCTGCTGTGTCTGTGAGTGGACGAGTCAGGTGTCTACTGTGTCTGTGAGTGGACGGGTCAGGTGTCTACTGTGTCTATGAGTGGACAGGTCAGGCGTCTACTGTGTCTGTGAGTGGACGGGTCAGGCTTCTACTGTGTCTGTGAGTGGACAGGTCAGGCGTCTACTGTGTCCGTGAGTGGACGGGTCAGGCGTCTACTGTGTCTGTGAGTGGTCAGGTCAGGTGTCTACTGTGTCTGTGAGTGGACGGGTCAGGCGTCTACTGTGTCTGTGAGTGGACAGGTCAGGCGTCTACTGTGTCTGTGAGTGGACGGGTCAGGTGTCTACTGTGTCTGTGAGTGGACAGGTCAGGCGTCTACTGTGTCTGTGAGTGGACGGGTCAGGCGTCTACTGTGTCTGTGAGTGGACGGGTCGGGCGTCTACTGTGTCTGTGAGTGGACAGGTCAGGTGTCTACTGTGTCTGTGAGTGGACGGGTCGGGTGTCTACTGTGTCTGTGAGTGGACGGGTCAGGCGTCTACTGTGTCTGTGAGTGGACGGGTCAGGCGTCTGCTTTCTGTGAGTAGCCAGCTCAGGCAGCAGGCAGCAAACACCACACAATTCGAAGCAGACTTGAGCTTGACTCCGCTTGGGTGAAATTGATGCTGAATGAAATTGGAATTGAGTCCTAACCTAAGTAGAAGCCATTATTGTCATGACAAATCAAAACGAAAAACACTCAGATATAAATGTCTGCCCCGACGCTTGCCACTGATTCTTCACAAAGTTGTGGCCGATCCTGAGGTGTTTAGACCCTTGCCTACTCTTCAGATGCCAGTTCTAGCACTGGGCCCCTGACGACAAACAATCCTAAGTCCCGACGTCCCAGGCATCGATCAGCTGTGCTACGACCCAATGTTCACTAGCTGCTTCACCACGCTCATCAGCCGCTCTCCCTCAGACACCCTCTCCTGCGGCGGCACCACCAGCCAGAACGGCACGTTCTTCGTCAACCCGCAGTACCCGGCGACGGGTACCGCGGCGCGAACGTGCGTCTTCACCGTGCAGAAGGCGTCGACCGACGTCACCCAGCTGCGGCTGGACCTGCTCGAGTTCGAGGTGAGGCGTCCCGGGACGCGGGACGATGGCGCGCGAGGCAGTCGGCACCGGTGGGTGCGTCCCACCCCTGCGTGAGATGCGTTCTAACGCACCGGGTCGGGAAAAACTGACGGGCCCAGCATATGGATGGAGAGAATTGGGGAGGGGTTGATAGCGGGCCCCACGTATGGCGGCAATGTTAGCTTATCAGGAGTAAAGACTGTGGAATTACTGCGCGCACTTTCATGGGCAATGCAGTTCAGAACGAGCGCAAAATGCAGGAACAGCGCCGGCCAGCCTCCAAACCTACCAAACCAATGGATAGGACAGCACGATCCCAAATAACCATGCATAAATGAATCAGATCGCGACGGCGCCAAAACGATTCGAGGTAGAACCGTTGGACTCATCATCTCCAATCTCGCCTCAGGACAGGTGCTTGCATGGGATTCTGAGACATTGCCACCAATGCTGATCAAGTCTGACTTGGAATGATGTACGACACTAGTAATCAACCACGTAAATGTCACCAACCGTGCTGTCACTTCTCACGCATCGATGACGAAAACAGGAACAAAACATGTTATCTTCAGCGTAAGAGCGGTTGTTTTTTTATATTTCATACATTATCATGCCACACTACGTGACCCACGAGTACGACTTTACACACGTAACGGGTCATACCACAACCCTTCGTATGACTTCACAGGCATAACCCCTGAAACACTGCATCGATGGCCTGCTTAAGCTTTGTCGCATCTCCGAGGACCTCACGCAGACCACCTGAAACCTTTCGGTTCCTGATAGTCCCAGCTGCTGAGCAGCCTGCGGCATTGGCGAAGCTGGCCCGAGCAGCTGATACCATCGTCTGATGCGTGCGCGCGTCAGCCCCTGAGATCACACCGCCCGCCAGCGGGACCCAGCCCCGCAGCGGCTGCCCCTGGAGCTCGCTCTCGCAGCGGCGACCCGCGGGGACGAGCCAGCCCAGCGCCGTGACGGCGCAACGTACTGCGCAGGTCGAGCGGCCGGTACAAAACGGACTGAGCTCGGTCTTCAGACTGCACGCCGAGCCGTCCGACCTCACGACGGACTAGTGCATAATGGACCGAGGCAGCCACGGAAAGGATACCGCGGAATGGGTCACCATTTGCTAAGTCAAAGCGACGGACCAGTTGGTGTCAAAAAGACCACGCGGTGCGCCACGTTGACTTCCCGTAGTCGAATGCGATCTTAAATCGTCACCAGACCACCTCCGCATGACAACGCGTTCAGTCCGATGTCTGCACCGAACCGGCATCACGAGACGAGCGCGCGCTCGCCTCCGCCGGCTAGAGGGAGCCAACACACCGCTCCTCCTCCGCACTATCCGCCGCGCTCATAGACAGTCTTCCCGGGCGGCGAGTGGACAGGCCCCAGACGCGCCTCTCCCAGCCTTCAGAACCTCAGCCCGGTCATGCGCGCCTCAGGCGGGGCGTCACTCCGACAGCAGGTCGGGCCGCTCCTCGGCGATGGTGGCCAGCGTTTCCGGCCGGCGCTCGGGACTGGAGCGCGCCATCCGCGCCGCCTGAGGCGAGCGCGGCCGCCTGCCGAGCGCGATGGCCAGGCTCCAGGCGCCGGCCAGCCCGTCGGCCTGCTCCAGCGAGCCGACGACAGGGCAGGCGGCCGGCGGCGGCGCCGTCGGGAAGAACTCGGGCGCCTTGCCGGCGATGTAGTGCGGGCTGGAGGGCACCGAGCTGGCGCTGGAACACGGCTCCGAGGCGGGCCCGCGGCTGACCAGGCAGCAGGTAAGCGCCGCCGCCACCGCCGCGCCTGCGCAGAACGAGCCGAGGCCGGCGGCCAGTGGCGGCAGCCAGCTGGCCGCCCAGCCGGCCGCCGCCGGCTCCTCGCACAGCCGGCGCTGGCGTGCCGCGCCGGAGCAGTTCCCCGGCGGACAGCTGCGCTCGCGGCGCTGCAGTCCCGCCTCGCACGGCGACCAGCCGCTCCAGGGCTGCCAGCCGACGCACGCCGCGTCTCCGCACTGCACCGTCTCCTCCGCGACGCCCGCGCAGCCGTCGGCAGCGGTGCCGAGCGGGGTGAGACAGCGCCGGCGACGGCGACGCACGCCGAGGCCGCACGCCGGCACGCACGCGCCCCACGCGGCCCAGCACGTCCAGGCGGCCGGGCAGCGGTGCACATGGCACTCCTTCTCCTCGCGGCCGGCGCCGGCGCAGTCGGGCCCGCTGCCGTGGCACGGCCGCGTGCGGAATGTCACGCCGCGGTCGCACGGCTGCGAGCAAGGCGCCCAGCGCGTCCAGCCGCCCCAGCCGGCGCCCGGCCGCGCCCCGATCAGGCGGCACGTGCCGGCCGGCTCGCACCGGCGCCGCATCGTCTCCAGCTGGCGGCTGGCACTGCCGCCGCTCTCTGAGCGCACCCAGCACGAGTAGCCGAAGCGGCGCAGGACGGCCGTGACCCCGCGCTGGCGCAAGAGGCGCGCGCCGCTCGGCGAGACGGCGGCCGACACGGGCAAGCGCGCCCAGGCCGTCCAGCCAGAGTCGACGCGGTGCTCGGGGCAGGGCGCGGCCGGGCATGGCGCCACCTCGCGCTCGCAGCCGGCGCAGGGGGCGCCGCCGTGCGCCGGCAGCGGCGCGTCGCAGCGCCGCCGGCGGCTGCGCAGGCCGACGGCCGGGCCGCAGCCGGCGCCGCACTCGCTCCACGCGCTCCAGCTGGACCAGCCGCCGGCGACGGGGCCGACCGGGCGCGGCGCGCAGGCCGGCAGCGGGCAGAGCGCCTGCTCGGTGGCGGCGCCGCGACAGGCTGGGCCACCACCGGCCGGCGCCGGGTCCGAGCAGGCGCGCCGCCGCGAGCGCACGCCGAAGCCGCACGAGGCCGAGCACGCCGTCCAGGGCGACCACTGCGCCCAGCCGCCGGCCACCGCGCAGCCCGATACCTGGGCCGCGTCGCCGTCGCAGCGGGCGGCGATGCAGACGCGGCGGCGGCAGCGGCAGGCGAGCGGCGGCGCGTCCCGCCGGCCGCACGGCTGCCACGCGGACCAGGCCGCCCAGCCGGCGGCAGGGGGCGCCGGCGGCGGGCAGGCCACCGCCGACGCCTGCGACCAGGCGGTGTCCGCCGCCGGCCGCAGTGTGCAACGGCGTCCGTCCCAGCCGCAGTGCGGATCGCCGCAGCCCAGGCAGGCCGCCGCCGCCGCCAGCCGGTGACATCTAGCGGCCGGCAAGCGCACCACCTCGGCGTCCGTGCCGAGGTAAAGCGCGGAGGAAGCGGTGTCCAACGCGAGGCTCCTCACGCTGCTCATGTTCACCGCCAGCTCTCGAAACACGTCGAACGTGTCCAGCTCGCAGCTGGCGCCCGAGTCCAGCAGTCGCGTCTTCCGCACCACGCCGCGCTCAGAGACAGCAAACACCACCATCGCCGTGCCGTTGCCGACGCTCACCGCGTCGGCCGCGACGAAGCGCCACGCGTGCCGCGCGTCGATCGCCAGTGGCGGGCCCGCCTGCCTGACGGCAGTGGCCATCCGGTGGAAGCGCTCGGCCGGCGCCGGCGGCTCGGCGCATTGTGGGCCCGGCGTCGGTGCCGTCACCCGGCCGCCGTCTGGCGCGGCGGAGAGGTGCGGGCCGTCCAGCGCCGCGTCCACGTCCGCCAGCCGGTACTGGCAGACGGCCGAGCCGGCCAGCGGCGCGGCGCGCGCCGCCACCAGCAGGCGACCGTGCCGCAGCGTGGCGGCGGCGGCCTCGCGCAGCGGCGACGGCGCCCGCTCGCCCGGCAGGCCGCATTCGAGCCGTGCCGAGCGGAAGGCGCGCCACAGCCGCCCGCGCGCGGGACGCGCCGCGTCGCGCTGGCAGACGCGCACCACCGTCAGCGCCGGGCGGCGGCCGTCGCAGCCGCCAGCCGCCTCCGTCAGCACGGCGTACACGTACGGCCCGGCCTTGAGCAACGCCGCCGGCCGCGGCGCGTCCAGCCAGGCGGCGTCGAAAGGTGCGCTGCGCACGCCGCCGCCACCGACCGGCGCGCCCCACACGGCCACGTCGGCGCCGGCGAAGTCGGCCGGCGCCGCGGCGAACACGGCGCCGGCGCCGGCGAGCAGCGCCGCTGAGGGCTGCAGCGGCGAGTGCGGCCCGACGCCCAGCCCGGAGACGTTCCGCTCCACCAGCGAGACGAAGTCGGCGCGCCGCCACGTGCAGACGGGTGCGAAGGCATTGGTGGCGCAGGCGAGCAGGCGGCGGCCGCGGCCGAGCAGCGCCGTGACGAAGTTGGCGCAGAGCGCGGCCGGCTGGCCCTTAAGCAGGCAGCGCTGCCGGTCGAGCGCATCGGCCGGCCAGCGAGCCAGCTCGGTCAGCGAGAGCGCCTCGGCGTCCAGCCGGACCAGCGCGCCTCGCCCGCCGGCCAGCAGCTGCCCGCTCGCCGCGTCCGGCAGCAGGGCGCTCCAGTTGGACACCCCTGGGAAGCGGAACACGCGCACGCCCGGCGGCAGAGGGCTGGCGCCGGTGCCGGCGTCGGCGACGTCGGCACAGAGCAGCGCCGACAGCAGGATGAGGGCAGCGGCGGATCGCGCGCACGTGGGCATCGCCAGCACTCACTGCCACCGAATTCCACCGGCGCCGACACTCCTACAGAAGGCAAGGCGCGGCGGACTGATTCCAGCGGTCCGTCAAATTTAGAACGTAGCCGGAGTAAGGGTCACAATTTAAGCACTTCAGCATTTGAGTCTGGACTGAGAGGTGCTGGTAGCTGACCGCAGGGACAGCTGGTTGCTCTTCTATCAATGGACTGCAGGGACAGCTGGACGCTCTTGAGGCCGCTGGCCACGACGTGAAGGGGAAATGTCTTGTCGCGATGAATCCACGCTTCGCATAACACGCTCCGAAGGGCAGACACCTCTCGGCGACTCGCCCCAGGGTCTCGCCTCCACGCCGCCCCGACACACACCCGGAGTCACGCCTGTTCAGAGGTCTGGAGCGCCCCGACCACCGCCCGCCCGTCACGGCCACCCGACCCAAACTTCGCGCGCTCTCCGCCTCCCCGCGCGCCCGCAGTCGGCCGGCGACAAGGGGCCGCGGCGCCACCCCCGGCGGAACGTGATCCGACGACCCCCACAGGGGCGGCGTGCACTTGTCGGGCGGGTTCGCACGCTCGCTACTGCGACAGGTGGCCAGGTCAGCCCTGAATGAGCGTCTGATTCGGACTCGGTGGCGCTGGGGGACTACTGATCATCAATGGATGCTCGGTTTCTACGTTCCACGCGCCGATACAGCGCCGCCGACCGGGACCGCGACCGTGGGAAAATGCCGGATTATCGGGTCATTCTGTGCCGCGGGACATCTGGTAGCATCAGAGACGGTGGGGGACCGGCACGGCAAACGTCAAGAAAAGACGGAACGTATGGATAACACGGGTGCACCGCAAACTACGCGGGAAGCCGTATAAGCGCATGTGCTCCGCAGCTGGGATAAATCGAGACAAGACACATGTTGCATCTGCAAGGGCAGCCGGAGTCTCAATCGAGATTGAGGAGTCTCAATCGAGATCTGCTGCGGATTGTGGGTGAGTGTCATATCGCAGTGCAGCGCTCGCAGATGATGGGCGCGAACGGCTAGCGAAAATAGATCCACTGCAGTTATGTCGTGCGCTGATGCGCTGCGGTTTTTGACGCAAATTCAGTGCACAAAGCAATGGAAAACCGATCAAGACTACAACATGCTTGCATCTAAGGGTGAATGATGGTAGAAACCACCAGGACGAGAATACTAGAACTGCTGCCAGCTGGGCCACCATGACCCGCGGCACGCTGGCAATCACAACCCAGGCACGCAATTTCTCCCAACGGCACAGTCACATGGTGGGGGCCCTGCTGATCTTACATCGCCTTCGCTTGAAGCGGTCATAACGGTAACATGGAACCGCGGACGACGGAGCGTGGAACAGGGTGTGGTATGCCATGAGCCAAGAGTCCGGAAAGCTAAAGCTTCAGGTTCCACAGTCAGAAGAAACAACCCATGCCCCGCTACTGAGCCGCGGTAATGCTTGTTTTCCGCGACGCACATCTCTCAGGATGCAAAAAAGCAGTTTCTTATAAAGCTAGGGTCTGAAGACCACGCTGGCCTCCCCGGGTTGGTTGGGTCCATGTCCAAGGACTCAGTTGGTTCCATGTTCTTATTTAGCGCATGCCTGTGGTTGTTGCTCGGCAATCCATTTAGCTACCATTTTGCTGTGTGTACATTACTAGCATTTTCGACTACAGAGCAGACATGTGCCCGGTCATAGGATATCTTTCTGAAAACCAGTTCCCTGCTCCCGATTACCGGTTCCGGAACTCGGAGAAGCCAGGAACAAATGAAGCATAAGACCAGAGATCCAGCAAAAAAAGATCGGCTGTGAACTGTGGTGGGGAAACCAGCAAGATCCAACATACATCTTGGTGACAAACCAGGAGATCCATCCCAACCATCAAGGCTTTACGACGCTCTCAGCTGCTGAGGCAGGCAGGCGTCGCCTGCCTCTCACCCTGGCGGGAAGTGCGGACATCGCGGGAGATCGAACCCAGTACCTCTGGTTTCCCAGGCGTGAAGCGATAAACGCAGACGCGTTAACCGCCGTACTATCCGCACCGGGAGATACAGCAATACTCAAAGTCCAGCCTAGAATAACGGCAGAGATCCGGCAAGAGCCCAAGATCAGCCTGCGACTATGTTGGGGATCCGACAGGAACCAATATCCAGCTAAGGTCACGGGAAGCAACAGCCAGGATCTTACCCAGAATTATTGTCAGGTGCCAGTGCGTATCTATACTTTGCACTTATATTACGCTTGTTTCACGATTAACTATTTTAAAACATTTGCCGACCATCTCTTCCTTAGATCTATTCATATATCTTATTCCAGACGATATTACTTCAACGGTCGGAACTACCCAATAGCCAACCGGGTTAGTGTTGATGAAAGAACCAATAAGAAGCAGAAACCGTAATGTAGGGTTTTGTTATTGAATCAATGGAACCAGAAACAGGGGTCTGATTTTGTGAGGAACTATTGCGAACCAGAAACCATGATCTCTTTTTTTAATGAAAGAACTACGGACACTAGAACCCAGGATCTAATGTTTGTTGACAATGGGAGCCAAGGACAGGGTCTGGTATTTGTCAAGAAAACACGGAAAATCGAGTGCTCATGAGAGAACCCGCAGGTACCAGAACCCATGGTTTCGTGATCATGCGGGAAAGTGGGAACCGGGAACCACGATTATAAGCCAGGCACATGTCTGTGGAACCAGGCACATGCCTGCTGCAGAGATGTGGCCAGGAGAGGTTGACAGCCGATACAGACGTCGGACCTCTGAAGTGGACTGTGTCACAGTGAGCCTACCTTACGCGTCCGCCCCGCTCCGCTCTGTCCACAGACGGCGCCGCCGACGGACGGCAACTGTAACACAGAGGAGTTCACCGTCACTGGCCAGAACACAAACGGTCCCGTGCCGGGCATCTGCGGCCAGAACAGCGGGCAGCACAGTGAGTGGCACGAAACAGCACCGCACGAGGGCGCGTGTGCCGGTGCAAAACAGCACCGCACGAGGACGCCCGCAGGAGAACAAAACAGTACCGCACGAGCACGCGCGTGCCGGTACAAAACAGCACCGCACGAGGACGCCCACAGCAACACAAAACAGTACTGCACGAGGATGGAAAACAGTACCGCACGAGGATGCACGCAGCAACACAACACAGTACCCCACGAGGACGCACATACCATTACAAAACAGCACCGCACGAGACGCGCGTACTGGTACAAAACAGTACCGTACGAGGACACACGTAGCAGTACAAAACAGCACCGCACGAGGACGCGCGTACCAGTACAAAGCAAAGATCATCGTTCACGCGCAGTAAGCCACGGCCGCTAAATAAACGAAGACAAACAACATAAAAACACGGACAGCAGTATACCTACGATGACTCAGCAGTGGAATAAATGCATTTTATTAAATAAAGTAGTTAATCTAAGAACTTCAATACTTCATCAGTTTCAGTGGTATAATTTCCTTATTAAGAACTTTTTAAGTTGAAGACTTCATTTATTATTCAATGAAGCATTTGATATAATTAAACGTACTTTTCGTGTCGTGGGCGATGCGTTAACTGCGCCGAGAGGATCGCACCATGCGCATTGTGGGAGGCGCCCGTCATTAACGGCGCCCACCCCCGCCTCAGTGTACGTGGAGGTGGGGGACGTGAGCGGACCGGTCCAGCTGCGCATGGTGACCTCGTCGGGGCCGACACCGCACCGCTGGCGGGTCAAGGTCACGCAGTATGCGCGGGCGTCGCCGGCGCGCGCGCCGCACCACTGCCTGCAGCACTACACGGGCCAGATGGGCCAGTTCGAGAGCTTCAACTTCGCGGCGGCGGGCTCCGCCGGCGAGGGGTACCTGGTGCGTCAGCGAGCCGGGGGGGGGGGGGGGGGCCGCCGATGGACGCCGGGCTCGGTTTCGACTGTGACGCTGTGTTTGGTGTGGTTTGTGGCGACAGACGGCTGACAACACCCTCCCGCAATCACCCGGGCCAACCTGCTCATTACCAGCAGCGGGAGACGGCAAACGATGAGGCCTTTTTACCCAAATTTCCCATCTGACATCACACGCAATGCAAAGCCGGTGAGCCACACAGTTTTCGAGAGCCTCCTATTTTAGCACGAAAGAACGAGTGAATTGTCACCTGCGATGGCAAGGTGGCCATGGCAGTGCTCTGGAATTATAAACTCCTCCTACACAATGCCATCCCGTGTTCACGTTTGCACCCCTTACAGAATAATCTAAACTACATGATCTGCATTCGGAAGGAAGCCGGCTTCTGCAGCATCACGTACGGCGTCGACCGGTTCGACAGGTTCAGCCAGCCAGAGACGTTCGACATCTTCAACGCCAGGACCTCCGTTGTCGGAGGTGAGAGGGCACGACGCGCAACAGCTGGAGAAAAGCACCGGGCAACCCTGCTCAGGGGTCCGTTTCCGCGAACGCCGAGTGCTCCACACCAAGCCGCTCGTGTGCGCCCGTTCACCCGCACTCCATGATCGCGATTCACCAGCTGCCTGCGACCCGGTCCGGTGCACGGCGCGCCGGGCAGCCCCGCTGACCCGCCCCCTCCCCCCCCCCCCGCTGGCGTGGCGCAGGCTGTGACGCCGGCCTGATCGCCGCTGACACTGGTCCGCCGGCGCCGCAGGGGTGCTGGTGGTCTCGTCCAACGTGCCGGCGGGGCAGGCCGGCATCGGGCCGACTCAGTGCACCGACGACTACATCCTGCTCAGTGCGGACCGACTCTGCGGCGACCGGCTCAACGACGGCTCCTTCAACAGCTTGCTCACCGAACACGCCGACGTCACCGGTCAGTGTGTGACATCAGCAGACTCGGCTGGCGCGGACCAATCGCTGGCCCACAGACTCGCAGCACAGACGCCACGCTTACCGTGGTGAAGTCAAAGCAGAAGGCTTACGTACAAGATAAAGTGAGATTGTTGGGCTGTATACGACTGGAGCAAAATTCGTACGTAACAAACCATGGTGAGGTCCTCAGTCCCCGTCGTGTATCGCGTAAGAGCACAAGCTGCAACCAACTGGACGCTAAAATTATCGCCCAGCGGCGGAACCTAAACCGAAGCTCCCTCTCCCGGCTTTGCTGAACTGTCGAGCTTGAGTAAAACGGGGCAAGCGAATGTGGCTTTTACATCGTCTCCTTCCACGCGACGACCATTTCAATAGGCGGCGGGATGAGTGAATGTCTGTTGCATTCGGGTGCCTCACTGTGGCCACCTAGAGCGATCGGCAGAGGTTTTCCGAAGCTTCCACTCTGAGAGACTTGACTGCGTGAGTCACCCGACGCCCCCCCCCCCCCCCCCTGCCCGCCGCCAAAGTCCTGACGCATCGGCATGCTCGCTCTCTCCGCAGACAACACTGACGGCCCGTTCGTCATCAAGGTCGTGACGGGGCCCTCCATCGTCGGAGCGGGCTTCAGGCTCTTCTACCGTCAGAACGCCTGCAGGTCGGGCCGCGAGTGACCTGAGGCGACCTGACCCGCCTGACCTGGCGTCGACGGAGGTCGTCCGTCCCAGCCGTGGCAGCAGCGGCCGCATTGTGTGAGAGTGCCTGTGTCGATGACCAGGGGACTGAACAGCTGGCGCCGCGCTGTGCGGTGCGAGGCGGCCTTCCGTGGGGATGGCTCTTACACACCTACCCAGATCTCTTGTCGTCTGTTTAGTGCAGTGCAATGATCGTGAATATACTCCTTTGCCATGTGTGCGTTGTTATGGGTCACAAGTGCTTCGTGTAACCACTGGGAGTTGGGGGGGGGGGGGGGAGATGAGTCCACCAAATCAATTTTCCCAAAATGGGATCTCGTTCCTCCATCTTACCCATGTAATGCACGTATTTACGAGTTGGCACTCAAAATGTACTTTGCTGATCAGGTTGTCCCCTACGGATTCAAGCTTGGCCCCTTTAACCATGAGTGGTCACACCCATCCACGAATGGTACTAATCTTGGGGATCTGAGTCAGCACCCGAGCCCAACAGAATCGGCAAGCAAGCCGTGAAATGGCAAGATCCATACTGGGGTCCTGTTCTGCTACAGGTGGCGAAACGCCTATCCACGAAGAACTACGCGTCACGCGCCACCTCAAAATACATTTCAAATTAATGATACAGTTCAAATGCATTTCAATTTCTGTCCCACTGCTCGGCTGTGGACATGCAACCAACGCATCGCGTCATGACGTCAGCCAAGCCGCGTATTAGAGGAAACCAATATATTGTTATCAAGCACCATGCCACTCCTTCTGGATAGTAATTTGAAGTCGCGGCTTGCTGAGACCCCTCTCCCAAGTCAAGCGTGTTCGCGGCTGCTGTCACAGTAGCCCTTTGAGGTGTTACGTGAATAGGCTGGACCCAAAAGTGCCGTGAGACTGCTGTCTGAGTGGGCTGAACAAACCAATGCCGTGAGACTGTTGCCTGAGTGGGCTGGACCCACCAGTGCAGTGAGACAAGAACACCATTCCCCCTCTCCTCCTGGTAGCGGGGCCACGGGCGGACGGTGTGGTGTCTGGCGAACACATCCTCCGTGGCAACTATGACGACCACCCTGTGCCCCAAGCCATGAACTTGAGGATCGCGCCATGTTACAGCAGCTGAGGAGATGCCACCAGGCAGCAGGTGGCTGATTTCATCATTCACCCAGACCTGGTGATAGCGTGTCACCTATCCCTGCCTTACTTAACACTTAGCTGGGTCAGCTTGTGGTAGAGGGCGACAATATACAAACCACAGGCCTGCCCGCGGTCACTGTAAGTTATCAGGCCAAAGTTGTGTGACCTAACTGACTAGATAATTTTGTTTCTGCCCTTTCATCGAACAAGGTTGCGGAGGACCTACTATGCAGTACACAGCTTTTTTGGGTGAGGGAAGGAAGACCTACTCAGTGTAAGGCCTACGTTTGGAAGGCATGGTACTGTGAGTACCTACGCTCGGCAGACCTACGCTTGGAAGACCTACACCCGAGACCTACTCTCGGAAGACCTACAGCTTTGAATGTCTGCACCCGGAAGACCCACGCTCAGATGGCTTTCTCGCGGATATCTACGAGTACGACACCTACTGCCGTTTTTCGTGTAACGAGTGAGGACCTTCGGACAAACAGCGATGCTCCGACTCCAATCAGGAACATTTTTGCCATTTGTGTCCTGAGATGAGTCAGCGTGAGCTCGGCCCATGCCATCCAACCCTTTCGTTTTACACTGGGTCAGGCTTTGAAGCCGCCCGGCCGCCAGGCCAGCCTTTCAGCCCATCCCTACCAGTCCCATCCCACTCTGGCCACCCCTCGTGTGGTGCCGCCCATTGCTGTTTGGATAGTCTGACTTGATAAACAGACACCAACAGTGTATATTGACAAAGGTCTCCCAACAGTAGGTCCTCCAAGACTAGGTATTCCAGGAGTAGTTCTTTGGGACAAAGGCCTTCCAAGTGTGGGTTTTCTGGCAGTAAGAAGCCGGTCTTCCTGGTTAGTTACACAACAAATGCCTGTTTGCTTTGGTTGCCCCCTGTGACTGGAGATCCAGCTGCTTGAAAACAGAAAAATGGCAAATGCAATGTGCTTTAGTAACCAGCCTGATGGTGCGTATCTGGAAATGCATGTCAAACCACTGAAATATAACTCAGTCCCATCATATACACTACAGGTTGACCTATTGCTAGCCATGCTTTTGTGATAACATTGCTTAGGACATTTTTCTTCTGGTGCTACCCTACATTGAATAGAGAATCTAGTACCACTGCATTAGAGGCTTAGCCTGTGACAAGCAGCATGCACCCAAGAGTGATGTTATCCTGAAGCACACAACAATGTGTAGAAGTCTACAAAAAATGTAACATCAAAGCACCACAAAGCATGCAAGATTGTGACACCATTTGTAGGGTATGGGGAACTGGACATATTGCACAATTGATTTGGAACTAATATTTTAGTTTCAGCTTTTAATATGCCTTTGTTAGGAGCTGCTTAATGACTTATCACAAGGACAGAATGAACATTCAGGTAACTGGCCACATAAATGTGCAGTGTGATAACATATAAAGCATATTTCTGCTGTCCAGTATGTCACAATGATAGCTGGGTGCAAAACACATTCATTCATCTTTGGAACCTGTCCTCCAAGGATCGAACAATTCCAAATGGGAAATTGTACACACAGAAACAGACCATGATTCAAATCATGACTCACAGTGAATTATGAGGAAAAATAAAGCAAGAAGTTGTTAAGTGTATTTCAGAGAAGCAGTCATAATATAACTAGGACAGTACAAATTGCTGTTTTCCTAACGAATAGGGGAATCGATAGATGAATGTTATTCCATTGCCCTGGACATTCTGAGGAATATGGCTATTGGTGCTGTCACATTTAAAAGAATCAATCCATATGCAAGTCACACAAAAAATATGTGAAAAACACATTTTTATTCTACCAGCACTACATGAACTTAACTCATTCCACTAGCATCAACCACAGGTCCGAATACTAGCATCTAGTTAAGTAGTTAGAATCTACTTTGCACTCACCTTCACCTCCCGCTGATACTCAGCTACGTTGTTATGGGCTGATAGCTTCGGTTTTGATGACATCCATCATACCTTCATTTCAACAGACGACAATTTCTAAATTATCGCGATTCCGCATTCTCTGGCATATATCAAAAACCCGGACAACCCCAACCAAACTAATGCATACCAATACCGCCAATATGCTGCGTTTGTTATGCCGTAATGTATGCATCTGCGCCATTCTTCGTAACTAAAGGTGCATAATGTGTGGGCAAAACTTGCTAACACTAGCACAGAAACTTGCTATACCCGCATTCGAACAGATAACACGAAGAGAGACCGTAGGCCCTAGTGTTCGTAGCAAGCATATTTGGTAATCAATAACCGTTGGTGCTCTTCCGCCACCAATCACAAACCATTGATCAGCTGATCATTATGTATTCATGGTTCAGGAAGTTACAGCGTGTTCTCGTCGTTTTGTCTGGGGTTGTGGGTTCATGCTGTGTGAAATGCGTGACAATATGAGGGCTTGGAATACAGTTTCTGCGGAACGTTTTCGATTCAACGGAGCATATTGTTGGCATTGAAGCTTGGGCCTCGTTTTCTTTGTTGAGTTTGGCATATTGAAGTTCGCCATATAGAATTATTGTAACAAGTTCACCTACTATCAGGTACGTTTTGTTGTGTAATGTTTCTTGTCAGCAAAGCTGCTGTCTGATGAGGCCTAAATCCTGTAGATATTGGGTGTCCTCAGGGGCGATGTTGCCAACCACTTCTAGTGTCAAGAGGAAGTCTAGAGGTTTCAAGTTAACACAGATCAGGGTGCCTCTTTGGCCATTTTCAACCCCCTATCAACAAGATTTCCTCTTGCAGTTCACTCACTTAGGTTCAAAGGATATTTTAGGTAGGCATGTTTTATCAGGTTATGGTAAAGATATTTGCCTTGCTTCACTCATCATAATTGTTATGTATTTCAAACTGGGATACTGGGTGCAAAATGGCAGCAGTACTCTGCATGCTCTAAAACTCATCAGCAATAACAAGCTGAGATAATGGGATGAAAACTTTGCTGTTTTCTGACCATGAACAGCATTTTTGCTCTGAAGAGGACAATTCATGTGCAATGCTTTCATAAGAAATGAGATGATGTTGATGTATGAGTTTATATGATGAGTATGCTATCATCACATATTATAGGATAAAAACCATCCTGTCCTAACCCGACCTGCTCTTTCAAATGGGAGCATTTTCTTGGGCTGTGAGGCTCCTAAGATGGATTTGACAGGGCCCTTCTGCAGATAACTCAAGGCCTCCTGCCAGCCAGCTGAGCCTGGTGTCAGCCATCTAGAGTCCTGCATATGACATGTTGTCTCCTCTGTGCTCTCCCTCCATTTCATCTTATCAGTGTTCTATTACTGTAATTTGGGGTTGCCTGTCATAATGACAAGGCTTCCTACATTTTTAAGAGAAAGGGGACAAGCAGATATGATTGCTGGCTGCTCCCCCTTGAAAAATGGCTATGGGGAAGTCCTGTCTTCTTGGCCTCCATATATGTTACATTTGTTTTACCATGTTGTGAGCTTAGCTTAACCTCAAGCCTCATTCTTTGCAAGCATGCTCATCTGCACAAGCTCCTAAACACTGGACCAGACATCTACTGCTAGTAGCTACATTAGCCCTAGCTCTTTGTTACCTGCCTTTCCTGAGAAGCTTCCTCAAATTATGCCACAAAACTTAAACCTAGTGAGTGGGCTGTACTACCTATAAAATTAAGTGCTAGATGGCATCAGTCAGTAAAGATGGCTGCAGCAAATAATGCAATATATGGTGTGATATGTATGTGACAATATAGGTGTGATAACAAAGTTGGGGCTGCAGTTTCTAGTCAAAACACAGGGCATTGCTTGGTTCAGTCTTGGCATCAATGTTAGGTTAAAAACTGCAGACTGAAGGACTGCATTCAGTAATGGTAGATTCTGGGAGGAGGTAGGTGAAAACCATTATTCTTGTCCATTTTCTCTCTATCTTATGCCATAAGGCTGCCATTCAATTTTTTGAACATGGGTTAGCTGTCTCTCATGAGCATGCCTCCCTGTTCTTGCTTCTGCCCAATACTGATCTAGCACAATGGGGTCTGACTAACTTAAAGTATGTAGGGTTTATCTTACCCTGACCCTGGTGGCACAGCCCAATTTCAAGCTATTTTTAGCTTCAACTCAAAGGTGTGAGTCCTCAGTTTTTACATTTGATTCTGGTGGAGATGATTCTGGTAACAACAGTTTGGAGAAAACCCAGTTAGTGTGTTGTGCTGAAACCTGTGTCGGCAGGTGTTTTGATGGTAAGGTTGTAATAGATCTTGTGATCCCTTTTTTGCTGAGATTAGAACTTGCAGAATAAGAGCATGTCTTGATGGCTCTGCTTCTGCTTGATGCAGTTTGTTCATGATGCCTGTCATAGTTGACAAACTTGGCTTCAAAAACCTTGTAAGGGACTATTGACATGATTGAACACCATTTTCATGATAATCATGTTTACCATCAGAAAATTTTTGTGCAAATTAGCTGAAAGATAGTTAAGTATCATTGAAGCCATGGTTTAATGAGGGTGTTAAGTCAGCCTATGCATGCCAGAATATCATTGCTGGGTAAAGTGGGTCCTTGTGTTATGCTTAATCTCTAATCCATGAATGGGGAGTGAATACTATTTATGCTGCTGTTGAAGACTGTGTGAAGTAATAAACTAATAAGCATTATTATTTTACATGTGTAGTAACATAGAGGTGGAAAGAAAGAATTATCAGGTGGTGTGTTTGGGGACCTTTCATTCCTCCTTGTGCCATATTTTCTGCAGCATGATTTTAATTTGTGCAGTGTTGTGATGACATCAAGAAGGGTCAGTTACCAAAAATTTGGGGTGGGCCAGGGATTTAGTTTAGTGTGCTTGTGGGGCTCCAGCCCCCAACTACTGGGGGGGGGGGGGAGAGACAGGAGTTAATGGTGGTTTCCAGCCTTCCCCTTGAGAAGAAAACTGGACCAAATTTGGGGGGGAGACCCATTTAGCATATTTTGGGGTAGTCATGGCCCTTTTTTCTACACCACTCCCCCCCCAACTATTTGTTTTTGATATTTCAAACATAATTCCCATGTACCACCATGATCTAGTACAAGACCCCAAAATCTTGGGAGGAATCAGCCCCACAAGAAAAACTTACACTCAATTTGATATATACATTTGACTACAAGTTTTAAAATGTTTGCTGCTCAGCTTTCATAAGGGTCAAGTTTATAAGTTTGATTGTACCCATGGGCAATTTCATACAGCTAGAAGTAAAATCACTCCAGACCTATGTCGTCCAGGGTATATTGCAAGACCAATGATTGATGTTTGTCGCGAGCACGAAAGAGTCAAGGAATCCAAAAAGCACCCCACAATTCAGAAGGGATGCATGCGTATTCATTCCGAATATGCTCAATGCATTTACGTCCTTCGAGCATCACAACGGGCCTGCAAGTGCCGGCGCGATCCGTACAACTCATGCACAATGAACCCTTCGAATGCCAAGTTATGTGCAGCTGTTGTTGTTCGGCAGTGTCCGCCATGCTGGGCGGGAACCCGGTGTGTGCGCTGGAGCGGCGCTCGCTGGCCGGCCGCGGACTGCACGTGTCAGAGCTGCTGGACGCCAGGCTGGAGGCCGCCTCAGGCCTCTACCACCGCGACCTGGTCGCCCACTATGGCTGCATCAACGCCATCGAGTTCTCCGCCTCCGGCGCGCTGATGGCCTCCGGTGAGCGGTCCCAGCGCTGCGCACTGGCGGCGCGTCTCCTGCGACTGCCCACTGCCTGGAATGACTCTGCAGCTCAGCAGTGGAATGCTTGTCTTGGTCGCTGCAGCTAGATGTGGACTAGTTTTCAGTCCAGTGCTTTCTGTGGCAGAGTTTCGCTCACTGTCGTGATGCCATGGGCAGAAATGGTTGTCAGCTTCCCTACACACACACACACACGCACGCACGCACGCACGCACGTACGCACGCACGCACGCACGCACGCACGCACGCAGACACAGACACAGACACACATATATATATCATATATATATAGATATATATATCTATATATATAGATATGTATATATATATATATATATATATATATATATATATATATATATATGCTGTTGGGTGGCCGGCACCTGGTCGTGTCGATACTCTTACACGTACACTCGTGCATCTCTATTTCGGGCCTCTTGCTAAGAAAAGCTATGCGTTGTCCTAACTTTGCTAGAAGCATCGCCTGAATCCGGATGATACCAGTCACATCCATCGCGCAATGCCTACAAGATTGAACGCTCTTCCACGCTTCATCGCCTTATTAAGCAGCGGCTCGCAGCGAAGTCACAGCCTTCGCCCGCCCTCCCCCCAGCGCCGTAGCCTCAGAGCCCCGCGCTCCCCGGCTCCCGGTGACTCGGCTGCCGTCCGTCCGCAGGCGGCGACGACCGGCGCGTCTTGGTGTGGGACGTGGCGCGCACGCTGTCGGGCGGCCGGCACCCGGTCGTGCCGATGGTCTCGCAGCA